ATGTGTCTGACATCCATCTGACCCTCCAAAAATGCAAAAGAGTCAAAACAAAAATGCAACTTGCGCAGCAAAAAATTCAGTTTTTCCCCAAGATGTAAATATTGGTACTGATACATGTAAGTTAAGGAAGATAATGTGTACCTCTATTCTCTGTTCTTAATATGGCAGGTGTTATTTTGCAAGACAAACATGCAGCATCACTGTTCCACTAGATGCTTAGTGAAGCGACTGCTTTAGGCAACTGAAGTAAAGACTCGATCAACTCTCATTTATCAGATTGCCATAGGTTGGAGTCAAATAAATGTGTCTATCCCTTCTGTTTGAAAGTATTAAGTTAACCACTGGCCAGATGTCCATTTCTATTGGAAAAAGCTACTGTAACTCATTCCAACATGGCAAATAGCAACTGCTTTCTTTATACATGTGACACTTTCTTCATAGCCTGATGCTTTTGAAATAACTACTTACGCAGCTACAGGCCAAGATATGCTATTTCAAGAGTCAACTAGTTTTTGTGACTTTGAGTGAACTTTGATCAAAGGAGGATGAACTGGACCCTAGTGCAGCAATGAAGTGATCATTTCTTTGAATTGACTAAAGATGTAATATTGCAAAAACAGAATGCATTGAGCAGACCCAATAATAAATTAGGAGTGAAGAAGAAGGGAAGCACGATAAGAGAGTTATAAGGTTGTTTTGTAGTTTGAAGATGTATTTGGCCATTGTTGTCCATATGCATATTCCTCAATGATCAAAGGAGGAGTTTAATCACTGCCGAACCTTGTTTTAGATGTTGTAGGATATGTAATTTGTCCTTTAGCCTAAGGTGGATGAGCAAGTCATTGGGACCTGTTTGAGTTCCAGATGTGTTTTCAGGATGGTTTCAGCTTCTGTTCTTTTCTCTTTGCACTTCCCCTGAATGTAACATCAGTTCATTTGATCTCAGTGACTTATACAAGACCAGGACACTGGATTTACTTAAAACTGGAAGGCTGAATGTGGAAAAAGTTAAGTTCCCAATTGTATTTATTGGAGGCAAAAAGATTATGTATATGATGACGTTATTCACGTACAACGTAGATAAGGAAAATTGTGCATGCAAGATTGCAGAAAGAAAGAGAGAAAGAAAGAAAGTGAAAACAATGTCTAAGAAATAAGCACTATGTAATGATGCCCTTACCATAACATTTTGTACATTTTGTAGGTTTAATTGGTGATTTGTAGAAACAAAAACAACAACTGCTGTTTTGAAGCACTGAGTTCAGCTGATTAGAATGTTTGCAGAATCCCCTTCTCTTGGTAATGTTGCTAAAATGAAAGCAAATGCACCACACTTGGGGATCTCAAGAGTAAACTTTTTTTTATTTAATAATATTTTTTTAAAGGGTTGAAGTCAACAACATTTACAATGGTATAATATTGATTTTTAATAATGAGCACTTTGTACAATAGAATCAAAAGCATGTAGTCCAAGTAACAAATTATTTATAGTGTAATGTATATTAATCTGCAGTTATACTGGTAGTTTGTACTTTTATTTGGCCTGTGTAAACGGATGGATGGTGTAATGTATACCCAAAATACCAACTACCAAGCAGAGCATTTGCATAGTCGAGCCTGGAGGTGATGAAGGCATGAACAAGAGTTACAGCGGCCTGAGGGGTGAGGTGGTGGCAGAGTCGGGCGATGTTACGGAGGTGAGGGAAGGCAGAGCAGGTCATGGCTTGGATGTGGGGAAGAAAAGACAGTTGAGGGTCGAACAAGACACCCAGGTTCCTGACTGGCTCGGTGAGTTGTAGTGAGCAGCCATGGAGGTTGACGCTGCCAGAGCCTGAGGTGCTGAGGCGCTGGTGTGAGCCAATCAGGAGGGCCTCAGTCTTGTTCACATTCAACTGTAGGAAGTTTGCCCTCATCCAGGACTTGATGTCCGACAGACAGTCTGTCAGGACAGCAGTGGTCCTGGAGTTGAGGGTGGAGGCAGAAAGATAGAGTTGGGTGTCATCCGCATACATGTGGAAGTTGACTCCATGTCTGTGGATGATGTCACCAAGGAGGAGCATATAGATATTGAAGAGGAGAGGGCCAAGGACAGAGCCCTGGGGGACACCAGGCGTGACAGTGCGGGGGCTGGAGGAGAAACCGTTAGAGGCAACAAAAGGTCAAAGTATTCCTTGTTTCTGTGATATCAATACATTTCATACTCAAACTTGTGACATTATGGGAGTAGTTGGGCCTTCCTACACAACTGTTTTACCAGGGCACTGCTTGGAGAGCTGTCAAGCTATCACCCCTCATACCCGAGAAAAACTACAGCATGGCACATCCTTTTGAATCCTGTGAATCTGTGTGGCGTAGCAATTGTGTTTGAGTGAGATTGTAGTACTCATTTAAGTTTTATGTGCAGATTTCTCCTCAGTAGGAATGGGTGGGGAGCGTTTCTAGGCAGTAATTTTGTTTAGGGCTTTGGTAGAATGAGACTTTCCCAAACACATTCCTACTTGTATTTTAAATGGGATTGAATGTGTATCATCTTGTTTGATTGCCTGCTGCAATACTGTATAAGATTAATATTTGTTTTGTTAATTGATGAAAATATGGAAGGATTTGCTTCTCCACAGCTCTGGCTGTATCGTCGGCCTTTCAAATCTGCTTGGTGAAAAATGCTGTTTGCTAATATTTAATTTAGACTCCAAATTGACAGAGATTTAATCCAGTGGTTCCATTTTCAAGAAACTCCAATAATACCCTTATCTCGCTACTTCAGTAGTGTAATTCTGTGCTTGGGCACAAATGATGTTAGCTTCAAAGCTCTGGCTTTATGACCAATAAAGCTGGAGATAAGTGATAGTATTGTCTAGAAGGAAACAAGCTTGTAAAGCCATAATGTCTTGGAGAACGGGGTCGTTAGGTTCCTTGAAGGGGGAATTCAGTGTTCCATAATATCAGTATTTTTGGTTGATATCATACCATGAGACTTGGGCTTTCTTTTAAAGTGTTCTCCTCTGAATTTTGTTTTCCTTTTAATTATTGGTATCCGTAATAGATTTTGGGGTAATCTGGATATATATTTTTGTATTGTGTGTGAGTATATTATATGCACAGTATTGCTCCCTTCTCTTGATTTTGCTGCTTTATTTCAAGCTTATTATTTAAGCCTTATTAAAAGCTTTTTTGTAATTCTTTAAATGAACATGTGCTCACGTACATCCGGAGGCGATTCCCAGCATAAAGGGCGCTATATAAATGCAAGTTGTTGTTTCTAAGCACGGTTGAAAAGGAAAGTTTTCAGGCGGGACTTGAAAGAGGGGAGAGAAGGGGCAAGGCAGAGGGATTGAGGGAGAGCGTGCCAGAGTTTTGGGGCATAGTGGCTGTAAGCGCGACCTCCGATGGTGGGGCGGAAGGTGTGAGGGACCAGCAGGAGGCCGGTGCCAGTCGACCGGAGGTGCCGGGTGGTGGATTGGGGAGAGGAGGTCAGAGAGGTAGGGAGGTGCAACGGAGTGAATGAATTTGAACGAGAGTGAGGATCTTGAAGTCAATCTGTTTGGTGATGGGGAGTCAGTGGAGCCTGGCCAGAACTGGTGAGATGTGGGTATGGAGTTTGGTCCGGGTCAGTATGCGGGTGACAGAGTTTTGAATGAGCTGGATCTTGTGAATGGTGGAGCTGGGGAGACCAGCGAGGACTGCGTTGGAGTAATCCAGGTGGGAGGTGACAAACGCATGCATTTTAAACCAGATATCTATATTGCTCTTGATTAAAATTTATTTCTGAGGCATGTCTCTCTACTTTGCACTTATTGTGACTTAACACAAAATTTACATACATTATAAGAGAAATAGCACAAAAGATAGTAGATGAAGTTGATTGATTCTGACCCTGTTTTAATGTATTCCTAAGGTAGATGCAGAAATGCATGGGCATATTAACACCCACAATGATGTAAGGTTGTGTTTTAAGGAACACAAAACCTTGCATGGATAACAGGAGCTGAATGGAAGAATCAACAACAACTTGCATTTATGTAGTGCCCCTCACAAGGGTAGCGTCCAGAGCGCTTGACAATGGCGGAGCACAATGCCAAGCCGGGGCGAGGGCGAAGGTGACCGCACCCACAGAGAATAGAAAGGAGATGGAAGGGGCAATGAGGAGGGATAGAGGAAGAGTGTTCCAGAGTTTTGTGGCGTTGTGGCTGAAAGCACGGCAACCAATGGTGGAACGGAAGGCACAAGGGCACAAGCATTATTATTATTATTATAATTATTATTAACAAATCTCTAATACCATGAGTGTTTCCGTTGCTCAAGTGGTCATTTATCATCTGACTTAACAGTCAGCATTTACTGCTTATTTGGTAAGGGAGGAAGTGAAGGAAATTATCACAACCAATCTTCATTACATCTACCTACATGCTTTCCAGCAAGGTCAGCGATGAGAGGTTTTAGCAAATTTTCAGCCTTTCAGAGTGCAGAATTTTGGTAAATTAGGATATTTATCAAATAAATTTGCCAAAATTCTTCACAATGTCAAATGTTAAGAAAATAGCCTTGTCTAAAGCCAGGTGGATGGAGGAAACTTGAAAAATTACTGGGTTGTGTGGATCATCAGCACACTGGATTTATTGATCACTTGTTGATGAAGTGTAAAATACACCTTTTTAAGTTTAAAACCCCAAAATATATGTAGAACAGATTTTGTTGTGGAGACACTGCACTTCATATTTATTGTGGAATTTGTCCTGAGATTGTAACTCTTATTTGGGGGTGGCAATCCTCTGATTACCTTCTCTATATTAAAGAGAAAGTAATCAGGGGATAAAAGTTACTGAATACTTTTTCATGTGAATAGCTATTTCAATGTTGTAAATACTTATTTTTCATTGAAATTTTAATTTTCTGGTTTTGTGTATTTTATCAAAGTCCACAAAATGTGCATTTTTTTTGTATTAAAAGAAGTTGTAAGTGATTAAATGTTAAAAATCTTTCTGATCTCTTTTGCTTTGCAGGCTGTATCTGCAAGCAGAGTGGCACTTGGTCTATATTGCTGCACTGTAGCTGTCCTTTTCGCTGTGATAAAGACAATCAACTATCGGCTTCATATGATGTTTGAGGAAGGAGAAGTAATACAACAAAGCAGTGTTGCTCAGACTGATACTGGTGCAAAGGACAGAGCAAGCTCTGGAAGACTGAATAATAACGAACAGGAACTAGTGCTTTCAGTTGATCCGGGGTAAGAAAACACAGATACATATTTTTTAAGCTAAGATTGATGTCCACGTATATATTTTAGGTGGAGCATTTTCCTTTGAGTTTACGGAGAGGAGGAGATTTGAGTATTGAGATATTTTCCCAATGTTCCCTTTTAGTTTCTTCGTGTTACACATCATATATCAAATGCAAGGATTATTATTATTATTATTATTATTATCACCAGCTGAGCAGGAGAATGGGTGATTTTTCCTTTGCTGTCTGGTTGGTGTTGCTTGCAGTTGTGAGAGGCAACCCCCTCCAGGGGGCACAATGCCACCACATTTATATTGTAGGGCTGCTTTCTGATAGCGAGATCAGGAATTCATCCTAAAATAGACTGTGTGTTTGAAACTGCATCTTGTACCTGCTGTTGTGTCTCTTCTTTCCCTCTTCAGAATTATTGCAAAACTATAATTTCCAAAAGAAAAAGCTCTTAAACTCTTTAAAATAAATTGACTGTTTTGCACACTGTAATATATGATTGCAAATTAGTTTTGTTGGGAAAAGCACATTTTATCTGATTATTCTTATACAGAAAGATATAATTGGTAGATTGCATAGTGGCATTTGTGAATAGCACCATATAAATGAAATCTTTAATTAATTATCTGCTCTTGTCTCTTCCTCCTGCTCCCCCATAGTTGAAATGTCAGTAAATGTCCTATTACGTGCCTGTTTAACTCGCATATTTTGATGCCTCTAGTATAGAATTATTGGTTAAGAAAGTACAACCACAAACATAATTTTGACATATATCAATCTTATATTTGTTTAATGCTAGAAAAGGTAATAACAATTTAAACTGAATAGAAAAACACAACACACTAGAAATTGATATTGGAAGGGAGTGAATCTCTATTAGGTGAAAAATATGGCATTTCAAAACAACAACAAATTGCATTTATATAGCGCCCTTCACTCGGAGAGCTTAAACAGATTTAGTAATGTATTGAATAATTATCAAATCTGTTATGAAATGTTGTATTTTTCACCCAGACAAGGAAATGGAATTTATTCTTCATTTAAATGAATACCTGTTCAGAAATTATGTCCATAACTGGAGGTTTTACAACCACCTTCTCTTCCAATAATTCTTTAGTAATTAATTAGATTTCCAATGCCCCCATTGAATCATTCTACCTCTAATTCAGTAGTGTAGTCTTGAGGCCACTTTGTAACACTTTCAAATTAGAAGCAAGAACTTCAGATGATCTTTTATTGGATTTGTCTTTAAAGGAAAAGACCAACACAAAGAAAGTGAAGCCAGGCAGCAAATAATGGAAGAAACTCATTGTATATATAAGAATCTCCCAGATGTTAATTTATTCCATCAGCAAGACATTGCTTTCATGTGAAGTGCTGCATGGAGATGCATTAGATAATGAAGTCTACCAGGAAATTCATTGAGTTCTCTGAACTGAGTATGTTCCTCTTCAATTCCTCAAATTATATGCTCTGAATAGGTTCTTATTAACAACAACAACAAAATTACATTTATAGAGTGCCTTTCATGTCGGGAGGACGTCCTGAGGCGCTGGCCACTCAGGGGTCAGGATCCGAGCATGGGGAAAGGTTGGCGTAGGGGTGAAGGAAGACAGAGAGGTGGAAGGGCGACCGAAGGCACGATTGAAGAGGAGGGTCTTGAGACCGGCCTTGAAGGAGGCAAGGGAGGAAGCGAGGCGAAGGGTCTGTGGGATGGAGTTCCAGAGTGTGGGGGCAGAGAGGCTGAAAGCCTGGCCACCGATGGTAGGGTGGGTCGAGCGGGAGACATGGAGCAGGCCAGAGCCCGCTGAACAGAGGGAACGGGCAGGTTGGTAGGGAGTCAGCAGGTCAGAGAGGTAGGTGGGGGCAAGGCCACATGGCCTTGAAAGTGAGAATGGGGATCTTGAATTCGATCCTCTGAGGGATGGGGAACCAGCGGAGTCGGGCAAGAGAGGGAGTGATGGGGTCATGGAGCCTGGTGGGCGAGAGTACATGAGCTGCAGAGTTTTGGATGATCTACAGCTTGTGAAGGGAAGAGTTGGGAAGGCTGAAGAGGCGGAAGTTTCCATAATCGAGGCTTGATGTGACAAATGCATGGGTAAGGGTTATTAAATGCCACAGGCTGTTTTGCCTATGCGTTAGCCAAAGTGCTGGTGTCCATCACAAAACAATTGCAAGGAAAGCATTTCACTTGTGTTAGAAACTCCAACTAGTTTTTTTGGACCAGTGAGAAATCTAAAATTAGATCCTGCAGAGTGTTGAATTAACTTCTAAGTAACTCGTATTTTGCACAGTGCTTACACAAACATTACATATTTACATACGATATCTATGATCATTGTAATTGACTCAAAAATGTTTTTGTGAGCCTCCCTCTGTTCAATATTTCTATATACTGTAATCAGCATACAAAGGAGACTAAAATATTTTATTCATAGAAACCGTTCAGATCTACGTTTTAGATATTTTCAAAGCAGCACTTACTTGGAGAATATCTTTGTCAGAAAAATACAGGTATTGGGAGAACAGAAACATCAACTTACCATGCCAAATCTTTAGTGTATCTTCAATGCACAACATTGGCAAATGTGACTAAGGACGTATATTTCTTCTGAGTTGTGAAGAATTGATATTGAAGTTGTGTAGTACGGATAGTTATCAATCTTGCAGAATTTTACTCTGTGAAACATATATAGTAATTGGCAAATTTTATATGCCTTTTTTCTCTTTTCCTTTATGTTATTTCCGTGAAATGATAGGAATCCTGTGGAGGATATTGCTTTGACTGAATTCAGCAGAGATATTTCATCACCACCAGACTGCAACAACTCAAAGCAGTCTATGCCTGACCTTGGGGTCAGTGATGGATCGGTAAGTAACTGGGTGGCAAGGAGCGATTTGTGGTTGGCATAGATAATATAGATGTAAGCAGGTTACTTGATTTAAACGGTGATCCTAGAACTGAATAATAATCATAATAATCCTTGCATTTGATATAGCGCTTTTCATGTCGGGAGGACGTCCCAAAGCGCTTCACAGAACACACTGTAAAGTGAATTGACTGTATATTTGTGGGCGAACGCGGCAGCCAATTGCACACAGCAATGTCCCACAAACAGTCATAGATTGAAAATGACCAATTTATTATTGTTTTTGGTTTTGGAGGGATTATTATTAGGCTCTGTGTGGAGTAAGGAAACTTGCCCAAGGTTTTGCCCTGCCTGGACGCAAATGCAACGTGAACAAGTCTCAAAAAAGATAATCAATCCGAACAGTCATTTTCCCACTGAGTGGAAGACTTGTCAAATTGATACAAACTAATACTGTCCTGATCGGTTCCTTTTAAAAAGGTGATGAATCAATACCTAGTTAAGAACAGGATTGAAAGTTACAGATACATATTGAGCAGATGATGAATCACTCTGTTGAGCACAGCAACTGTGACCTAAGGACAGTGAAAATGTCATCCATAGAATGACCTGCTCAGGATTCAATACAATATTCGATAAAATAAAAAGTAATCCTTGCATTTGAAACCTTTAGTCGAACCATCTCAAAATGCTTTGAGTTACTTATTGTAATGTGTAATGACTGCATTTGTGAGTGAATATCAATATCTTTCAATATCTTGGAATTTCACACGAATTAAGGATCAGAAAAAATCATGGCATCTTGTTTTGGAAGATATTTCTTGCATTTATTAATTTCCCTGAAGAGATATATTAGTAGGCTGGAGCTCCTGATAGTGAAAATTGTACTTGGTTTGTTGGTGGAAGCATGTTTGATGAGATAAATTAACTTTAGTTAATGTTTATGGATTACATTTTAGAAAATCAAGAATGGTTTTGAAATATTATCAAATAAACTTAATAAAAGATTGTGGTGTGCTTTTTCCCTGTGACTTTCTAATGCTGTCTTGTAATCTACAACTAAATTTTATGAAATCCTTTTTATGGATGCATGGAAAAAAGTATTCATATTATACAAATGTACTTTGATTGACGATGAAGTGTTTTCTTAAAAGGCTCAATATGCCTCCAAATTTGCAGTCCTATTCCACTCCCCTTTCCTCAACTTGTGTTGATTTTGTGTGACAAATCTTATACATTTTGAAATAATGTAAACTGTGCCTGGTGTATGTATAAGACACTTAGCAACAAATTATTGCTTTCTGGCAGAAAAGATGGACACGTTGGAAAATGCTGTAAGGGTAGCCTTAAAATAAAAGCAGAAAATACTATTTAAATGAGGGGAGAGGGAAATGTGATCCCCCGCCAACCCCCATCTCTTTTCCTTCACTTTAAATTGGTTAAATACAAACTGCTCTCAAAAATGATTTTTTTTCAACCAGTGGTGAAAATTAAACTGCAGTAAAAGATCTCTGAGGGCACTGATATTTCTCAATGCTGAGTATTAGGTCATTGACTATTAACCTGTAGTCATATTCTTCATTCTCCTTTGGGGAATGACAGAGCCCAGTGGCACCTGATGTTTAATTTCAATGTATTTTTTAATTTGGAGCTGGAAGCTAAATGTTTTTTGAAGCACGCTGCTGGCTTGTTCCCTTGCCAATAGGCAGGTTGTGGATTTTATCCCAAAGGCTGCTTATCACTTGCGGTTACCTGCTTCATTTGGGATGATTGTTATCAGTTTGAACACAATTTGGGTATTAATATTCTGCAAGTGCAAGATTTAGTGAAGGGGGGAAATAACTGCCATAGCTTTCTGCTTTAAAAGGAGTCTGGACTCTCTATGCCAAGGTTAGCTTTTATGAAGGAAGGTAAGTGTGCTACATAAAGCTGCTGATGGGTGGGGGGAATAATTTGCAAAATATAATTTTATTCTGTAGCCAGACTCTTAAAGTGCGGTTGATGGAACTGCATGTTTAATTACAACTTGGAAAGAAGATCAAGGCCATCTTTTATAAATGGTTATTAACCATTCCAGCATTTTAACGTTACCAAACAAAACAACTTGAATTTGTATAGTGCTCTTCTCAAAGAATAATATCTCAGAGCACTTTACAGTGACCGGACAGGAACTGAGCAGGGGACTTGGGAGGGTGCAGTGCCATTAAACTGGTCTGCTGCACTTATATTGATGTTTCTCCCTCCTGGTGTGGAACTTTCATTTAACATTCATTTAAAAAGAAATCAAAAAGTTGATTTACTACAAAGAACAAAAAATGTTGTAATTAACATTTTTTTTTAAAAGTCAACAAATAAAATGAAAATCGAGCAAATCATAGTTGACCATGCAAATCTGGCTTGTAAAAATATTTTTTAAAATATACTAATTTGGTCATTCAATCCATGACTGCTTGTGCGACACTTTTGTGCGCAATTGGCTGCCGGTTTTGCTCACCAAATATACAGGCAATTCACTTTACAGTATATTCTGTGAAGCACTTTGAGACATCTCGAAGATGTGATAAGGCGCAATATCAAATGCAAGGATTATTATTGTATTTGACAATACATTACCTGTCCTCCCCAAGAGAGCGAATCTCAAGAGTTCTTTCCACTGAATTTAAAGATTCACTCCTCACATCATTAATAATTTAAAACAGGTTGAGGTTAAGCTAAAAGATTGTGTTTTTGTTTTACTGGCAGTAATTTTTTAAATTTGAAAGAAATAACACATCTGGTGATTGAATCTGAAAGTGGGATATTTGTATTTTCTCAGCAAATATTACTCTGCTTTTCAGCCACACTGAAAATGTTCTGTATTCATTGCTGTTTCTAACACACTAATAAAATCTTTCTTTGTTGCTAATAGGAACTACCAACAAATCCTAAAGATGCTGAAGAGCTTAAAGGTATTTGATTGTTCCCTTTGATTGTTTCAAACCCTAACATTTTGATATGACTACCTGCTCGTGTGTGTTACAATGTGCAGTACCTGTCTAAATGTGTAGCCACAGATGGTTTATGATGCTGATTAGTCAGGATTTCTTCCAGTTCTGTAGCTGAGTCCCTCCATTTCAATACAAAAAAAGTCAAAAGCATTGAATGATGCAGTTATTTCTTCTGACTGCTGTTTTCATCACATGTGAAGTTTGGATGAAGACAGCCCTCCGGCCCATTTGATCTCATCCTTCAATTCCTATCAACAGGATCAAGTTATTTCTTAAATGAGCCCAGTATCCTGGCCTCTATCACTCTTCCCAGTAACCCATTCCAGCTGTTGATCACCCTATGTCTAAAGAAATATCTCTTGGCATTCCTGAACCTGTGATCTCTTGCATCCCTTTAAACTGTAGAAATCTGATCTTAAATATGCATAATCCGGAAATCTGCTTAGGTTTAGTCTCAGCTGCTTAGATGTATAACTGACAGGAGACCAAGCAAAATGTGATTACCACATCAGCTAACTCAGCACAGACTGGAATTCGAATGTGCACTTTTCCACTAACCTCCCTTTTTTCATTTCACGATTATCCTCAATTTGTGCTCCCTTGTTGCTGACTCAGCAAACAGTGAAAGTCCATGTGGAAACATCGTCAGTTTTTCATGTAATTGCTACAGTTTTATAAGAGTAATAATCCTTTACCGGAAAAAACATCAGTAGAATATGTTTTATCTCTTAAATAGCTTTTTGACATGTTTTCCATTCATGTGCCTATATAACAAAGAGATGAATAGATTCATATAGTGCTGAAATGTTAAAGACCTTTTGAAATATTAAAAAATTACTTTTAACAAAACATCGGAACAGTAGTAGACCATTCAGCCTATCAAAACTATTCTGCCATTTTATTTGATCTATTATAAAATATCTTTTAATCCCATTTCCTCTCCTTTTCTCCATTTCCATTAATAATCTTACATCCCAATTAGTCATATTTTTAAACATCCCATTTGAATTTGTATCTACAGATTTCACATTCTCGCAACCCTTTGTGTGAAGACATGTTACCCGAATTACTTTCTTTTTCTAAGGCACATAACTGCATTATTTTAAATAAATACTGTGAATACTGGCATTGTGCTGTTGCTGCACTGGTTACAGAATGATGGTTCCACCAAATTCTCATAGCAGTGTTTCCAATGTTTCATTAAGAAAGATTTCCCTGATCCACCTGCTCTGTAGAATATAGTGCAGATTAATTGCCCAGTACTAAAAAATAAAACAACTGGAACTAAGTTCAGATCAAATGCAACTTTGGAACTGTGTCAGCTCTCACTATTTAAAGATGGTGTCAATCAATATACAAATACCAGTATTTCTGAATGTCAATAACACATAAATTGTAGAGTTCCTTAATATTACAAGTACGCACTATTACAAAAGGCATTTGTGGGAATTCTGAGTAAATTTATAGTGATCTTTTGAGCTGCATCTTTATGATTTTTGTGTGCTTTTTGACTTTGGTGGATTTGAATAGAGTCTGTTAAAGTTTTAATACTGAAAGGTGTTAAATGTATTGCAGAGAGAGACATTAGAAGACTTATTGGAGAAAGCAATAACTTACTACTTGATCCAGCTCAAGGAGTTCTATTGAAGGTTGGAAAAGAAAGAGAAGGTATTTCAGTATTCTAATACAAATGATGTACTTGTGGGTCTTTACATACTCTTTTACAATTTCTAATGACCTAAAAAAGTAGGAATTCCTGAGCACTCAAGACTGTATACATGGATGCAGAATATTCATTTGTGTTCTCCCTTTATTTTGGTGAATTTTAATTTTGTGCTTATCAAGGTGAGATTTTAGTTCTGGGATTTTGCCATTTTGGGCACTTATTGTAAATAAAATCAAGCACTTAGATTCGGTACAACACAGTTGATTGGAGAGCAAAATTCCCTCTATATTCATGTATACAATCTTGAGTGCTCAGAAATTCCTACCCCATTCTCAGAACATCTTACACTTCCTTCGTCATAGTTTGGTTTGAAATACACCCACTAAGTATGTCTCATTTGCAGGTATGTCTATAAACTATAGCTTAAAGTGCAACATGGTCATGCAGTTCCAGCACTTCCAGTAACAACAACAACGTGGAGTCCTGTAGCTCAGTAGTTAGAGCACTAAGACCTGAGTTCAATTCCAGGCAGGGCGAAACCTTGGGCAAGTTTCCTTACTCCACACGCCTAATAATAATCCCTCCAAAAACCAGAAACAATAATTAAATTGGTCATTTTCAATCTACGACTGTTTGTGGGACATTGCTGTGCGCAATTGGCTGCCGCGTTCGCCCACAAATATACAGTCAATTCACTTTACAGTGTGTTCTGTGAAGCGCTTTGGGACGTCCTCCCGACGTGAAAAGCGCTATATCAAATGCAAGGATTATTATTATTATTATTAATAGTGACATAACTGGAGAGGCAGTTATTTCTGAAATATCCAGTTATAAGCAAGGAACAGGAGAAGGTGCATTTCACTCACTAGAAGAGCATGTATCATAAAAAACAATGTGTAGATATATCAAATGATGGTCTTCGCTTATAACACTGTAGATCTAGCAAGATGCTTTATAATGTAGTATTCCTGCATGTTTCATTTATAAATTTAACAAATTCATAGAATGGGTGAAGTTTGCAAGAAATATGGGAATACATTTGTTTTAGAATAAACTAGATGGATGTCTATGTTTTTGCAGGGCATTTTTTTGAGAAAAAGATGGACACATTTTTTTTTCCCGATTGGTCCATCTCCTGGTTATTTTGATGTGAAATCTTTGCTGTTTGTTAAGGTAACCCTATATTCATTACATTGCAGATCCCATTTTCAACAATCCAACACCAGTGATGCCCTACGATTCTCCAGTTTGTAGCCGTCAATCTGTTTCTCCTGTTGCAGCATTCAGTGGGAAAAGACGCTACTGTGCATTAGAAGAAGATCTGCCTTTGTTCCCGGTACCATCTACTTTGCCATGCCCAGCTATTGTCTGTCAGCGTAATTCCACCAGATTGTTAGATGATTCTAATAACCCTAAAATGGTACATGTTCCCCCTCAGCTCTATGCTACAACAGCTATGTATGGAGAACCAATTATTTCTGAAGCGTCTAGTTATAAGCAAACAACAGGAACAGAAGATACAATCCATTCACTGGAAGAGCCTATATCTAAAAAACAATGTGCAGCAACATTAAATGAGGATCTTTGCTTGCGAAATATTTTGGATATTGAAATCAACGTGTTGGTGACTGATGTTGCAGATGATTCTGTGACAGAACAATATGAGGCTTCAGTGTACAATCTGAATATCCTTACTGGAAGTGGTACATACTCTCAGAAATGTTTCTTTAACTGCATTAATGAAAACGCTCAGCCTGGTGTTAGCCGCACTGATTATCCATGTGGAAATTGCCTGACTGAACCAATTGATGACTCTGAAAGGATTAAAATAGAAGATCAAACAACAGAGGAGAGAGAGGACGGTTTGGATGAATTGAAAGATGAAGTGGTTACTGCTACTGGCATTACAAATCCTTATCTACTGAAACCTGTAGAACATCAGGAAATGGACCCAAGCAAGAACTCCAACAACCAGTTGGTGAGGTATTTGGGGGAAAAAACAAATCGGAATAATGAAAGTCCACAGTCTAGCAGAGGATCAAGTTTTCTGAATGTACAGGGATCTGATTCATCAGACATTCCAGTTATTACACTGGAAATTTCTGAAGAAGATAGATCACATGATGATAATTCTCTTGGTAGCAGTAGCTTAATTCCTTCTTCTGAAACTATGCAGGCATTTGTATATGTTAATGTAGATGAAGAGATACAAATGCCAGGAGCCAGTGGGTCCATATCAAAAATAGACTTATCTGTAAGACCAAAGTCATCCAAATCCCTTAAACAGGCTGTAGACCACCAAATGTACAACAAACCAAAGTCAAACACTCAAACACACTTAAGTCCTAGCTCAACTGTTGGCTCTGATGAACATTGGACTACAAGTGGAACCCCCAAGGACCATGAAAGTTGTGAAGATGAAGACTTTAGTGAGCACAATAGTCTTAGCAGTGCTTTAAGTCTCCAGTCTCATCATATTCTGTCAGTGGATAGCTCTTCCAGCAGTGTTTCACAGTCCTGTCCTTCCCCAGATCACACTTGCTCACATCTACAGGCTCAGAGAGATGTAAGAGCTACCTCAGATTCCTTCTTGAAAGTCATACCTTGCTTGATAGAAAACCAAAAGCAATATGATCAACACATTGATGGGGATTGCTCTGAGAAAACCCATGTCAGGGTTCTTAGTGTGGACAGTGGAGCAGATGTAGTTTTAAGCAGAACCTCCAGGGGGAGCCCCAGTGACCATGGAAGGACATTAACCACTTCAAAATCAGATTTAGAAGCAAAAGAAGGACAAGTACCAAATGAATCAAACTTCATAGAATTCATATCCTTACTGGAATCAATTAATAGCTCCAGGATGAATGCAGGCAATCCAACAGTCTGGACTTGTGAACATAGAGAAGAGGGTGCTGTGGGAGGAGGTATGATTTATTTCTTTGGATTCTGGGCTTGAATTTACGCACACCATGTAATTTAAGCTAACAGTATGTCAAATTATTTTCTTGCACCGATTTTCTACATAGCTTTAAGTGCAAAAGCAAGATGTCATGGTTATTTCCCTCTGCTATTAGCTGCACAGACAGTAGACAGAATAACGTGCTTTGATTATGAATTGGTTGAGTGTCAGTCAACTTCAGCTAAATAGCCCCTAACAACCTATTTTATCTATTCTGTGCATATTACGTGCCAATGTACATTGCCAAATCTTAATGAGGCTGGACTTGAACCAAGAAGTTAGATCTCCAAAGGGGTCAAATATATATTTCTCATTAGGATCTCCTAGGATAATATCTTAAGATCTATACATGAAAGGACAAAAGGGAAGTACTTTTCCTTATAGTATTGGTTTTAGGTCCCTCAGGCCGCTGAAATTCTTGTTCATGCCTTCATCACCTCCAGGCTCGACTATGCAAATGCCCTGCTTGTCAGCCTTCCCAACTCCTCCCTCCACAGACTGCAGATAATCCAGAACTCTGCAGTCCGTGTCCTCTCCTGCACCAAACTCCGTGACCCCCTCTCCCCCATTCTCGCCCGACTCCATTGGCTCCCTATCCTTCAGATGATCCAGTTCAAGATCCTGGTCCTCACCTACAAAGCCCTCCATGGCCTCGCCCAACCCTAACTCTGCAGCATCCTAACCCCTACCAACCCGCCCGCTCCCTCCGCTCAGCCGGCTCTGGCCTGCTCCACGTCCCTCGACCTACACGCCCCAACATTGGCGGAAGAGCCTTCAGCCACTCTGCCTCCAACCTCTGGAACTCCACCCCCCAATCACTCCGCCTTGCCCCCTCCTTAGCCTCCTTCAAGTCCCGCCTCAAAACCCTCCTCTTCGACCATGCCATCGGTCACGCCCCCTTCCCCTCCCTTCTCCCTCTCCTGACCCCTGCTTGGGTCTGAAATTTTGAACACTGTCCAGCGCCTTGAGACGTCCTCCCAACTTGAAAGGCGCTATACAAATGTAATCTTGTTGTTGTTGTTGGTTTCTGTTGAATACTTTCTTATTGCAGAGGATTGTTTAAGCAAGACACTGCACAGCAGCATATTGGTTTCCCACAAAGAAATAATAATAATTCTTGCATTTGATATAACGCCTTTATCATGTCTTCGAGTCATCTCAAAGCGCTTCACAGAATATACTGTAAAGTGAATTGACTGTATATTTTGTGGGCAAAACACGGCAGCCAATTGCGCACAGAAGTGTCCCACAAACAGTCCTGGATTGAAGTGACCAATTTATTATTATTATTATTTTGAAGGAATTATTAGCCCTGGAAAAGCGATCCACCAATCAACTAACAACCAGATTCCTACTTACTGCTAGGTAAACAGGCATGTGGAGTAAGTCAACCCAACATTTCCTGCTGCTGGGAATCAAACCCAGGTCTCTCGCTTGCGAGGCAAGTGCTCTAACCACTGAGACCATTTATTTGTGGCTTTGGGCATCGCTTCCATAACTATATAATCAGAGGCCTTGGTGCAGATTATTTAACTGGCTAAACACCTCTTTGGGGGAAAGGTTCATCCACCTGAAAGAAAAATGTTAGGAAGAGGAGACAATTTTTTTTTCAGAATTTGCTGTTCGACTTAACTTCAGCAGAAGCCAACATCTGAACACCACTCTGTACTCCTGTCAATATGCCAAGGGCCCAGCCAAAGTGGATGCTGTACAGTGGAGTGAGCCAAACATTATCATTCCCCCTCCTACTCCTGCCACTTTAGTAAAGCACAACAACCACCAGCTCAACTGACAACTGTGAAAAGTCTCTCAGTAAAGCTTAGGTGAATAATAATAATAATAATAATAATCCTTGCATTCACGCTTGCCGGAATGAATGGGAGGAAATGCTATTGCATTTCGTATAGTGACTGAAAAGTTTCAAAGAGCTTCACAGAATATATTGTAAAGCGGATCGACTGTGTATTTTGTGGGCGTAAAATGAAACCTAGAATTTCCTGCTGCTGTGGTGCTTGGCGGATATTGTATTGAGACCGTTTTTAATGGCGTTTTTATAATGGTGTTTTTTAAAACGTTTTTTTGTGTATTTCCCAGATCCTGTAATTCCAGTAACAACAGAAAATGCAACTTTAATTAAGAGATACCAAGAACACAACAATATGCTGAGAAGACCAGCAATACGAAGGCGCCACATTGTAGGAAGTAATACAACTCTACCACCATCCCTTGTCAGCTCGCCTCTAATGTAAGTTTATTTTCGCTTGTTCTTTGTATGCAGTTCTGATAGAATGCAATTAGACAGGCCAATGAAGCTGCTCTGTTGTTGGAGGGATGCCTTGTGGCTTCAGATCGTTGTGCCACAGAATAGCAGGATACAGTTTTACTTTCTTCACCTTTTGACATACTCTCCTGAAGGCATTATGGAGTATTGTTTCATGGGCTTTGGCAGCCATCATGTACCTCTCCCAATTAGAAATCTGGACAGCAAATGTTGACAGACAATTTGGTTGTCACAGTAGGGCTCCAACCAATGTCCAAACTAACGTGAAGCAGAGGTCACTATATTGTCATCAGAAGTGGGCGACCTCGCCATATTAATGGAGAGAAGCAGAGCTGGAGTTTGGTAAAGGAACCCGAAAAAGGAACTTCCCTGCCATGTAGAAATGTGCAGAAATGTGGAATATAATGAATTAAGTAGAAGGTTTACTCACTATTTAATATTCACACACTGAAATTCCATGAATATTTCTCATAGGCACAGCACTTCCTTCCCATAATAAAGCAAAGAGCTAATTTTTTAATATTAAAAAATAATTGGACCATGAGAATCGGGTTTAAGCAGTAAAATGTAGTTTTTTAAGAAAAATGTACGATACTTCACTTTAAAACAAATCACATTCTGTTGTCTCTGAATCCCAACCATGATTCTACCCCCTCCCACTTGCCAGAGTGAATGGGAGAGAAATGTGATTAACCCCTTTCTATCAATAATTATACCCATTTTCTTAGTTATTCTCATTGCATTTCCATTGTTTATGAGTAGGATTGCTAGTGTTCTTTTTTTGACAAATCATTTATGTATAAATCATTTATTTTACCTTTATTTTTCTGAATTTTTTATTTTTTTAGGGAACTTTTCGACTACAATTATAGCCGACTTCTGGGTTTTGAGGTTGCTGCAGATGTCACTTCTTGTGCTCTGTGATAAATATGTTTTCTTTGAAAAAAAGTTTAACAATGGGAATTCATTTTCCTTGATTTGGAGAAAATTGGAAAACCCAGTGAATACTGATTAAAATTGGAAACCAGCAAGCCTATATATCAGTTATACCAATTTAGATATGACTTCTCCAAGTTTTCACTTTAGGTGGATATGCTTATTGTGCTGTTGAATTCAATGCACATGAAATATTTTACAGCTTACAGGATGGTCAACTCCAGGCATCTCCCCAGTTGCAGAATCATTCTCATTCATTACTGTTGAATGGCTCAGTGTTACAAAGCAGTCCGTCAAGGCATGAAGCTTCATCACACGATGATACGTCTACTGGTGCAACACACTTTTTTTTAGATGAGCATGGTAAGCAATGCACACTGTTAAAGTAACTACAATTTCATCTATGTGCTTTAAGCCCCTGACTATATTTTTTAAAAAAGTACAATAGATGGCATCAAAATAGGGCTCTCCTGTGCTGGAGGCTAGCACCAGCACAGACAAGATTGGCTGAATGACCTGCAAAAACCTATACTGTAAACTTTTTATGATTCTAAGATTTATGGAGTAAAAACAATACATAGTCTGCATATGCGTGTGAGGAGGGGGGAAAGAAAGAGTCCTGCAGTGTATGGGATTGGAGGAGGGCGTCATAGTTTCTCCCCTGTGGAGAGTGAGTCAGCATGTTTGTTGTTAGAAAGTCTTATTTGAGATGAAGGAAGCAACAGTTGAATACAATGCCATTCTTTTCCAGGAGAAATACGATCATATACGTTTGGTGTTCCCAATAGAGGTTATGAGAATTCATTGAATCGCCTCCCAAGCTTAGAACACGTTCCAAGTATACGGTAAGTAAGTATGTCTTATTTAATCAAAATACTCCCAAGAATATCTGGACTTGTGGAGTTCTTGTAGCTCAGTGGTTAGAGCGCTCCTCGCAAGTGAGAGACCTGGGTTCGATTCCCGGTAGGGCGAAACGTTGGCCAAGTTTCCTTACTCCACATGCCTCTGTTTACCTAGCAGTAAATAGGAACCCGCTTGTTAGTCGATTGGCGGATCGCTTTTCACTCAATCCACGACTGTTGGTGGGACGCTGTTGTGCGCAATGGCTGCCACATTTCGCCCACAAAATATACAGTCAATTCACTTTACAGTGTACTCTGTGAAATTCTTTGAGACTTCTCGAAGACGTGATAAAGCACTATATCAAATTCAAGGGTTATTATTACCTTAGCCATTGTGTGATTATAGGGTGTTGATTGTGTTTGTTTACAGGAGTGAACAGTAGGAGATAACTCATGAATGTTAACAACTGTGAATGAATTCTGAGATTTTTCACACTGGTGAATTAGCCTTGTAATATATACTGTTCCAAAATGTCCAAGGGAGAACCAGATTCAAGATTATAGTTTAACATCAAACACATTATGTCATCTTATTTTTGCTTGAACTAGTTAACCACTTATAACAACTGATAACATTTTAGATTTTAGCAAGAGGTATTCATGTCTTGCTACTCAAGATTTTCCCCTCCAATGGATAATTTTAAAACACTTATGGACATTGATCATCACTCTGACTGAAAGGGCAGCAGTGACCTCGATTTAGCGTCTCGTCAGAAACAAGGCATCTCCAACATTTCATTGATCTGTCAGCCTAGACCGTGAGTTCCTTATCCCAAGGTGGGGCTTCAACCCTAAATATTCTGACTCCAAACACTACCCAACTTAGCCAGGCTGACACACTGGTTTAAATGGTTTATCACTGTCACCTGAAGAACAAGTAAATTCTAGTCTTGAAATTTCTGCTCAAATTGTTTTTATATTTACTATTTTAACTTTCTTTTTTCCTGGTTGTGGTCAGTTCTGTCGAGCAGGAAGGAGAATAAATAACAGCTTTTTGCCCGATACATCATAATTTTCACCACAGAGGGTTATTGGTTTGACACCATTGCTGCACATTTACTGATATGAATTATTACAGGAAAATTCTATGTCCAGAATATGTATAACTTACATGAATGCTGCATTTGATCTGTTGTGTCATCCTCCCGCTACAGCAAAATACAATTGAGACAAATATGTTCAAGGAACAAAAGAATGCTGGTATTCTCATTGGACTCAGTAGAGGGTGCTGTATGCCCATCTGTTTCAACCTTTATGATTCTGCATTGGATTTCAATACATAAAACCACACCTACTTATTTAGAGGCGCACTTAACGTAGAATTTTTCAAAAACAGTTTTCTTGTTCCTTATTTCACTGGTGCCGTAAAGCAGCACAATAGTTATGTTGAAAGAATATTTTTCTATGTCAATTTCTATCCTCCACTTTTTTTATATCATCTGGGTGCCTGACACATGCAGAAATTTAGCACCATGTTTAAGAGTTTCAAAATTAGATTAACAATTCTACATTTGTATGCCACCCACACCTGTGAATTTCTCGGTGTCTTGAATGGAATGCACATTCTCTCCCTGGAGAGTATGGAGCACAAGTTGACAAGATCTAAGGCTTTGGGACCTCAAGTGTATGTTGGGGTGTTCCTTGAGATCTGCCCCTCCTAGTCCTGCCAATGAGCTAGGCTGGCTGGTCAGTTATCAGCAGTACTCTGGGTACTGTGGACTTGCTTGGCTAAGGAACTGGACTACCAAGGCTGCTGCAGAGAGTTGATTCAATTATGATATTCTGTTGCTAAGAGCATTACGTTGGAGCCAGATCAGTTCCAAGGAGACCCTACTTAACTCCTTGCTCCCCCCTTCCCCCCAGGAGGATAGTCACTAGTTGGTTATTTCACATCCAAAAAGTGCAGATTTGAGCCTTCACTTGGTGGATAGAAAGTACCAGCGATCAACACGGTTCAGCTCGAAATGTATGAGAGCATTGCCACCATCCTCCTATCCACAAGTTGGACACACATCCCTATCCATGGAGCTATGGTTCCACCAGTTGGAGGTGCAGAGCTTAAGCAGAAGCTGCTTACCTTCCTGCATACCAATAATTGGATACCAGGTCCTGGATATCCGAATATCTGTTCACGAACCCCGACTCCAGGTAACACCTTCCAGCAGCTGTTGTCCCACACTTCAGAGTTTCCTCATCAGCTATTCAAAGGATAGCTACCTACAGCATCATGACATTTCCTAGAATGAATCTGTCCTGAGTTAGATGAACAGTGCCAGGACAGATACAGAGCTTTCATTACCTGTGACTTGATAGCTTCCCCATTGGAAAATGCATGCAAATAGCCTGCTGACATTTACTGTCTAGACCTACACAGGATGATTACTTGGGCACTTGACACCAATTGATGCCTTTGGGAAAGGAGGAAAAATGTTTTTTTACAAATAAAGAAATAGGAAATGATGTGAACACTACCAAGTGTAATGCAGAAAAATAAAGTCTGTTTAAAAACAAGATGTTGCGGATAACACCCAACTCTTATCTCTCTACTTCCACCCTTGACTCCAGGACCACTGTTGTCCTGACAGAATGTCTGTCAGACATCAAGTCCTGGATCACAGATAATTTTCTTCAGTTGAACGTCAGCAAGACCGAGGGTCTTCAGATTTACTCCCGTCAGCGCCTCCACACCTCGGTCGCTGACAGTATCACCATCCAAGGTTGCACACTCCACCTTGCTAAGCCAGTCCAGAACCTTGGCGTCTTGTTTGGCCCACAACTATCCTTTCTACCCCACATCCGTGCCATGATCCGCTCTGCCTTCCCCCACCTCCACAACATTGCCTGGCTCCGCAACTGTCTCACACCACAAGCCGATGAAATCCTCATACACGCATTCACAACATCGAGGCTTGACTATGCAAACTCCCTGCTTGTCGGCCTCCCCAACTCCTCCCACCACAGGCTACAGATCATCCAGAACTCTGCAGCTCATGTCCTCTCCCGCACCAGGCTCCGTGACCCTATCACCCCCATTCGCACCCGACTCCACTGGCTTCCCAGCACAGCGGATACAGTTCAAGATCCTGGTCCTCACCTTCAAAGCCCTCCATGGCCTTGTTGCCCCCCTACCTCTGCGACCTCCTAAACCCCTACCAACCTGTCCGCTCCCTCCGCTCAGTGGGCTCCAGCCTGTTTCACGTCCCCAGTCTTGCCTGCCCCACCATGGACGAATGAGCCTTCAGCCACTTGGCCACCATCCTTTGGAACTCCATCTCGCAGTCCCTCCACCTCGCCCCCTCCCTTGCTTCCTTCCAGATCCATCTCAAGACCCTCCTCTTTGACCGTGCCTTCAATCACGCTGCGTCCCCACTGCCCTCCACCCTCCCCAATCCCGATCTCCAGCTTGGGTCCAAAACATTGACTGACCAGCGCCTTGGGACATCATCCTGACATGAAAGACACTATACAGATGTTAATTTTGGTGGTGGTGTAATGGAAAAACAGTAAAATGGGTACTCTGGAAAGAAGAGATCAGTGGGCTAAAGGTTCTTCATCTGAACCTCTCTTGTGATCTTGTGAACTGACCACATGTAGCTTCATCTTATTCCGGATTGCTGACAGAAATGCGTTCAGTGGGGATCACTGGTACGCATCTCCTGAGGGCCACATTCTTCTGAAATTGTGATTGTGGCAGACACAGTCCGCACTGCCAAATCACATCAGACGTAACACATGTTTTCCATTTCTTCACAGGGAACCTCAGTCCCACTCTCCCAGTTACACAACAGCAGATGGACAAGGTGGAGCAGAGGTTGCTGCAGCTGAGTCACCCTTCCAACACCAACCAGCTGTACTGCAGAGAATGCATATTAGAAGAAGGCATTCAGAGCCGCAACTGGTATGTAGTTATGCCACTCAGAGATGATTGAAAACACCTCATAGCTTCAAAATAGAATATACAACTATGTGTACTAAGGGCAGAGATTCTTCCTACTTAATGATTATTAACCCTGCAAGCCCAAGCCCTAATGGATAAGGTGGACAAGCAGTGGGAAAGCTTGCTTGCTGATGCTTTCAATGGCAAACTGCATTTTAGCTGGTTAAACTCTAGCAGTACCCCAACTCTTAAGCCTTGGCTCTTGTCAACCTATGCCTAATACTCTCTGGAATAAAGTAAGCAGGATGCTTCCCTACAAAAAGTGAGTGCATATTCCATTCCAATACAAGGGAATTTCCAAGTGTAGCTGGGATGCTGAAACTCAGTTTGGTTTGGATACTCTTAAGCATGATGATGGGTTTCCATATGTGTCAAATGCCCGGCTGACCAAAAACGTTTGCTACTTGTATGCATCTATGCATGTATTTGTATTGAAGTTAAGATATGTATTTCAATGAGGTGTAATTGGTGCATTCTGTTAAAATGTGCAAATAATATTTTGTGGGTGAAACACAGCAGCCAGTTGCGCACAGCAGTGTCCCACAAACAGACAAACAGCTGTGGATTGAGTGACCCATATTATTTTTTTTTAACTTATTTTTTTTGGAAGGGATTATTACCCCTGGAAAAGCGAGCCGCCAATTGACCACCAACTGGGTTCCTATTTATTGCTAGGCAAACAGAAGCCTGTGGAGTAAGGAAACTTGCCCAACGTTTCGCCCTGCCGGGTCCTCTCGCTTGTGAGGCGAGTGCCCTAACCACTGCGCTACAGGACTCCAATGTTTGTATACAGAGAGAATTTACTCTCTTATATATGCCTTTAATTGTATAATAGGCAACTGATGAAAAATACTACAAAATCAATATAGTTGTCAATTTAGTAGTACCTGCTATACATGCTTTTACACATGGTTAGCACAACTTGTAAATTAGACCCCATTATAGCAAAAAAACTTAAGAATTTTATTGTTCATACTTTAATTAAAATATAAAAACAAAATCTATTAAAATGAGAATATTTAACTCTGGATATCACTGATCCCTTGCGCTCCTTGGAATCACATTCTTCTTCATCATTCAATAAATTTAAGGAAGTGAGGCTTCTAATGGCATTTTAACAAAAATTGAATGCTTGCATTAGACGTCCTGGGATGTGATCCAATGATTGGTTTTGGTAATTTATTCCAGCTGAGCACTCAGACTTTACATAAACAATGCAAGGCAAGTACGAGGAAGAAGATTTCTTTTATTTGCCATTTGTAAAATTATGCTTAAATTCCTTTGCTGTAATAGTCTTATGGTTGGATTTATAAATTCAGGGGATACATGGCAAACTATAGCAACCTTCATTAATCAGTGTTCCAGCCAGTGTTGCAATATGCTTTTTGTGCATATCCTCAGGAATATATTATTGCAAAGGAATAATTTATTGATCTGTTTTCAGTTATTCTTGGGAATGAACATTGTACAATTCAAAATTAATTTTGAAAAGCATGAATTGGGAATCATCCATCTTTAGCAAACTCTGATGTACAACAACATTATCAGGATGATGGCGCTACTGTGGACTGTACTGGGTTAGATCTAACCAAAAGTCTAAATGGGTGGATAGATGATAAGCCAATTAGACTGATCAGATTTAATAAAGGTAAAGGTTAATGATGTTCCATTAAATACCATTAGCAGATTTATTAAATATTCAGTGTGGTATTTACAAGGCATGTTAATGATGTATAGGGAGAGCAGTCCAGGGCTTTATAAAGTCAAACAGATCAGAAGATCACAGGTTCACATTCTAGTCTGTGCTGAGGAAGATGATCTTAGCTGAGCAGCAGTTGGAGCGTTATGTCCATTGGCTTTAGTTCCTCTATGTTTAGGAAAGGAAAAATCAGCCAGAGTCACTGCTACTGTCCAGACTGTGTGTCAGTCTAGCTCGATTGACAGCACTGAGTCAGAAGATTATGGGTTAAAATTCCTTGGCAGGTCTTGGAAGTCAGATTGTCTAAGATAACCCTCTACTGCAGTGCTCAGGTGTGGTGCTTTGTTGTAGGTGTCGTCCTTTGGCTGAGACGTTAAACCAACTGCCGTCTGCCTGTTCAGGTGGACGTTAAAGAGCGCATGGCACTATTCAAAAAGGGAAGAGCATTTCTCCCGTTGCCCTGGTACACAGTCCCTCAAATAAAATTGGTAATTCACTTCATATCTGTTTATGGGACATTGCTTTGTGCAAACTGGCTGCCACATTCCCCACAAAACACAGTCCCTGCAGTATATCCTGTGAATTGTTTTGGGATGTCCTCCTGACATGAAAGGCATTACACCAAATGTAAAGATTATTATTATTTTTAGAGTATGTGTATGTCTATCCAGTGAGAATAGATTTAAACTCGGCTGTGATGCCTTCTACAACGGAATAGACTGCTGAAACTCGTGTCTGGTCCCCTACAATAAAGACAAGCATTTATTTGGTGACTGTCGGTGCTCATAAAATCATTTTCCATAAAGATTCAATGAGGAGAGAAAAAGATGAAATAAGTTCATAGGGACTGAACATTTCCATGCACATTTTGAGTCCACTAATGGATTTCTGAAATTGGGAGTTGGAATCAGAATTCAATCCAAAAACTAAAACTCTTGCATCCAGTAATGATTGGGTCAAAGTAAATTGTGTTGTACATTGTTGTGGTTTAAGGTCAGTTACTGGAATAAATGTATTATGTGAAGAAGCTTGCAAATCTCCTGCATAAAATCTATCCAGACTAAACACCAGTCATTGAAAGTGATTGAATGGCCATGTGGAGCTTCTATTGTTCGGGTTCATATTAATGATGAAAATGTATTATAATGTAATTTATTGCTAGCCAGGTAGGATATTTGAAATTAAATTAAGAACAGCTTCTCGAATTTATGTCAAAATTTATGTGGAATCCTGTAACTCAGTGCTTGCCTCGCAAGCGAGAGACCTGGGTTCGATTCCCGGGCAGGGCGAAATGTTGGGCGAGTTTCCTTACTCCACATGCCTCTGTTTACCTAGCAGTAAGTAGGAACCTGGTCGTTAGTCAATTGGTGGATTGTTTTTCCGGGGTAATAATTCCTTTAAGAAGATCAAAATAAATTGGTCACTTCAATTCACGGCTGTTTGTGGGACACTGCTGTGCGCAATTGGCTGCTGCATTTCGCCCACAAAATATATAGTCAATTCACTTTCTAGATGGATTAATGGATATGGGGATAGGGCGGGTAAATGCAATTTGGTTGGAAGATCAGCCATGATCTTATTAAATGGCAGGGCACGCTCGAGGCGCCAAATGGCCCAATCCTGCTCCTATGTCTTATGGTCTTATGGCCTTTACAGTATATTCTGTGAAGCGCTTAGCGACGTCTCGAAGACGTGATAAAGCGCTATATAAAAATACAAAGATTATAAAAGAAAATGTTTACTAAAAAAATCTTCAGAATAGTTGGAAACAATCATTATAAGTGCAAACAAATAACCGGAGTGAAGATGGAATGAATGATTGGAAATGGTGGAATAGTTGCTGATTTTATTTGCAAGATCATTTGCAAGATTTAGCAATCCCTCACCCCCTACTGATAAATCTGCAACATGGATTCTATATAACCAAATCAAGTGATGCAAAGTTTAACTGGTATTCCCATGATAATGGCACAATCCAACATTGTTGTTACTAACTAAAGTCTGTGTGTTTACCCCTCTCCTGGCTTGGAAAGTAATGTATGTGAGCTGTTGTATCACACTGAAATTGAGTGAAATCACAAAGCACTTTCAGAATGCTGAATTGATTTGAGTATCATCTCAACCTTACAAAAGTTGAAAGCTCCCCAAAACCACTTTCAATCCAGCTTTGAAGTCTTCCCTCCACAGTCACATCTCCTAGCCTTATAGATTCTCTTGAGACAAATTCTTTGATTTATGGACACTTTTGTCTTTTCCTCTGATCATTGGATTTTTTTTAACTGAAGATAAGAGCAACATCGGGGAGCTTTTCCCAGTGTTTATATTTTAATATAAGGTTAATTACTTTTGGAGCTGAACTGTTTGCTTATTCTGAGCAGGAAGAGTTCATTATTACAACAACAACAAATTGCATTTATATAGCAGCTTTCACATCGGGAGGACATCCCAAGGCACTGGACAGTCAAGGGATTGTACTCCTTTACAATGCTGGCTGAATTTTTGTTTTAAGATGAATGTTGTTAGGAGTACTGTTATGTTGAGTCCTATATGTTGTACTGTTAGGAGAGCAAACAGCAGCACAGATACAATAACAACGTGCATTCATATAATGATAATCTGTACTGAGTGGCCTCAATGGACTGAATGGCCTCCTTCTGTACGCTAAGCTTTCTAAGCATAAAGGCATTTAGCACCTTCCATATAAAAAATCTTCACCAAATGAGGATAGTGAACGTTATCTAACTCGGAAATTGGGCCAGCAACGTCCCTACATAAGAATAAGATTTTTGGCCAATTTGGATAAGGGAGGGATATAGACCAGGACAGATTACATTTGCATTTACAGGGAAGAAAAAGAAACATCAGAAATCAAAATGCTTCAAAAATCAAATACCTCAAATCAAAAATGACATTAAAATGGAATAACATTTCCGTTTTAACTTGGCATTCACGTCACAAACTCCCACGATTGTATGGTCAGGTGGCTTATAAACCTCTCTTCCATTGTAACTTCACGTGAGCACCTCCTGTGACGCCCAGCCAACGTTAGAGTGAGTTTGCTGGCTGTGGGTATCCTATATGAAGTAGGTCAGGGTTATTCCTGTTTTAGTGAAGATAAGATTACAACACAAACCTTGGGAGAGTGGAAAGTGAAACATTATCATTCTGGCCTGGATTCACACCGAACTTTCTGAGGTGAAAGAACTTTCATCTGGTATGAATCTAGTCCTATGAGATCCATAATTTGATGTCCCATAAAGAACGTAAATGTAAATATATGAGCATTACTTTTTTAATTAATTGCTTGTCTTCTAGTTTGTTTTTAACTGTATCTTTCTTTTGTGCCTACAAAGGGTCGAAGCAGTGCCCATGAATCTTCTGTTGACATTGTAGAAGAAAAATCCAACTGCAGACAATCCTATAGGTTTTGGGTCTTGCCTGGCAAGTGGGTGCAGATTCAGTATGATCGCCTGGCATTGCTGACCTTACTTGACAGGTATATATAGTCATTTTTATTTTTTAAGCTGTACAACTGTATAGCAGTGCTAGCTAACCTGACTGTGTGTCATGGATATGCGCCTGTAATGTCTTGAACATTTTTCCTTGTAATAAGTACTAAATGGATGGAACAATCCTACAAGCAGCAAGCGTGGAGTTAATGAATCACATAATCTTCTTACAGCAATGCTAAATTAGAGCCTAGCTTAAAATAATAATAATAATAATCCTTGCATTTTATATATCACCTTATCATATCATTGAAACGTCTCAAAGCGCTTCACAGAATATATTGTAAAGTGGATTGTAATATATGAATATATAAAATATTTTGTTTTCACAGAAATCAGGAAATTGGGGAAAACATATTGGCTGTTTGCCTTGCTGTCCTTGTTGCTCTTCTCGGATTTACGCTGCTTAATCTAGGATTTTTCAGGGACTTGTGGGTGCTCCACTTCTGCCTCATCATTGCAAGTTGCCAGTACTCCCTACTGAAAGTAAGTGGCTGTGCTTTGGTGCGTTTTGTGTTCTGTTACCATTTGATTGATGTTGAGATGCTTTATATTACTGATTTATTTTTCTCTCTCCTATGTTTCAGAGTGTCCAACCTGATGCTGCATCTCCCATACATGTAAGTTGCAAAAAAGAAACTTGATTCATTTTGCAAAATAGCTGAATGATATGTATCAAACATCAGTAACCAACGACACACCCGCCCCTGTAGTAGCAATAGTAATAAACTGAAATCAATATGCTAATGTAATTTCTATGGGGTAGCCCTTTTTACACATATGTAATAAGATCATATTTATGTAATACTTATTTCTCAGGTTGATGATGTGAAAGAACTAGTGTTATTTTTAAATTCTGAATAAGGAAGGGAAATATGGGGGAAATGCTCCTATGTACTCAGTGATATGTGCTGATAATAAAATCAGCACATTTCTCCACAAAATTGTCATTTCAAACATGGAACAGTAGATTTTGGGGCTGAAGAAGAATGCATCTGATACTTTAAATGTCAGTTGATTTCTTTGATTTGCTTTGTATTCAGAGTAACCAAAAAACAGAGCTTTAGTAATGCAACCCATTATTGTTTACTGAGCGCTTGAGTTTGTGTTTTGACATTACTAAAATATAACCATCACTCATTATACACAGTGGCCAAAATCCAATAAATCTACACTGACCCTATTAGATATTTGTGATGCACAATGTTCCAGTGGTCAGTCTATATTTACTTTATATAAGTGATTTGTATATTTTCTCCCCTTCCCCTGTTTGAACTTGACGGCACCACACACTAGAACCTCGGTTGAGTGGCTCTGCAGTTGGCTGGGAGAGAGATGGAATGCTTACATTTGTATATCGTTTGCATATGTTATCAACAGTGTTCTGCAAGCAGCTTAAAAGCATATTAAATCGCATCCCAATATACCAGTACACAGTCAACAACAACAACAACAAGATTCCATTTATAGAGCGCCTTTCACGTCGGGAGGACGTCCCAAGGCGCTGGACAGTTGGGTCAGGACCCGAGCAGGGGGGAAATGGTCAGGGTGAGGGGAGGGAAGGGAGGGAGCGAGGAGGAGGGAAATGGTCAGGGTGAGGGGAGGGAAGGGAGGGGGCGAGGAGGGGGTAGAGAGTTGAGAGGGGAGCTGAAGGCACGGTCAAAGAGAAAGGTCTTGAGACCGGCCTTGAAGGAGGAAAGGGAGGAGGCGGCGAAGGCACTGGGGGATGGAGTTCCAGAGCCTCGGGGCTGAGAGGCTGAAGGCCCGACCACCGATGGTAGGGCGGTTGGGGCGGGGGATGTTGAGCAGACCGGAGCCAGAGGAACGGAGGGTACGGGCAGCTAAGTAAGGGGATAGTAGGTCAGAGAGGTAGGAGGAAGCAAGGCTGTGAATGGCCTTGTAAGCGAGGATGAGGATCTTGAATTTGATCCTCTGGGGGATGGGGAGCCAGTGGAGGTGAGCGAGGGTGGGAGTGATGTGGTTGCGAAGTCTGGTGCGGGACAGTACACGAGCTGCAGAGTTCTGAATGACCTGCAGCTTGTGGAGGGAGGTGCCGGGAAGGCCGGCGAGGAGAGAAAACCGTCATCTGTTACAAATAGGAGACCAGGTTAACACCAATAGTAAGGAAAATATAATTCCAAAGCAGTGCCTACGAAATCTGACCTTTCGTGTTGGACCAGCACTATTTCTGTAAATAAGCTCGGAATGCTCAGATCTAAAATAGGTCTGCATAAGGGAACAATAGTTGACTGGATGTTAATACGACAAGGGTAATATCTAATGAGACAAATATATTGCTGTAAGCCACGACAGTCTCTGTTACGTTGAAGGCTTGTCTGGTTCCCACAACTCTGCAAGGCAGTTTAGGATGATTTCATACAACAGATTTTTTTTTAAAAAAGCATGTTATTCTATTATAGTTCACAATTTTTTTTATCCCAGTTTAGCAAAGCTGATTTTTGATCATACGTTTCATCTTTAATAGTTACTAAATTTCAGTCAGAACAACCAGTGTGTTTTTATTTAACTGCATTATTTTGCCTCTGGATGCTGAGTATTTCACTGTGTATTTGCGGTACCATAACCAGAGTTATACTGACATGTTGTAATTAGCAGACTTTATGAAGATGAAATGGAGTTCGTTGTCCGCTAATAACTATGTCACTTCATTTGGGATTGATTGTTATGATATCAGCAGTTTAATAATCTCTGAAGCGTGTAACGTGTTTGCCAGATGAAAAAACAAAAATGCAAAAGACTGGACTAGCGTGCAAGCATCAAGTGAAGCACTACTTAATAAAACGGCAATTCAAATCTTCGGAACATGTTTTGCATATTATCAAATGCAACGTTGCAATCCTCAAGGCTACAGATGGAAAGGTATATCATTATATTCTGCTGTAGTGTTGGAAGCGTAATGCATTGTGCAGTCGGCTTCTGGACCCAACCATTATGAGCAGAGAGAGGTGTCCATTTCCAACACATCTATAGACCAGTCAATAATTTTCAGCAAATTGTTTGTACCATTTGTGTTCATTATTTTCACTACGATAAAATGGCCAACTTCCAGGTCATCAGAACACCACCAATGCCACTTCTTGCTTTGCGCATACTTAGCAAACAGGAAGTGACATTGACCGTGATCCGTTGGCTTGGAAGTCAGGCATTTTTTTCTTGTAGTGCAGGAACCGGCTGACGGTCAGAGAACAAATCACATGTTCTGACCAACTTATTGCATGCGCGGTAAATTGGCTATCACCCCTTGATTTTATGGAACACAAATTCCATGTTATAACAAGAATCCACTGTATGTTTAATTGAACTGACATTGAGGACACACCTGGTAAAACTCGAAAGTCAGCAGTAATTCAAGGCACTGTTTATAGTTGACTAACCTCTTTAGTATGGACATAATCATGATTTTGGAAAATCAAAGTCCTAATAGCCAAACTACTGGGCAAAAACACCAGTACTTTATACTGCTAACATATATGGGTGACCAGTATAACCACAAAGTATTCAGGAGAGAGTAAGGGAGGGGAAGACTACTTTGCAAACTTTTTGACTACAGTTTGGTGAGGGAGATGAGCCAAAATAGTCACCCATCAATTTCACCTCCATAACATGTGAGTGACATGATAATACATCAATTGCAAGATACTAGCTGACTCATCACAGTGAAGATAAGTATTTGAATTCTGGCCTTTGTATTGATCTACACAAAGTTGGCTTCTCTGTTTGATCTGAAATATAAACATATTCATTATTGATTATTTAACTTTCAAAATAATACTGAATTTAATACACAATCTTAAATTTTAAGACAAAATTAGGTTATAGACTATAGAGAATATCAGTGCTACAATGCATATTGATGAGTGGATATTTGTATAGCGCCTTTCATGTCAGGAGGACGTCCCAAGGCGCTGGACAGTCAGTGTTTCGGACCTGAGCTGGGGAGTGGAGGTTAGGGGGGGAAGGAAGGTGATCAAAAGCACGGTGCAGAGGAAGTCTTGAGATGGGTCTTGAAGGAGGCAAGGGAGGGTCGAGATGAAGAGACTGCGGGATGGAGCTCCAGAGGGTGGGGACAGAGTGGCAGAAGACCCACCCACCGATGGTGAGGCGGGCGAGGCGAGGGACATGAAGCAGGCCGGAGCCCGCTAAGTGGAGGGAGTGGGCAGGATGGTAGGGGGTTAGGAGGTCGCAGAAGTAGGGTGTAGCAGGGCCATGGAGGGCTTTGAAGGTGAGGACCAGGATCCTGAACTGTATCCTTTGTGTGATGGGAAGCCAGTGGAGTCAGGCGAGGATGGGGGTGATAGGATCACGGAGCCTGGTCTGGGAGAGGACATGGGTGGCAGAGTTCTGGACGATCTGCAGCCAATGGAGGGAGAAGTTGAGGAGGCCGACAAGCAAGGAGTTTGCATCGTCAAGCCTCGATGTTATGAATGCGTGTATGAGAGTTTTGGCGGCCTGCGGTGTGGGACAGTGGTGGAGCCGGACAATGTTGCGGAGGTGGGGGAAGCCTGAGCTATACTACTATGCTGCACACCCACATAATATAATTTTTCATGATGGTTTCAGTTTTGACAGGAGAGAGCCAAGCTAAGGGGGAAACAAACAGCTTGGCTTTTCATTCAGCTTCACCAAACTAGATTTTCACTGAAGGTGAAAATCAAATCCAAAGGTATTCCTGAATACTTGCTCAATTTTAGAGACAACTTTGATCTCCTCTTTCTGTGTAAGTTTAAAGACCAAGATCTAAATTGTTGAAAGGTTTGCATCTTTGTTTAAATGCTTCTTCATATTTTTGACTCCAATCCTGAGACCAGATAAAAGAAACTGGCTTTGCAAAGGACAAAGGAGTGATATGGAGGAAAAACATGGGTTTAAGATACATTTGTTTAATTAAGATATGTATTTGCTGCCTTATCTGCATACCTGCCCACATCGAGAAATTTGCCCAGGTTATTTCAATGTCCAAAAAAGTGATTCTAAATGTTAAATGTTAATGGTGATTCAGATTTTTTTGAAAGCTTTCATGTGAACCCCAATATATTGGCTACAGAAGGCATTTACATCAAACAATATCTGAAACACTAAGACTGACCTTTTCCTGTTTTGATCTTAGAACTTCCAAAGGAATTCTTTTCACAGGGTGATGAGGGCCTTTTATAAAATGACTCTTAAACAGGCCATTTTCTTGTTTCTCTTTCAGGGACACAATAGAATTATAGCGTATAGCAGACCTGTTTATTTCTCTATATGCTGCGGCCTTATTTGGGTCTTGGATGCTGGAAGTAAATGCACTCGATTTCCATCTTCTACCCTTTACGGAGTCACATTAATTTCTCCAGAAAATTTTGGAACTGCCAGAGATGTTGTTATCGGTGAGTCTTTGAGACAATGTTAATCGTAACCTTTAAAATGTTTGTAGTGTTTGTAGAAATCAGACAAAGCTATTTTTTTTTACTCTTATATTCATGAGACCAGGTGTACAAAATGTTCTTAATTCACCTAAATGCAGGGCAATTTGTCGTTCGTCTCCTCACGGCTTATGGGATGCTGTATGGTAACTGTCAGGTTTATCTGCACAGCACTCACTGCATTGCTTTGGTCATGTGAAGCATCTTGAGATACTTCAATGTGATAAGGTGTCATGTCAATTGGATTTTTTTTGAATAAGTTAAAGGAATTGTGTATTGATGGATAGGATGTTGTCATTTCATTCATTAAATCAGTTTACTTGTATTTTCTATTGATTTTAAACTATGACCTAAATAACTAATAGTTCCTGCATTTTATATAGCGCCTTTCATGTCAGGAGGACATCTCAAAGTACTTCACAGGATTAACTGTAAAGTATAGTGACTATTTTGTTTCCCCGTAAACACGACAACCAATTTTGCGCACAGTAATGTCCCACAATCGGCCATGACGTGAATGAACAATACTACTTGGGGGATTGTTTATCAGGACACCAGGAGAAATTCCCTTCTTTTTGAATAGTGCCATTGGATCTTTAAAGTTCACTTGATCAGGCAGACAGAGCCTCAGTTTAACTTCTCATCCTAAGGATGGCACCTCTGACAATGCAGCACTCCCCCAGCAGTTGTGTCAGCCTGGACTGTGAATTGAAAGTCTCTGTTGTGGGGCTTAAACCCATAACCTTCTGACTGAGGGGCAAGAGTGCTGCTAAATGTGCCAGGCTGACTCCTAAGTCTAGTAAGTCTAACTTGCTGCTTTTATTAATGGTAATCTCTTAGCGTGGCACTTGTTTATCAAGCCTTATCACTCTGCCTACCTAATACAGCTTTTACTGTCATGGTTCAGGATGTCTATGCAATTCTCAAGTTTGCTTTGGATTACTGCCAAGCTTTACCAGGTATTCCCATTTAAAGCTGTTTCAGCTGCAGGGAGACATCACTCACTTATTTTACTCCCCCCACCCTCCCTAGGATTTGAACTTGGAACCTTCACAGATTCATAGGTCCTCAGTCACCTATTTCACTGCGTTAGCTTGCGGGATACTGCAACATGAATGCAGTGGAAGAATAAAAAGGACTGGGGCATGGCAGCAGGATGTAGGTGCCTCTATCGATAAGTCATAAAGATATGCCCTAGACTGCGAGGGAAGCGTGCTATTATTGGGACTGGTGCCAATCAGACACAATTCATTCCCAAAAGCTGTATGGAAGGCATGATGTGGTATTGAGATTGTTTCTATTAATCTGATTTTGTTGTATTCTCTATTGGTTGCATTCTGCATTTGCAGCCATAAGGAGAAGGCACTGTCTGTTTGATTTCCCTTCCCTGTGCAACTGGATAAATGTTTGTACAGCCAAGCGACATATTAGAATAGCTCAGGTTTTGTGGTCTGAGGTGTGTCATATTGCCGTGTCGTCCAACATAAATAAAGCTGGGATATGTGGAAGGTTATATGTGGAAAGATATTTCTTGAGGAAATTAACATTTCTTCCTTAGAAAATAGGAGAGCAATGGTGACAGACTTTCCTCCGGGAGATGCAGGAAGGTATCTGTTTACTTTGATGGGTGTCGGCAGCTTCTATGCCCATAAGATATGGTCCAACAGAATGAAGTATACGCATAGAATATTTTATTACCATAATCTGTGTTGAATGTTGGCTGCAGTTCTGAAACCATTCATGTGAATCTGTTGCCATCTGCTCTTACAGCCAACAATATTTAGATCACTGGAATGTAATTGCATATCGTTTCTGCAGTAGATGTTTGGAAATATTAATAAATATATCAAGAAGATATGAAAATTCTAACTAATAAAGAAGAGCCATTTCCCCGTTTCTGAGGATGTGATAAAGTTTAGAATGAAATTGGATATAAAGCTGCTTATTCTTTTCCCAGTTAAATTTGTCTTTACCCCTCTTCAGGTCATACTCTAGCTTGATTCCAGTGCAATGCTGGGGGAGTATTGCATTGCCAGACAATGCAGTCCTTCAGACAAGATGTTAAGCCAAGATCCAAACTGATTATTCAGGTAGGTGTTAAAGATCCCATGACACTACTCAAAAAGAGAAGTGAGTCACTTCTGGTGTTATTATTATTATTATTACTGGCCAACAATCCTCCAGGTAAAATTGTCTTTCACTTCATGTCTATTTGTAAGATTTGCTATGTGCAAATTGGCTGCAGCATTTGTTGACAAATTCACAGTTGCAACCCTTTACAGTAAAATCCTGTGAAACTCCTGTGACGTTTTGACAATGTGATGAGGGCCTCTATCAAATGCAATGATTATTATTACAGAGGTCTGATTTGTTTGCAATATGTTGCTTCTTCCAGATATGACAACCTCTATTTTATTCCTGCAAAATGTGGGACTGCAGAAGGAAATAGAATTTTTCTATGAATTGCAGTGACTTTGGGGAATGTGACAGTCAGTTTGTACACATCAAGTGTTCCACAAACAGTCATTAAGTGAATGACCGATTTTATTTGGGAGATTGTTGACCAGGACACTGGGGGAAACGCACATTCCTTTTTCGAATAGTGCCACAGGATCTTTAACATCCACTTGAACAGGCAGATGGGAACTCGATTTGGTTTATTGTCTTATCTGAAGGACAGCACCTCTGACAATCCAATGCTTCTGCAGCATTGAACTGAAGTGTCAGCCTAGTTCAAAACCCTGACATTAGGCTTGAACCCACAGGGTCTGACTCAAGAGTTGAGAGTGCTGTTCTATCTGTATCTGTGACCAGAGCTCCCTCTGACTCCATGTTCTCCTGGATCTCTCTGCAGTGTTCAACACAGTCGACCACACCATCCTCCTCCCTCATCTACCTTAGTAAGACCACACTCACATGGTTCAAGTCCTACTTAACCAACTGCCTTCATTTCATTTCAGCAAATGGTTTCTGCTCCTGCTCCCACTTGATCACCTGTGGGGTACCGCAGGGCTCCATCCTTGGTCCGCTTCTTTTCCTTATCTATATGCTCCCTCTGGGCGATGTCACCCGCAGACATGGGGTAACTTCCATATGTATGCCAATGACACAAAAATCCACATTGCCTCCTCCAGCATTGACTCCAGGTCCGCCGATGTTCTAGCAGCTTGTCTGGCAGACATCAGGGCTTGGATGAGTGTAAACTTCCTGCAGCTTAATATGGACAAGACTGAAGCCATACTCCTTGGCTCCTGTCAAAGTCTTCACTCCTGCAGTTCTAAACTCCTCAACCTCCCTGGGCTCTCCCTCAGACTCAATGAACCATCGCGTAAACTAGACTTCTGTTTCGACCTCCAGTTGTCCTTCCTCCCCCACATCCGGTCCCTAACCAGGATGGCCATCTTCCACCTCTGTCACATTGCCCGCCTCTGACCGTACCTTACCCCAATGCAGCCAAAACCCTTGTGCATGCGTTTGTCACCTCCTGCCTGGATTACTCCAAAACACTCTTCGCCGGTCTCCCCAGTTCCATTATTCAAAATATCCAGCTCATTCGAAACTGCCCCCTGCATACTGACCCAGACCAAACTCTGTACCCACATCACACCAGTTCTGGCCAGGCTCCACTGGCTTCCCATCACCAAACGTAGCGACTTCAAGATCCTCACTCTCATGTTCAAATCCATTCACTCCCTGGCACCTCCCTATCTCTCTGACCTCCTCACTCCCCAATCCACCACCCGGCACCTCCGCTCGATGGGCACCGGCCTCCTGCTCGTCCCTCACATCCTCCGCACCACCATCAGAGGTCGTGCTTTCAGCCACTACGCGCCAAAACTGGAAAACTCTCCCTCAATCCTTCCACCTTGCCCCCTCGCTCCCCTCTTTCAAGTCCCGTCAGAAAACTTTCCTCTTCAACTGCGCTTACAGCCATCTTCCCCCCTCCTCCCGGCTTGGAGTCAGGTTCCCCCACGGTTAAGCGCTCTGAGGTGCCACCCTGTGTGGAGGGCGCTATATAAGTGCTGGTTGTTGTTGTCGTTGCTACCAAGCAGCCAGGCTGACACCAATTACTTGTAAATCTACATTGAAAACTTCTTATAGCATTTGTGCCCTTCAGCTGAGCATTGATAACATCTTGTAAGATGCTGACATCGGTAGTGACTTCCCCACTGCAGCTGTTAGGCTAACTAGTATTTAATTTATAGGCTCATGTCTTCTTTTATGAATTTATACCCCAATTCAAATCAATATAAATCGGAGACTAAATCTCCAGGCAAAGTCCTGTCTACATGTATTTTATACAGGGAACAGATCAAACTTGCGGAATTGTTTTAAATAGTACTACTAATAATAATAATCCTTGCATTTTATATAGCGCTTTTCACGTCTTCTAGACGTCTCAAAGCACTTCACAGAATAGACTGTAAAGTGAATTGACTGTATATTTGTGGGCGAAATGTGGCAGCCAATTATGCACAGAAGTGTCCCATAAACAGTCATGGATTGAAATGACCAACTTATTATTATTTTTTTCTTGAGGGATTATTATCAGGCGTGTGGAGTAAGGAAACTTGCCCAAGGTTTCACCCTGGCGGGAATCGAACCCAGGTCTCTCGCTTGCAAAGCGAGTGCTCTAACCACTGAGCTACAGGACTCCACGATGGTCAGGAAAGAAACTATGCAATGGACCTTAAACAATTACATACTTTTGCCTATTGTTTTAAATAATGTGGTAACACACCTCATAAATCATGGTTTAATCAAAGAACACTTCTCTGATTATTTTCTTAGCAGATTTATGATAACCCTACTCCTAACCCAGTACCGTTTTATTCAGAGCATATTGCCAAGTTAGCAAATGAAAAATTGACCAACAATAAGGAATCCAAAAGATAATTTTATCATATTGGGGTCTCCAGCAATGAAATATTTCTGTTCCAATGAATAGAAACTTCTCTTAAAAAATCCCTTTGCTCTTGCTAGATTTTCTGTGGTGATGTTTATGCATAAAAATGCTGCTGCTAGTTATTTCAAGGGGGTTTACTCCTGTATTACTTTGTATCACCGGTGTGAAGCTCATGCACTTGGTCAAACTTGGTCACTTTTCCATGCAATAGCTTCAACGTCCATTGATCTTTAAGATCTGTAAGGTGAATTTATTCACTGTTTTTTTTACTTCCCTTCTCCCCTTTTAGAAGGACAGATGTAAGCCAGTCTGTAAGGCCATGCCAGAAAAAGCAGGCAAAATAGATCAAAGGCGACTTTATAGATCTTCACCAAATTGTACAGATCTGCCTGAAGGAGAAACTTCTTTCCTTTCAAAGTTCATATGATCCAAATCATGGTGACAGCAATGCCTGCTTAGATTTCAGCAAACAAAACCTCAAGAGTAGCTTTGCAGATCTTTACCAACTTTTACTGACAAGCTCCCTAAAGGAGAAGTTGATTTCCCTTCAAAGCTAAGCTAGCTTGATAAAAATTGAGATGATGGCAGCATTGTTTTAATTTTGAGTGAAAAAAATAAGAAGGGGAATAACTTAAGAGGTATTCCAGATCTTCAGTAAATTTATTTATATTGCCCTCCAGTACTTCGTAGAGACACCATTATTTTATCTACAAGACGATAATTATTATGTGAAAGGGCAGACTGAGCTCACCTGCCAGCTCGAGCAGTTTATTCTTTGAACAACCGAGCCTCGCAGAATGAGAAGGGTCCTAGGGTCTGTTCCCTTGTACCCTGACTTAGCTGATCAGAGCTGGGCGAGAACAAGAAGGGCTTCATTGATTAGTGTGACATTGACTTTTGCGTTATACATTGATTTGGTTCCAAATTCACAACATGGTTAGATTTTGTACAATAGCTGTTTCGGAAGCAGTGCAGCGAATGAGGCACCCACCTCTTATTCTTTCCTATGCATGTTTGTGCTTTTATTTGTGAGCAAAGGGCTATGTTATTGCATTCAGACAAAGGAACTTTGGTACATGAGTATGGTATTGCTAAAAATATACTTAGCAGGGCATTGCGTATTGGTCATTGTGCTGAAAGTGTTAGTGTTACCATTATACAATTTATATTGCAATAATGAGGAGTAGCTGAATCCCTAGGTCCCATTGATGAGAATACAAATTGATTTCAAATCCTGTGTGTGAGTTGTACAGGACATACTTCACATGACACGCCTACCTTTGCCATTCACTTGAGATCTTTTAGTCCTACTTGAAGGGCTGCTGACAAAATTTATTCTGGCAGTCACTTCTTGCCGGGCATGGTATAATAATAACTCTTGCATTCGAGACTTCTGAAAGTGCTTCACAGGATATACTCTAAAGAGACTGTGTGTATTTTGAGCGAAATTGTGGCAGCTAGTTTGCACACAGCAATGTCTCGCCATCAGCCGTGGAGTAAGTGATTTGTTTAGGGGATTGTTGGCCAGGACACCAGGAGAAACTCCTTTCCATTTTCGAATAGTGCCATGGGATCTTTAACATCCACATGGGCAGGTAGAAGGGACCTTGGTTTTAAAGTCTCATCTGAAGGACGGCACCTCAGACAATGCAGCGTTCACTCCCAGCACTGCACTGCAGTGTCATCTTAGACCATGTGAGTTCCAAGTTCTCCGGCATGAGGCTTGACCCCACAGTCTTCTGACTCAGAACTGAGTCAACCAACTGAGCCAGGCTGACATGTTTACCTACAAATATACAGTCACTAGATTTTACAGTTATCACAAAATTCTTGTTTTTTTTGTTTCAGTAACATAATAAAGCACTATAGTAAGTGGAAGGATTATTATTATTGTTTCCTCCTCAGCACATTGTTAATCTTGTCTCTGCCCCCTCCCACCCAGAGGACTTCCAGTTGCTCCAACATTGCTCAGTAGGTTAAAATCTCCAAAAGTAAGAACTGCATTAACATGCTTAGCTGATTTTTGTTCATTTACCACCTTATTTTGCTTATTCTGTGGGAATATTACATTATTGGGCAGGTACAGGATTTCCCTGGCTGTACAAAACGTCTTACATTAAATGTATGCAAATGTTTACTTTGGACACAAACTCCTGACTGCTATGTTTTTAAAGGATTCACAGCAGACATCATGCACATTTCTCAGGCCTTCATGGTGATATGTTGTGTATTTTGGTATTTCTGGTTATCTACTGTTGGGGTGGGGAGAGTGAAACTCTTGATGGATTATGGGCTGTCATGTGATCACACACACACTATATCACTGTTCCGCTTGTTGCCCTTTCACATCCATCACATGAGCTCTAGCGTTCTCAGTGTGCCTGCCACAAAACAGTAAGAGACAAAAAATAAGCTATGTTGATTGAAAATGCAGTTAATTTGAAGGAACAATTCAATCCCTGAGTTGTGCTGATTGCGAACTGCAATGTCCCACAAAACAGCCATGAGGTGAATGACCAATTTTATGTGGAGGATCGTTGGCTAGATCAATGTGAAAAGCTTCCTTCTCTTTTCAAATATTGTGATCTTTAACATCCACCTGAACAGGCCGGTAGGACCTTGTTGAACATCTGAAGGATGGCACCTATGACAATGCAGTTCTCCCCCACCATTGCATTGAAGTGTTAGCCTAGATTTTGAACTCAAGCCTCAAAGTGGTGTATATAAGATGTTTGTCCTGAAGAGGCGAGAATTTAATTTTGAAGGTTTCTGCCTTATACTTTCTGATGGAGATTACAATGCATTTTAGTTAGGTACTGCTGGAAGGGAAATGATTTATTGTAACTTCCAGTAGTATCATTATTATAAGGAAGAAGTGTGATTTATGATTCACTCCTCTTTCTGTTCATCGCACTGACTGGAAGCTGAGGAAAATTGAGTCTACTCATTCACATTCAGGCAGATGCTCCACGAACTGGTATTAACTGATATTAATATAACATTAACTGATATTGACAAGCGGCCTTGTGACCTTTATACAGCTTTCACTTTATAAGCTTGCCTCATTTTGAGAAAGATGTTGTTTTCCCTGGTGTTGAATTGGAACCTATTTTGGGATTTTGATTTCCCATTATTCTACATGTTTCAAATCCATAATAAAATAGTTGGAGATGAAGCAATTGAACCGAATGACATTATGGACAAAGTTGTGGAAGTCTAATTTACGTAGATAATTAACTTTTAACATTTCCATTTGAGTCAAATTTTGTTTTAATACAAACTTTTCCAGGCATGTTGCCAGCTGACACCCACAAATGCCCCCTTTTCAGCAGAAGGGACAAGGGACAGAGTAAGAGCAAGTCTCCTGGCTAATTACCCATCTCTAGCCTCGAGATGCAAAGACCAATTGTTGCCCAGGCTGACAGAAGCTCCAACCACAGACTGTAAATTGAACTTGTGATCTTCTTGTCTGTATTGGTTAGTGCTACATTGGTTAGTGCTACATTAGCTGATGCCTTACCCACTATTCTATAAATCAGGAGAGCTTCAATATTGCAATCCTTGATGTCCATTTCAGGAGTAATACCCAGATTATATTTCGAACTCTGTTTGCACCTCCAAGATTTAAATGCTTCATGAGATTGAAGTGAGCATGTTCTAAAAGCAGTGTATGCACCTCAGATGTTGTCTGCAGGCATCTGACTGCAACGCATGAGCAGTTGCTAGATCAGTAGAGCGAGCGAGAGAAAATATCTCACATCAGAGTTGCGTTAGGACGGCTTTTTCCTGTGTTTGTATTGAATGAACACTGATTTTTTTTTAATATTTTTTTTAATCGGGGTTTATCGGTTAAAACCGAATATCAGACGCTCTAAAGGTACTAAATTTATGTTTAAAAAATCTGCAGAAGTGGAATGTCCCATGTTATGGGCAGCTTGACTTCAGACAATTTCCATTTCAGATTGCCAACATTCAGAGTTTTGTAGCACCAGGCATCTTTAATGGACTATGCAACCATACCTACGTGCCTTTTTATTTTTCTTGAGATTATTTGATTTGAATTTACACCCTCAATTTCAGTAGCTTAATTGCCTTTTTCCAGTGAGAGTGTATTTGTGAATTGAAGTGCCACAACAATGCCTTGTATCTAGCCAAATCTCTCTGGTGTAATTTAAGTACACAATTGCAAAGTATCTTAGTATAGATTCACACAAATTTCAGCACGGAAGGAGTTCATTATTCCTGTTGTGTTCATATCAAGTTATCGCTTTCTTTTTCTCTCTCTATCTCTCTTTTTTGTATTATCTCTCTCTCTTTCTTCCCCCATTCCCCCTTCACTGGAGCTATCTGCTCTTATTTCAGTAATATGCTAAATGCTATATTTACCCTTGAAATTTTATGCAGAAAGAAAGAACTTGCTTTTATAGCATTGTATTTATAGCATATGTTGTATTTATAGCATATGTTGAAATATCTCAGAAGAGTTTTGCAGTAATTATTGTCAAGTGTAGTGACTTTATTGTCAAAAGTGTCTGCCATTTTACTTAAAGCAACGTCTCACTAAGAGTGTCATAGGATATTTAATGTCAAAGGGGACATTAACTGTATAATGTTTAACGTCTGATCTAAAGAACTGCATCTCTGATAATGCAGCACTTCTTCAGTACTGCATTAGAATGAACTTAAGCCCCAGTGTGGGGATTGAACTCTTAATAGTCTGATCCAGAGGGGAATCCTACCAACAGAGTCAGGCTGACACGAATAGAACTAATGAGAATACATTGGAAACGTTCCAAAGCAGCAAAGCTGCACTTTGAGACGTTTCAAAGACGTGATAAGGCACTATATCAAATGCAAGTATTATTAGTATTATTTGTATTTTGGTTGCATGTTCATCAACAAGCTGAGATAGGCTTAGTGTTTGTAAAGAATCGTGTTGCTGTGTGTGATACAAGAGTGACATTTACTGCCTCTTACTGGTTTCATTCCTGTTGTTGCAGGCTTCATGCACTGCTTCCCTGTGATTTTCCTTCTGGGTCTTCTTCCACAAATCAATACTTTCGTCACGTATTTTCTGGAACAAATAGACATACACATATTCGGAGGTTCTGGTATGTATTCACAAGTTTTCATTTTGCTTTTTTTTAGGACTAAATTAAACAATGTAAGGGACTCAGTCATACTTACTGGGTAGACAATTATTTAGGTATGTGACTATAACTTCTATGAGTACTTTTGCGTTAACATCGAATTGCTTGCACACGATTAAAACCTGGCTGAAAGGCAGCATGTGTCACATTTTGATGGATGTGGATCCAGTGTTACACACTCGCACCCATCATCTTGTGTGGTGAACTTGATCTCAACAAAGATAGATGTTGTGTCAGTGGCTGTTCAGTAAAAAGTCCTGTATTTATTCATCCATATGTGTATCCTGTTGTGTTTTGGCTGCTATCACCTACCTGCAATGGTGCTTCACTTCAGCTCTTGTTGTCATTCAATTAAATGGGCAATGAAGGCAAAAGCTAGAAACGTGCGTTAGCAAGTAAATACGGACTGGAACGTGATCAAAAACAATGACTAAACTAACTCAAAACAGAAGACAAGCCAAATCAAATGACCGAACAGAAACTGCCACATACACTGTGGCTATTTGAAGGGAGTTAAGAATTACCCAGGCTCAGTGCTTTGTTTGAATGACAGCACCAGATCCTGGCGTGGTTTTGGAGTGACAAGCTATGCTAATGAGTGCTTTATTGTGTTGGTGCTGTCCTCTCTATACCTCTTAGCAGATTACACGGCCAACCGACAATAGTTCTCTCAACACTTTTTAGTGCCAAGAGAATGTAAATAATTAACATTTAGAGAAATCCTTTCAGCTTTTGCAATGTGCTATAACTGATGTACGGAATGAATGTTGCATAGTGTTGTGATTATGTCCGGTTATGAACAAATTAACACTCTTGTGTGAGAGGTTAGGGCAGTCCTTGGGAAACAGACAGTAAATAAAGTCACTGTCTCTTTGCTTCAGGTCCCATCAGCTCAGCTCCAAGGAGATTCTGCTTACCCTCATTTCCTCCCAACCCACCCCTGGGGGAAAGGGGAGGGTAAGCGGAATCTCCTTGGAGCTGAGCTGGCTTCAAGGTGACATGCTTGGCCAAGGTGTGTCGGAATTGAGTCAAACCTCTCCGCTGGTCTTGGTCGTCTGGTTTCTGAGCCAGGTGGGTTTGCAGTACTCCAAGACACTCTGATGACTGACCGGCCAGCCTGGCTCATTGGCAGAACTTTGAACGGTCGAGGATTATGCCCATTCGGCTCCTTTATCACTGCAAGCCAAAACCATAATGAGTAGGGTGGTCTAAGACAGACAAGCAGCAGGAAGCCTGCCAGGCAGTGCTCTCGATTGCAAGCTAGATGGTTTTGGCTGGTTAAACAGCAGCAGTACCCCAACATACACTCCTTGGATCACACCACCTTGCACCTAATATCTCCAGGATTAGGTAAGCAGGATGTGTCCTCCAGAGATAGAGTGCACATTCCATTCCTGACATAAGTGACATACATATGTTCAACTTTGAGTCTGGTTTGGATACTCTTAAATATGCTCATGGAATTCCGGGATACTCATTTAACCAAACAAAAAATCTGTTTTGTTTGTCACTTCAAATCTGAAACTCGTTCAGCCAGAGAATATGGAGGGGGGATTGCTTGAGAAGGTCAGCCTACAATGCAATAAAATTGCAGTGCTTTCGAGGGCACTACCTGGCAAGCTTCCCGCTCACATTGCTACTATTCAGCACATGGAGAAATGAGGCCTCTGGAGAAACTTCAATCTCTGGTTGACTGGAGGTGGGTGCATGGAGATTGGTGGCTGTGAAGAAATTAATGAAACTAAAAATGAATATTCTGAAACACTTGTGTTTTTCAGCTGCCACGGGCTTAATCTCATCACTGTATAGCTTTTCCCGCAGTTTACTTGCTGTGGTTCTGCTATATGTATTATGTTTTGGTGCAGTAAAGGTAAGGTGATAAGTCTGAATTTAATTCTTAACTTATTCTTAAAAGTACCAACAAATAATGAATGGGATCAGTAATATTCCTCAGCCAGTCTGAAGATACGGCTGTAAGATGACATGTTCTAGATTTTATTTTAACCAAACAGCTGTACTAAAAGTTCTGTGCAAGAAATATACACAAAATCTCATTGTCATAGACTAAGAACTGATGAATTAAGTGTTGACTGTTTATACAAAAACGGAAAATGCTGTGTACCAAAGCAAGTATCTGAAAGAAGATAAAAAGATTAACTCATCATAAACCAGGGGATTTGATGGATCAGTAGAGAGTTTAGCCCTTATGTAACATTATATTTGGGATCCATAAATTGAGGCTCCACATTATAATGGAGTGGGTTGTAGTGCAGATGTTTATCAGCACTTCTGAAGTTGTCAGGGGTGTTGCTGACACCACAATACCTCACTACGCCTGGTCGTTGTGCAAACAAAATGAACTGATTGGCAGCAACTCATCCTGATTATTTTTGGTGGTTGTTGGGATGTCACTGACATAACTGAACTCCACTGCGTCTGCTCGCTACATGCGGGAAGCCAGCCAGCGCTGGAAGCAGGAAGTATCAATGCCCTTCAGCCTTCTGTGGGTCCACTTTATATCTGAATCCACAGTACACTCGTACAGCGCCTTTCATGGCGGGAGGACGTCCCAAGCCCCAGTACACTGAACTGCGCTGTAACAAATGGGTTGGACTGCATTCACACAATCATCGATTAGGAGAGCACTTGTGGAACTTGAATGTTGAAATTAAGTGTAATGGAAAGCTAAGGATATATCATATGATATCTGCACCTTTGCTTAGTGTTACTTTTGTCAGTCTGAGGCTGGAGTTGGAATGATGCGACTGTCTCAAAAAGACCCTGTGTATTTTGTGACTGAAATAATTTTTGTCACTGACGTTTTTCTGATACGGTGGATTCTCAAGATATTTTTGTTTGTTTGAGAAGAGCAAGCGATGGCAGTATATGTTATCCCGTTCACAGCATGATTGATGGTGACAATTTTTTATGCATGTATCAGTGGATGGGGACATGTGGGAAGAATAAATCACTAGATTGGGCACCAAACTTGGCTTACTAAACAGTATAAAACCTGTTGGTGTTGGATATTGAATTAAATGAATTAAGATTTTCTTTCTCCTGTATTACAGGGACCGTGGGATGCTCAACATATTCCAGTGCTATTTTCTGCCTATTGTGGACTGTTAGTTGCCATTTCTTATCACCTGAGCAGACAAAGCAGTGATCCAACAGTATTGCTGTAAGTATGCAGTATTCAGTAATAATCATTTGAGGTTATTATTGCTAATGATGCCAGAACTGCAGTAAAAGTGCAGTCCAGGGTCCTGCAAAAATGTCACTACATCAACCATGCAGAGAAGATTCAGACTGACACATGGCATCACAGTGCCAGTGCGCACTGAATGAGCTAATCTGATTTCTTCTGACAAGCTCCCTGAGTTATAGTCACTACCAAAAGTACTGCTACAGTTTCACAGGCTGCATATTTTATCCTTTTATATTGCTTTTGAACTTTCTTATTAATAAACAATTTAATTCTCAACTTGCCATCAAGACCGTGAGTGAAATATTCATCTGCCCTGTGTTGGATAACAATATCATGTGTTACCATTGTTTTATTACCTCAAAATATGTGGCTTTCATTTGAGCAGTGGAGTGTCACCCATGTTATCGGCAATGGTCTAGACTCGCACTGATCTCTACTTAAAGCCTTGACTGTATGCTCAAACAAGGGTTTCTGAAAATGGCATTTAATAACAGTCCAGAAATAAACAGTCCAGGAAACAGTTAATTCTTCTTCAGTGGATTGTCAACTCTGAAGGGAAAAAATAAATTTTTGACACATTAAAGAGATGCTTCTCCATTTCCAGCTAGAATAACATGGTAGGAAATTATTGAAAAATGAAATATTCCACACAGAACAAATATTAGTTGACAAGCTTAGTTGCATTCCCAGTCTAAAACATCAAGAAAACTGAATGGGTCATTGATTTTTTTGCATCTCTTTGCCACCCCATTAGCAATTTAGGTGGTAGCCTCCCTCATTTGGTAGGATTCTCTCCTCTGAGTCAGGGTTGTGGGTTCAAGCCTCATGTCCAGCCTGACACTACTGGGAGAGTTGCACTATTGGAGAGACCCCCTGGGATGTCAAGATCTGCCCCCCCGAACAGTCTAGGTTCTGTGTTGGATTGCAGTGCGTTTTCAGGTTTTTCTTGTTTGAATATTTGTTGATTTATGGGATAAATCAAGAAGTATTCAATCAAGAACACTTATTTTGTTGGCTGAATATAAAGGTCGGCCATCACTGGCCTAGATAAACAGTTCAAGTCCGAACTTGGGGCTTGAACCCACCTTGCCCCAAAAGAAAGAATAAAACCATCTGAGGCAGACTAGCACAGGAGACGATGTGGAAGGACAGATTGATGTACGCTTTAGTAATTAAACCTACACATGTGTTCTTGCTCTGCATGCTGTATATATATGTAAGTCAACCCGATTGTAACGCAGTCGTTTGGGTATCCAGAATCTCAGAGCCATGCACACATGAAGTGATGTCAATGACATTTTTTGCGTATAGCTTGCAGGTGCGCATTGTGTGTGAAGTGACCACTCAAACATTGACCACCTTTCAGCACAGGAAGCCAGCTGAGTCAGTGGCAAGTGTGCTGTACTACCGAGAAGTGCTGGCTCAGAGTAGACAAGAAGAAAAACAACAACTTGCACTTATATAGCGCCCTCCACGCCGGGCGGCGTCTCAGAGCGCTCACACACACAAAGCCATGCAGTATTGCCATCAAAGTAAAACGGCATATATTGGTTATATTTATACTGTGAACACTAGATGAAGCCAAAAAATCACCATTTCTATTCATATGCTGTTATGTAACTGAGTGTTTCATTTCAACTCTAGATCTCTAATTCACACTAAACTGTTCAATGAATTGAAAGCCAGGAATCCGGAACATCCTTTATTAGAAAACAAGGATGCACTTCCTGAAAAGCTGAGGAATTCAGTGGTACGTGTCTATTATTTTTTTGTGCTGGATTGTTTTGGGAGTAATTGTATAAAATGTGTTCATTTTTATATGAAATTATATTTACTGTCTTTGTGGAGTTAGTTGTTTGTGTTCAGTTTCTTTTTAGTTCTGCATTATTTGGGCAAATAATTTCTTATTAGTTATGAGATGAATGATATTTGAGCAAATATTGCATACAATTGAAAAAATCATTGTTTTCTCTTATTCTACACTGTGATTTTGTCAATTATGCATCTCACCTGTTTAAGCTCAGCAATACCACATATCACTTTTTCATTGCGAGAGCAGTTAAGTATATGAGTTCCAAAGGCTTGAGGTCTTGGGAGAAAATGAGTTAGAAATAGTGTGGTGAGAGTTTTTTTTTGCAATGGAATGAAGATGCATCAAGGAGGAACGGTGTACAGTACAACATGTTTACAACTTGAGCGAAACAAGAGAAGAATGTTCAGAGAAGCAATGACAACAGTTGTATTGATTAAAACAATGGCAAGGAAAAATTGTGACAGAGAGAAGATGGAGCCAGAAATGAGGGAAAGGCTACCAGTCAGACAACAAGTTTTCCTTTTGTGCTGTCCAGGAGTATGATTAATTGCTTGCAGAGTCTGCATACATATGGCAGCTGTATTCAAGCATTAAGTGGGCCTGAGCTTTAAAGAGATAAGTTACTGAAGAGAATATAAATATTCAGAAACCTGGATACTTGAAGAATAATTGGGAATGTTGAAATGAAAATTTCTCAGAGATCAGAGGAATTAGTGAGGCCAAGAATGTGATCAGGAGCCACTGAAAGTAAGTAGATGTTGGCTAGACATTAGAGGAATAAACAGTTTTGAGGAAGTAAAAGAAATGTCATTGCTTCAACGAATGAGATCAAGGTTTAGAGATTCAACCACCGAAAAGGGTAAATATTGTGGGCACTAAAGGAATTTTAATGAAATAAATTGATCAAAATGCAATGGAATCAGCTAAAGAGTGTGCGATTATTAACTGGAGGTTATTTATGTATATTTTTCCCTCATATCAAAGATCCTGCCCAGCATTTAGGAAGATCTGGCAATTATATTTGACACCATTCTGGTCAAGCAAGATTTGAAATTTGTCAGGTTATTTTTCAGCTACTTCTTTTCGGGACCTTCATTTAGTCCTCTGCAAATTGGTGATAGAGTTCTTTGAACTGCATGAGTTCCTACAAATAGTAAAATCCATCAACTAATGATAAGACACTAAGCTGCTGAAATCTATTAAGGCAATTCACATTGAATTCACCAAGCAGCTAAAATCTGATGAGACAATTCACATAAGAGCACAGAACCCAATAATTGTTCTGGTAATTTGGGCTAATTTGTAAATAAGTTGAATATGGCTTCATTTGTGAACAATAACTCTTGCATCAAATTTGATATTCTAATTTGAGATTATTCTGAAGTAACAATGACCCCTTAAATAGGTTAACCTGAAATGTGATTTTTGTTTCCTTGTGCTTGAAATTATTAAACATACACTGTGTTCAATTTACTGCCTTTTGAATGGTGTTCCTTATCAGCATCATGCATGTACTGTGCTCTGTACATTTTTGCAGAAAGAAGTCTTGAAGTCTGATCTTATCATGTGCTCAGTAATTAGTCTTCTAACCTTTGCGATCAGCGCAACCACAGTTTTCCTTTCATTGGAGGTACGTATTTTTCGTGATTTATTCAGTTTCTTAACACTGGGAGTAGATTAAAGAACATTGCTTTTTGTGGAAATATTTGTTGTCGTTTCGTGCTTTTACAAAATATAAAGAGCTGTTGAAATCCTTTGAACCAAGCATGTGTAGCGAGCATTTTAATGAGCTTGGTACTTATTTGAAGTATCTGTCGTCACCATCTCCACTGCTGCCTTCAAGCAGGAGGTGAAAATTTCTGTTGCTAAGTTTGTCAACCTGCAAACAAAAGAAAGCTGTGAAAAGTTTTGGTATTTATTTGATAATGTTTGCTTCGGAAGGTTTTCTGTTTTTTGATGATCTTGCTTTGAGGCTTATTTGTGTACTATAGAACTGCAAGATGTTAACCAAACAGTTCTTAGAAGAATTACTTGTCAATTGAGAGATGATTTCAAAAAAGGTTTGGAATAAGTTTATAAAAAAGTAAGTGTAAATTATTGCTGTTTTACTCTGGATTTTTTAATTTTTCAATAAACCAAGTGAATAATTGGCAAAATCATCTTTGTAATAATATTATTATTATTATTTTCAGGGACTGGGTGGCCCAGAGCACTGCCTTTTCAGCTCAGAGACTTTGATAAAAATTGAATCCAAGTATTCGAGCTGACACAGAAATTCCTTTCTTAATCTGAGTTATAAAACCCTGAAATAATTTGAGTTTGCTGCGATCATTAACACTGAAAGACATTAATATTGTATTGCAGATGAACTGCTTTTAACATATTCCGGCAATCCCATCTTTTATCTAACTCAGAATCTTTTTTTATTTCAGCCATTTCTTGGTATTGTGCTGTATGCTTTGGCTGGGACAATAGGATTCTTGACTCATTATCTACTTCCTCGGCTCCGAACACAAGTTCCATGGTTTTGTTTTTCACACCCTTTTCTTGAAACTAAGGAATACAGAGAGTTTGAAGTCAGAGGTTAGTACCAGATGAATGGTTATTGCAATACAAATGTCCTTTTGTATCAGAGCAAACATAGATTTTTTGTTGAAAAGATCACATTTTTTCTGCAAGAAATGTCTCTCAGTGGAAAATGTCTAATTATAATGTGTCCAATAATAGCTTTGAAATGAAAATCGATGATCAAAGGTGAAACAATTTCAATCTATATAAGGATTATATCGGGGAAATGTTAATGCAGTCTAAATGTGTGCCAGGCACAGATTCATTCTGTACTATATTTGTGCTTCCTTTCATGTAGACTTTTCTCATTCTTTAGTTTATATAATACTGCAGTGCACTTCAAGTGTTCCACATGAATTAGCAATCTTATCTGTTCTATTCAGTGGAAGCACTAATTTTTGGAGCGATTTATCCCACAGGGAGCAAGAGAGACTCAGCAAGTCATTCACACTAGGCCACTTTTGTGTACCAACCAGGTACAGAAAAGTGTACCTACTTGTCCATAAAAGTGTACTCACTTGTCCATAAAAGTGTACTCACTTGTCCATCCTTTTGTCCAGGAAATGGAGACCATATAGACCGTATATAGACTTTAATGGAGACCATATATAGATTTTAATGTAGACCTTTCTCAATCTTTAGTTTATATAATGCTGCAGTGCACTTCAACTGTTCCACACGTGAATTAGCAACCTCATCTGTTCTATTCAGTGGAGGCACTAATTTTTGGAGCGATTTATCCCACAGGGAGCAAGAGAGACTAGACTCAGCAAGTCATTCACACTAGGCCACTTTTGTGTACCAACCATGTACGCAAAAGTGTACTCACCTGCAGATAAAAGTGTACTTACTTATCCACCCTTTTGTCCAGGGAACGGTGACCATCTTTGGCAGCTCCAAAAAGTACAGCAGTAAGTATGAAAACAAATGACATGTTCATTAAGAGTTTCTCTTATTTTGTATACCGTGATCAGGAATTTTAATTTAACGGCACCAGTACAAATTTACATTTATATCGCGCCTTTCATGTCGGGAGGATTTCCCAGAAATAAAACTATAAAAGACAAACTAATTCAAACAATTTGGACAATTTTCAAATAGTAATTGTTGGACAAAAGGACCAGAGGATCTGCATGTTTTTCTATTGAACAGCACAGCAATGCGGATCGTTCAGAAATTGGTATAATTTCATCAATGTTTGGTGTCAAATCACTGCTAAAAGCAGGAAATTATCTGTACCTCTTGATATTCCTTTAACACTATACCGCAAGCCTCTCTCTTGTGGAGCCTCACTTCAGGTGGCTGATTCAGGTCATTTTCTTCCACTAACATCAGCAGTTACTTGTCCTGTGCTCATTTACCAGTCAAAGCAAGTGCTTTGCTTGCATTTTCAGCATGTGATTCAGGATACCTTTATTCTGCTGCCCAAAACAGACACAGATTAAGTTTTGATTTTGTAATGGACAATGAATATAGAAATGTCTTATCTGTTACTGATGGCCTGTGGTGCTTCCCTTTGAACTACAGTTTATTAGCTTTTTTTGCATTCTGATAAGAAGGCGCCCTCTGGGATCCCCCAAGCCTTGGGTTCCTTCTAGCCAGCACCTAATACTCTCTGGAATTGGGTAATCAGGATGTGTCCCTCCAGGAAGAGTCACATTCCATTCCAGATACAACAATTTCCACGTGTAACAACAACAACAGTTTACATGTACATAGCACCCTTCACACTGGGTAGTGCCCCTGAACGCTTGTAAGTGGCATAAATGCAACTGTCTGGTTTGGATACTCTTAAGCGTGATGATGGGTTTTCACATGTGTCTGGCACCTGGCTGACCCAAAACTGTCATTAGAAATCAACAACAACAAATTACATTTGTATTGTGCATTTCACGTCGAGAGGACATTCCAAGGTGCTGGACAGTAAGGGATTTGGGCCCGAGCAGGGGGTTGGGATCAGGAGGAGTGGAAGGAAGGAGAGTAGGGGTAGGAGGGTGACTGAAGGCGCGGTCGAAGAGGAGTGCTTTTAGACGTGCCTTGCAGGAGGCAAGGGAGGGACTGGCTGGAGTTCCAAAATGTGGGGATAGAGAGGCTGGAGGCCCGACTGCCGATGGCGGGACGGGCCAGATGGGGGACGTGGAGCAGGCTAGAGCCCACTAAGCGGAGGGAGCGGACAAGTGAATATGAACAATTTGCACCTATGGAGCACCTTCCACAAAGCAACATCTCAAAGCGCTTTACAAAATCTGAGAGTGGGCGGGGGGTGGGAATGCTTCGTGCCACTATGCAATTTTGTATGCGTGTACAAAAGAATCTGGTGGTAAACTATGTGCCCACATTTTAAATGGTAATAGGATCTTTCTATTTTCTGAGAAGCTGTACTAATGCACTTATTGGTTTATTCCAAAGTGATAATGATGAGCTGATCAGTGAAAATAATGTGTGAAATGATTGGCCGACAGCCTCTGGAGTGCTTACATTACAACCTTGTACAGTTAAATTGGAATTTTGCGGTTCATTTAGAGTGGAATTTAATTTGCTTAAGCATCCAGACAATAATAGAAAATTAAAATCTCCATACACAGTCGTTGCTGTGAATGTGAAATGAGGCTTAAATTAAAGTACTACATCACCTGGAGCATTAACATGCATGTAATTAATCTCTGATCTGTGGAACTGAAAAAGATATGCTAAAATGTTTCTAAAGAAGACGGTGCAATGGAATTATTTATTTGAATGCATTTGTGACAAACTCAAATTAGATATCCTTTTTGAGCCAATTTTCATCAGAAATGACTTCATCCGTATCCTAGTTTTAATTTGTAGGAGCAGGAGGAGGCCATTCAGCCCATTGAGCCTGTGCTGCCATTTAACCGGTTGTCTTCAGTCACCTCTCCTCTCTTTCCAATTCAGCGTCATTCCACACCACTGTTAACGTTCCAAGACACTCGTCACATGAAGGGCACTATATACGTGCAAGTTGCTAGTTTTATTTTATTATGGTGGAAACTGGGTATATTTTTTAATCCCAAAGCTCTGCCTTTTGGCCATACACTATCCAAGTATCCATGTTTCTTTTAAACATTCCTCTTGATTCACTGCTTTGTCGGTAAGCACTCCAGATCTTTACAAACATTGTAAAGAAATGCCTCCTAACCTCAATTCTAATTGTTGTGGCTCTGACTTTAAGACTATGCTAGTCTATACTAGGCTTGCACTTTTCCTTGTAATGAGCTGCAAATTGTTTAAGCCCAGAGGGAAGACATCACCAACACCTTTTATACTTTTCTAGGAGAATCACATGGTTAGTTTGTCACAGATGTAAAAAAGGTAAAAATAAAGTGAGATAACAGCAATTATAGTGCTTATTATGTTTAAAATATCCTCTGATAAAGCACCTAGTTTTTTTTAAAAAGTCTCTTGTTCGTGTTTTTTGGGGGACTTAAAGTACAACATAGTACATAAGCTATAAACATGATGCTGAACTTGTGTAGTGTGCTAGTCACTATTACAATAGGAACTTTCCAGACACTGGAGATGGTTAAAAAAAAGTCCAATTGAATTGTTTGTCTGGAATTTGACAGCAGAGCTAATCTGAACTGTCTGCTTCCCTCCTTTCTTCTGAGCTCAAGGATGTGCTTCTTGTTATAACCTTGTATTTGATACAGTGCTAGGAGAATACTAAGGAAGCTGGAAATGTTTGCACTATAGGAGAGAATACTCTCAGGGGATATTATTGATGCATTCAACATCTTAAAGGGCAGAAATAAACTGAATCCTAATCTATTTAGCATTGTTACAACATTTACAAGGTGTCAGCCTGGATCATTTCCTAGGAATCTCACCTTTGATTCAGAAGGCTGAGGGTTTAAGCCCCATGTTGAACTCAGTCTAGAATGACCTTCCAATCTGCTGCATTGTCGGAAGTGCTTTCTTTCAGATGAGATGTCAAACCGAAGTCCGTCTGCCCATTGTGGTGGATGTTAACAATCTCAGGGAAATATTTGAAAAGAGAAGGGAGTTTATCCCGGTGTCTTGGCCAACAGTCCCCCAAATAAAATTGGTTACTCATTTCATGGCTGTTCATGGGACATCTCTATGTGCACAAATTGTTGCCAGTTTGCTTGTGAAATGCACAGTCACTTTACAATCAATCCTGGAGTTGCTTTGAGACATCCTCCTGATGTGAAAGGTGATGTATCAAATGTACAGATTATAACAGGGAGCACATCCTTGAACTCAGAATAGGTGTTCTCAGAAAGAAGCAACTACCTTGCTCAGATTGAACTACCTTGCACTGAGAATGGTGAAATAAAAGGATTTGTGTGAGGTGGGGGAAGCAGATTTGGAGGTACTGATATGAGTTGTTTTTTCGTCTTCCTACAATCTGGTTTCCCCGCTGTCCAAAGTCCTGAGACTGTGCTGGTCAAAGTCACCCATAATATTCTCGCCATCTATTACCAGGGCTCTTCTCTCTGTCTCCTTGTCCTTCTTGACCTCTGTGCTGCCTTCGACATTGTCGACATCTTTGGCCTGCTTCACGTCCTCTGCCCTGCCCGTCCCACCATTGGTGGTTGGGCTTTCAGCCTATCTGCTCCCGCTCTCTGGAACTCCATCCTGTGTCCCTTCACCTAACCTCTTCCTTTGCCTCCTTCAAGGTCCATCTCAAGATCTTCCTATTTGACCGCGCTTTCAGTCATCTTCCCTCCCGAATCCAACCTCTGACTTGGGTGCAAACCCTCGACTGTCCAGCATCTTGGGATGTCCTCCTGACATAAAAGGTGCTCTACAAATGCAATTTGTTGTTACTGTTTCAAGAGTAAGTTAGTGAGGGATTTTGTGACCACAAAATTGAAAACCACAAACACTTCATTTTAATTTCCTGCTAAGGATTTATGTTCATAAGAGATTTGCTGTTAGTGCTAAAAACTGGATATTTTCCCATTACTGGTACCCAATGCCAACAAGAAGTGTTCCCAGTGTTGTATCGTATAGTGGGGTACTTACTGGAACCCCTTCTACTCCTCCACAATAATAATCCTTAGCTTCAACCTAGGATAGCATCCCTACTCTACGAAGGTTCCCTCACAAGCTAGCCTTGAGGTCTTTCTTATGATGTGTTTATAATCATAATAATTCTTGGATTTGATATCGTGCCTTAACACATCATGGAAATATCTCAAAGCAGTTCACAGGATTGACTGTAGATTGGAGTGACTACATTTTGTAGGTGAATTATGCGTAGCAATGACCAATGAATCATCATGAAGTGAATGATCAGTTTTACCCTGGGAGATTGTTGGCTAGGACACTGGAAGAAACTCCCTTTGTTTATATCACTGAACAACATCGAATTTTCTCAGCACAGGCCATTTGACCTGTCATGTCTGTGCCAGATATCTGCAAGAGCTAACTGCTTAGTCCCACTCCCATGTCTGTTTCCTATATCCTTTTTATATTTTTATTTTCAGAATGGAATTTTTTCAGGCTATATATCAGATCCATTGATAGCCAACTACTGTACTCCATTTTTTGAGGGAGGAGTTCATGCGACCAACTCTTCAACAACTTTAAAGAAAAATCCCTGAACATTCCCGCATTGCACAGTGGACTCCTGAGTGTGTGCAAGGACCCAAAGGAAATGGAATTACCATTGATTTGCGTCCACCCTAAGTGAACCCGTCAGCACCTCCACACCTCAGGCATTGACAGCATCACCATCTAAGGATGCACACTCTACCTCAATGAGTCAGTCCAGAACCATGGTGCTTTGTTTGACCCTCAACTGTCCTTTCTACCCCACATCCGTGCCATGACATACTCTGCGTTCCCCCACCTCCGCAATATCGCCCAGCTCCACCACTGTCTCACACCACAGGCCGCCGAGACCCTCATACACGCTTTCATAACATCCAGGCTCAACTACACAAACTCCCTGCTTGTCAGTCTCCCTAACTCCTCCCCCCACATAGGCTGCAGATCATCCCATGTCCAGATCATCCTCTGCAGCCCGTGTCCTCTCCCGCACCAGGCTTCGTGACCCTGTCAACCCCATCCTTGCCCGACTCCACTAGATTCACACAGACAGAGGATACAGTTCATGATCCTGGTCCTCGCTTTCAAAGCTAACCATATCCATATCCAGCCTACCTCTGAGACCTCCTAACCCACTACCAACCTGCCCACTCCCTCTGCTCAACGGGCTTCGGCCTGCTTCACGTACCCACCTCACCCTCCCCATCATTAGCGGGCAAGCCTTCGGCCATTCTGCCCCCACTCTCTGGAACTCCAACCCCCTAGTCTTTCCGCCTCGCCCCCTCCCTTGCCACCTTCAAGACCTGTCTCAAGACCCTCCTTCGACTGTGCCTTCGGACACCCTCCTTCCCCCCCTGCCCTCCACCCTCCACAATCTTGACCCCCAGCTCGGGTCCGAAACCCTGACTGTCCAGCACCTTGGGATGTCCTCCTGATGTGAAAGACGCTATACAAATGTAAATTTGTTGTTGTGTATTGCATTACAGTAAATTGGGCCAACTGGCCTGTTCCCTTGCTCTTTCACTCTATAGTTCTGAGGCTACCTCCTCCAACTGCTCGACACAGTGGACTCCAAAGCAAGTCACTCTGGTTCAACCCCGTATTGTTTATTTTTACACTGCATGTTTTGTATCACATCACAAATCAAATATAACATGAGTGAGATAGGCTGGGCCAATTTGGGCTGTGTTTCTGCATGCACTGAGACAGAAACTTCACAATAATATTCGTACAGGGTTCTCTTATCACCATCATTGGATTTTTACCACGACCCAGAGAGGTCTGGATAGGAACTTGTGGAGGAGTAAATGCCGATTTTCCCCAACCCTCCCTCCCCCAGTACAGCAGCTCTGCAGCCTGCCAGTTTGAAGCCCCTGGTGTAAGTGGTAGTTTGTAGTTTTGATGTTTTTAATATGTAGGCTCATTGCAATTTAAATTAGCAACATTGATTTGAAATTAGTACATTAAATTTAAATGTCTAATAAAGGTTTGAAATTATTATTACGTTGTTAAATTGAAACTGTCGAGCAAAATGGCTCAAAGCAATGTTTTGTAAAATTTATATGTACAGTGACAGCAGGAAAGACTGGAGAGATGACTGACATGGCCCCAGAGCTGCTATTTTATTGTTTCAATCCTACTGCAGTTCATGCAGAGCCTGGCTTCCTGTCCTGTCGCCAAATACAGTACACAGGAAAATGAATTATTTAATGTTTGGTGTGGGACGACAAGTTCCTGCTTTGGAGAATTCTACAATGTTTGAAACATGCCTTGTGCTGGGTCTTGCAAATGTGACTGCTGAGGGAAAGGAGGAGACTGTGTCTGTAGCCAGTCTGTGCGAGTGAGTGTCGGGCACTGATCGCTGTGCTTCTTTGTCCAACACTAATGCTAATGCTTGCAAAGCCATTCTAGATTTCGCCCTGTAGCTAGGAGTCAAACCAGCAGATTAAAGATGGTGTCATTTATCTATGTAAAAAGCACACAAAAGAAATAAAACCTATAACTGGGTACAAATGATAGGAAAGTAGGAAACTGAGAAAGCTTGAATATGATGTGGGAAAGGTGGAAGGCAGGCACCATTAATCAAAGTAAGTTAAAACGAATAGACTACAGGCTCGCTGCTGGCTCTTACTGAAGGCAATGGTTTTCAACAGTGCAGTTTGTAGTGATTGTTACAGAGGTGGAATTCACAAAAAGGTCAAACAAACCTTTTAAGAACACAAAGAACTTGCATTTTTATAGCAAGTTAAAACACCTCAGAATACTTTGTAGGTAATTACTGTCAATTCTCGTGATTGTTATGCATACAAATGCAGGAGTCCGATAAACAAACAGCTTTAGGGTAAATGACTAATCTTACCTGAGATAAGGACACCAGGAGAAATTTCCATATATTTATAAATATTCTTATGTCTTCTTTATTGTCCACCTGAACAAATAGGCAGGACCAAGGTTTAGCATCTCATCCGAAAGACGGCACATCACCTCTGACAACTCAATGCCCTCTCAGTATTGTTTAAACCCAAAGAATTGAACTGACAACCTTTTGACACAGAAGCGAGAATGGTACTAATTGAACCAAGTTAACACCGTTTATTGCTATTTGTTAAAAGCTTTGAAGCTTTAAACCGCATTACTCAATCCTGCCCCAACATACGAAGTATATTTTTTAAAAGTTAAAAGATTTTTAAAAAATTTACAAAGATAATACTTGGCTGTCTCTTATTTTATTTCACTTCCAGAGCAGGACAACGACCCACAACTGTAAGATTCACAAATGGTTAAAAAACAAAATGTGCAAATCGTTTAGACTAATACCCTGATCTTAGGGGTCAAGTGATACTTATAAAATGCTGAAGCTTCACAATCTCTTTTAATCATGATCTGAACCCTATTAATAAATTATATCTTGTATTTATTCCTGGCTATAAATTATTCTGTACATGATTTGCTGTGTGTTTTTCAGATGCTGCCCAGTTAATGTGGTTTGAAAGACTTTACGTCTGGCTTCTGTGCATGGAAAAATATGCTATTTACCCAGCTGTGATACTCAATGCACTTACCAATGATGCTTTCTCTGTCAGTAGTCGTAAGAAGTTCGGCATACAGTAAGTCGTTACGCATTTGAGTAATAGATCTTAAATATTTTATAATAAGTATTTTATAAAACCTGCAATGGTCTTTGTCAGTGCCTGCTGATATTCTATCTCAATCACTCTAAATCTCTCCATTTATTTTGATGGGGGAGGTTTTGAAAACTATTTTTAATTTCTTCAACCATTTCTCAGGTTCTGCTTGTACTTTGCAAACAACAATGTCCTTTTTACTCTGAAGTTAGGACTGCCATGTTAATTGATGCATTAGACAATTAGGCACCAAAGTACAGAAGAAGTTACAAGATATTTTGACAAAACTGTTTGTAATTGTAACGTAGCTATGCATATTTTGTCTGACTGACTTGTCAGTGTACGCAAGATGCAGTTTATTGTTCAATGAGATTATGGATTTGCAGAATATTATTTACAAAGACTGTAATGCAACAGAAATTTGCAATTATATAGTGAATTTCATATAGTGGAACGTCGTAAAGTGTCGTACAGTGATGGTATGGATCACTAAGCAAGGTGGAGAGAGGGGTTGGAAGAAGGTAACCGAAAGCATTGTCAAAAATGTAGAAGAGTTTGAAAGGGAGAGGGTTTCGGTTAGAGTCATTTTGGAAGCAAGTTTGAGAGTGGCTTAAAGCTCATTGTAGGATAATACAAGGGCTGTGCAGGTAAATGCATCCTTTTAGGCAAATATTATAGTAGAACAAATATCTAATTTAATGAAGAGCTTAGTTAACAAGTCTAAAACTTACAGTCAGATACAATTTGAAAGCAGCAATTGCATGAGGAAGAAACATCTTAAAAATGCATGTGATGTGTGTAGAAATGGCAACTTTAGAACTGTTCATATACATTCAACCCCACCGGCTAACCGGATTTACAAAGTATCCAGAATTTGGACTTAGCTGGACCGGGTCTGGGAAGAAAAAATCTGCGAGTCAAAACTCCACCTCGTCTGTTCTCAAACTCCCGGCAGTCCAACTCTCCCAGCCCAATTGATGCCCCGGTTTGACACTGCATGGTTTTGTTGAAGGCATCAACACAGTTAGATTACATCAATGATGAGTACAGAACTATACCATTTTTGGGTCCATTTTATTATTTAATATTAATTTTTGTTCATTTTAAATGTTAGGGAGGACTTATTTATACTTATTTTTAATGTCAGGATTATTATTAACACTTAGCTGGAAAATCCAGATAGCTGAACCGGATTGCCCCTCAATTAGTCTGGTTCCCCCAGGGTTGACTGTATATTTAAATTTTAAACCATCATTAGATGCTTACAGCTTAGTATTTTCCAGGTAAATCCACTCTTCCAATTAGGGCTGTGCCTCGCAGGGAATAAGGTGGTGTCCTCATTGCCCAAACCACCATGAATTCCTACAGACCTACTGGAATTTGCAAACTGTGCCTCTTCAGTGCTAATTGTTAAAAGGGTTACTTTGGAAAAAAAGAAGCCATTTTATTAATACTCTCAGTACTTACTGTTTTACTTTTCTTTATTACAGCTGCGATGTTCTGATGATGACAGTGGCCGGAATGAAACTGCTGCGCTCCTCCTTTTGTAACCCAACGTATCAGTACGTCACTTTGAGCTTCACTGTCCTCTTCTTCCAATTTGACTACAGAAACATCTCCGAGACATTTTTGCTAGATTTCTTCTTAATGTCGATTCTATTCAGCAAGGCAAGTGCTTTTACTTACTGTAGTTATCCCGATGATTCTGAATTGATAACAATAGAATTATGTTTTGTGTCCCTTATCTGGTACATGATTTTATGGAGGTGAAGGAGTGAAAGAGAATATTATTATTCATTGTTGTTAACTAGGGGAGCCACATTATTGCATATTTCAGGTGTCTGACTTAGTTACAGTGTTTTACAAAGATTTACAAAGACTGCAAATTACGGAAACAGGCCACTCGGGCCAACAGTATGTGCTGGTATTTATACTCAACATGAGTCTCTGTCCAATTCCTTTCTCCCTCCCATACCCTTTATACAATATAATACAAAATTATACTTGTATAGCGCCTTTCACGTCGAGAGGACGTCCCAAGGCGCTTCAATTGCCCTCTCCCTCTCTCTCCCTCTTCCTCCTGAATGCATCTATACAATTTGCATAGATATAACGCCCAAAGCCCCATTGGCTTTTTTTTATAGCCTGAATCCCCACATCTCTTTGCACCTCTACTCCTCTTAGGTTCCTAATTTTGACTTCAATTTATTTTTAAAAAATGTAATTTGATTAGTATGTTGGTCTAATCTTTATTGGCACATGACTGAACAGTTTTGCATGCAGTTTGCAATAGATTATGACTACCAAGTAATATGAATCATATACAACCCTTGATAGTAAGGGTGGTCAATAATATTTGTCCCTTGAGTGAAATTCTCCTAGCCCAAGGTAATTCCTTCCATTTCATCTACATTCAAATACTCCTGTTGACGACAATTGAGTGCTCTTACAGGCTAATGGGCTTTTAACTAATGGCGGTTTGGCTTTCCACATGGAATACCCAAAGCATCCAGTAGGGGGCACTTAAAAGCTATGCAAAGAGACTTCATCAGTGCCTGGAGAGTGGCTTCCCTCTAAAGAAGCTTGAAATAAACAGAAGTGACACATGACTACTCGTTGAACCCAGTTTTTCTCAGGTTGTAGACCACATAAAAACACTGTGAAATTTGGGTTTTTACCAAGTTTTTTTTTCCTCTCATCTATCTTTTACTGTGTTGCCCCTCCAGCATGTAACCACATAATTTCTTGTTTCATGTATGTAACCATGAAACAATATATCCTAGTATCTCTTTGCCCCAGAAAGGTCCTACGTTGGTTGCACTACTTGCCCATGTGCAGAAATCTACTCAGGAGGCTCATTCTTATGTTCACTCTGAATTTTGTTTTCAGGGATGGCTTTAGGGATTCAGTGGGAGCTACAGGGAGCCCAGAAACTAATTGAAATGAAAATCAATGCAAAAATATTAGAATTTAAATGCAAACCTAACAAAAATATTTTGCCGCTTGCTGAAACATGAGGCTCACTATCTTTCTATTTAAATAAATAACCCTTTACACACAAAACCTCAGGATGGGGACATATGCTTCCTTGCAGGATATCCCTGTCATTCTGATACTGACACAAGATGAATTTGATTGGCAGTTACCACAGGGGGTGATTCTCTAGCAACAGCAGTGAAAAGCAAATGTCTTAACCTCTGAATTACCAGGCTGTTTGATTTGATGCCTTTTTTTTCCACCTTTCCACCTAATATCAAATGTGCAGAGGAAGATATTGGACTATTTCTTCAATTGGATCCTCATTAGAAATGCCAGTCTTAACCAAAGGTTTTCTGTCAAAAAAACTAGAATAGACTTGCACTGTATCCTTAAAATATTCCTTCTGAAATTCAGGACTAATTAGTGTCTTATGTACAGTACTCGTATGAAGTGTGCAGGTACTTCTGTCTGCCAGTCTAAGCAGACAGATGCTTCTTGTGTTCTGTCAAGCAGTCTGGTTTGGGAGAGTCAGTGGAGTACAATCAAATCAAACGACAGCATCGCGGCATGTAATTATACAACATTCAATATGATGCTGCTGACGCTCTCTGAAGGATTTTGTTTTTGTTTAATTACGATCTGCAATCATGAATAAAAACATACACAGAAAGACTGCTTTGTCAGTATCGGCCACCAAAAACATCTGGCCACAGATTTAATTAAAATTCCTGTTTTATAAAAATATCAGGTCAGAAATGAAGGATGTACACATTAAAATTTACTTTGAGGGTTTTGAAGTCATTGTAATATTCTTATGTAATTTGGCTGCAGAAAGATTTAAGAATTGTGTCAAGGCATTTTTTTTGCCAATGTTGCTTTGGCGGCTCTTATTCACGTGTTACTGGGGCTAATTAGCAGTTATTAAATTACTGAGATGTGCAGAGAGACTGTTTTCTAGTTGTCATGGTTACTGCATGGTGTTGGCTTCTGAAAACTCTTATTAAAGCTTAATTTGTAGATGATAATTCTTCAGCTCAGTCCTAATTTATGTGAATGGTACCTCTAAATCTTGAAGACCTTAGAGTTTACATGCCAACCCCCCCCCCCCCCCCCCTCAGTAAATTTGAGTTGATAACTGCAGGGATTCATTGAAAAATGAGGATTATTTGAGGGAAAGAAAAAATAATAATGATATATTGTGCAGTAAAATCTCTATGAAGCATATTCCCATTTTGCAGTGCCGCTGTTTTGTGGAGATTGTCATGCCATTGCTCTGTGAAGGGTTACATCTGGTCGTGGTGACAGGCAAATGGCAGTAAACATCTGTGCCTGAATGTTCTTGTGCAACTGGCAGTAGGTGGGAGTTGAGAAATTAGATGATATTAACGGATATATTTTTTTTTAAAAAAACGAGACAGGAGCTATTAGAAAATAAATGGGATTTTAGATGGGTGTAAAATTGTAAGTGCTGACAATGAATCGAATCTTCTCAGTGTTCTGGCACAGATGTCATACAGCCATATAATATCCGTGGTGGAGTTACTGCTTCTCTAATGTAAAATCTTGTACCTTGTATTCCCAGTTGCTCACATTTTCAGCACATTTGATAATTATCAGATTCCATACTTTATTTCCCCCCTTATATTTATGCACTAAGTGGGGAAAAACAAGTTAATTATAAAAACTAACGCAAGTATCCATAATATTCTTTTTCACAAATATGTTTATTTTCCACATTGTGAAAGATCTTTCTGCCAAAGTCAAAACATATTGTAAAATAATCAAGCTATTTTAATAATGAAAGCATAACTTCCCATTTGCATTATTCTTGAATGAGGGTCAACGTTTACAGTTCTTTCTTAGTTTATAGATTTGACTGTGATTACATTGTGAAACTGAAACATTGCATACAAAAAATGAAGTAGATTTCTATAATTGCTTCCTGGTGGCAGTAGAAGCAGAGACCACAGGATGTTTTTAGCCTGGTCATTGGAGACACCAACATCCCAGAACAGTCAGTGAAGCAATTCCATCTAGCACGTATTCCCAATTTTTCGATGATTAATTTGTTCTGGGAGGGGATATGTTGATCCCTCATTGAAGTGATGCATGTTCACGGTGCGCTGTATGAAATTGTCTTCGGTGTACAAAATATATTCAAACCGTTTTCACTGTGAAGACTGCTTTATATGAGTAACAGAATAAATTGCTCATCTGTAAAGGAAGAGTAAGCAGGCAATAAATTATTGTTTTACTTTGGCTTCTTCTTAACAACTCTGAATTTGCCAGATTGAGCTGTAAAAGAGATTAGAGGGAAGAGAATTGGAATAAAACAGCACAAGCTCCACAAAACAGTGGAAAAGTACTGAGTGAAAACTCAAGGGATTTGCACATTGTCTCTTTACATTTGTGAGGAGAAATTAAATGGATGAACATTTGAGTTCATAGAAAGTAAAAGGTTTACTCAGTCACGGAATTTGCACATGAAGGAACTAAGAGATATTCCGATGATTCCATAAATTGTAGATTCATTTTTTTTATTTTACCTTTTGATTACAGAACTCCTGTTGTTTGTACCTCTGTCTTTTGAGTATTGTATTATGTTTAGTGTGTATTTATATGATGTAAGAGGTACAAGAAGCTTTTCTGTTAGATAATAGCATGTTCAATGGTTTTGTTGGATAGGGAAGCAGAAAAATCCAGAATTGGGAACAGTTCTACAGCAAATGTTTCATGAGGAAAATAATGTGACCTGCAAATGCTTTTGACTGTTGGGAAAATGCTACCGGAGACTAATCTTCGCAGTGTTCGTTTGTCATGCTGAGATGCTAACAAATATTCTTTTTATGTATGCAGCTCTGGGATTTGCTGCATAAGTTCCAGTTTGTTTTGACGTACATAGCACCATGGCAAATCGCATGGGGCTCAGCATTTCATGCTTTCGCACAGCCCTTTGCTATACCTCGTATCCTTTCCCATCTGATAATAAAGCACCCTGTCCCGGTGAGTCTGACTTCTGGGAGGTATGTGCAGGAAAGCTGTTATTATTCAAGGAACTAAGTGATGGTGCTTAACATACCACAAAGAAAACGTTTTTCACATTGTAGCATCAATAATGTATCTTGGTTCTACTATGTTGTTCACTTTCTATTTTTTAATCTAGATTTTGTGGATAATCATCGAAGTGTCAGTAATGAACAACATCAATAATTGATAGGAAACAAAATAGAGGTTATTTGTTCCTAAACACCAACAGTGCCCAATGTTTGTTTATTTATTTATTTATTTATTCTGTTTAATCATAACTAATAAAATGTAAAACTGCTACACAGATGGCAGACAGAGCATGAGGGAAATGAAGAGCACCTTATCTGGAATTTTGAATTCAGGTTTTTTCCATTCAATTTGTATGTGAAAATGATAAGCTGTAAATAGGAGCTGCAGATGTTTCACTGTGGGATGCAGCTGAACAAGCAATGGAGTCTGGAATCTATCAATGGTTAAATTAAGGATTTAAAGTGAACATCAGTAATCCTTTTTAAAGTGAGTTGAAATGTGGCAGAATTGGCAAGTTGCAGGAGAGCGATAACTCAATAGAGCCAAATAGTATTTTGGAACTCTTGTCTGGTTTGTGCATGTATTGCTGAATTTATAGTTCCTGCAGCAGGGATTGAGGAGAGCTCTGCACAAACATAACTGACCAAAGCACCAACCGCTCTTTTAACATTGAAAAGTTCACCTTGAAAAGTTCCTGAGAGTCTTTATGGAGTAGAAGTTGAATTCATTCACAGTGTCTATGTTTATATTCCAGTGATTGGAATCCAGGATCTGCTAAATCCACCTCGGATCCGAGTACAGGGATGAATGCCCACTTTTAATAAAAACAAACGACTCTTTGTGGGATACTACTGTGAACAATTGGATGCTGCGTTTTCGCCCACAAAATATACAGTTAATGCACTTCACAGTATAGTCTGTGACGCACTTTGAGACCTCTCAATGACGTGATAAGGCACTATATCAAATGCAAGGATTATTGTTATATTATTATTTTTGAGTGCCGGTTCCACAATGACAACTACAACAACAAGATTCCATTTATTGAGCGCCTTTCACCTCGGGTGGACGTCCCAAGGCGCTGTACAGTTGGGTCAGGACCCGAGCAAGGGGGAAATGGTCAGGGTGAGGGGAGGGAAGGGAGGGAGCGAGGAGTGGGTAGAGAGTCGAGAGGGGAGCTGAAGGCACGGTCAAAGAGAAAGGTCTTGAGACCGGCCTTGAAGGAGGAAAGGGAGGAGGCGGCGAAGGCACTGGGGGATAGGGTTCCAGAGCCTCGGGGCTGAGAGGCTGAAGGCCCGGCCACCGATGGTAGGGCGGTTGGGGCGGGGGATGTGAAGCAGACCGGAGCCAGAGGAACGGAGGGTACGGGCAGGTAGGTAGGGGGATAGTAGGTCGGAGAGGTGCAGCATAAACGGAATTTTGGAGTGTCGATTGAAATTTTTTGTTTTGCATTTTAAAACCAATAGTAGATTTTGTATACATGAAAAGGACAGGCACCAATTCTCTTTTGACTGTTCCTGCCAAAGCTTGGGACCTCAGAAAGTGTGTCTTGGTTCTTCTAGCGTTTACCAGCTAAATTTGCATATATTGCCACTGTGAGCATTGTCTGGCAAGCTTCCCACTGTTTGTCTAGCTAGGGCTATCCTATTAATTATGGTTTTGGCTTGCAGGATTAACAGTAGCCAAGTGGAACTATTCCCTGCCCCAGACCAGCCTGCCCCTTCAAGTTCTGCCCACAAGTCTGGTTGGCTGGACTGTCGTCAACAGAGATCTGGAGTACTGCAACTGCCAGAGAGGGTTGACTCAATTCTGACATTTTTTTCAGCTCAGCTCCAAGGTAGAGAGCCAGACAATTATCTGAAAAACAGCCAGCATGGGCACAATGGGCTGAATGGCCTTCTGTGCTGTAAACATTTTTTATTCTATGGATTACAAGATTCTGTATTTTAATTCTATATTTTGTACTTAACAATTTATCATGTCCCACTTGTAAAATCTGTGCACTGGATTAATTTGATATGTATGTACTGTACTGTATAACTTCCATTGTAAATACAAAATTGATTCCTTAATGATGCAATTTCAGATTCAGCTATGCTCTTTGTGCAGGCTGTTGTATCTTCTGTGTTATCCACTCCTCTTACCCCATTCCTCGGGAGCGCCATTTTCATCACTTCCTATGTCAGGCCAGTAAAGTTCTGGGAAAGGAATTACAAGTAAGGAAACTTCTTTTGCCCATGGTGCGCTTTGACCAATTACTAGATATTTGTTCTTTGTGCAATGTGGTAATGTTTCAGAGTACTCTAGCGTGAAATGGAATAAGGTAATACAGCTGCTCAATACGTTCTCAACACTGCCATGGTGCTTCTACTGCAAGCAAACCAATTGACTAGTTTACTTTTTACATATTTTTTAAAAAGTTCATGTATGTCAAAAGTAAGAGAAAGAAACTAGGCCACTGTTTTGCAATGGATACCGGCCTAGAATTAATGCATTAAATGCAAGTGGTTGAATCTTTCTTCAAAATGTTTTAGCTTAGCATTATCATATGTACTTCACCTGTGTAGGTGTGTGCGTGCATGAGAGAGGGAAAAGAGTACAGCTAAGTAAAGATTCTTGCCATTCATTGGTGATTCCTAATTGTCATCAATGAATCTTAACATACTTGCCAGTTACTATGATTTTAGTCCAGTTTTTTTTACACGTACATACACACACACACATTTAATTTAAAAATAACATGAAGCATGATTGGGATCCTCTTCTTCACAAAATCTGCCTCCAGTTTATTAGTTCCACCATAAGTGTAAAGAGCTTGGAGAAAAATTGGTGTGATTACAGAAGCATGGATTCAAGAGTTTACCATGTTGTTCACCCACAAGGTATAGAGTCACTCCATTCTACAGTGTATCCTGTAAAGAGCTTTGAGATGTCCTCCTGACTATATAAAATGTAACTATTATTATCATTGTTCTTTACAGCACAAAACGGGTGGATCATTCAAATACCAGACTCGCTACCCAGATAGACAGAAGTTCAGGTAAATAAAGGCAGTCCGCATTAATAATAATAATAATCCTTGCTTTTGCTATAGTGCTTTTCATGTCTTCTAGATGTCTCAAAGCGCTTCACAGAATATGCTGTAAAGTGAATTGACCGTGTATTTGTGGACAAAATGCGGCAGCCTATTGCGCACAGCAGTGTCCCACAAACAGTCGTGGATTGAAATTGACCAATTTTATTTTTTTTGTTTTGGAGGGATTATTATTTGTCGTGTTATAATTGAGAAAGACTTTGAAAACTAGAACAAATAAATTAGTCAAAACATTATTTCTTTGGGTCAAAATGTAACTGTAGAACAAACCATTGTAATAGTTAACCTATTATGTTACCCTGGAAGGATGATTGTATACAGCTATGGTGAACAACAGTTAAAACAGTTGTAGCATTCCAATCAAAGAGTAAAATGAAACTAAACAGTACAGTTAATACAAGCTGAACTCACCAATCTCGAGCTCCAAAGTAACTTCATTTGTTTTTTTCAAATGAGAGTTGAATGGTTTGCTAATCCTACCGATTCTGCTGTTTGTACAACCATTTCTATAATACATTGAGTATATTGAGTATATTGTATTCTGTGAAGTGCTTTGGGATGTCTAGCAGACGTGAAAGCGCTATATCAAATGCAAGGATTATTATTGTATCTTCAGTCTCTGTTTCTAAACTTTTTACAGAGTTTTTTTAAATCTTATATATTGGGGTCTATAATTTGTGGAATCTCTTAATGAGATTCCTTATTTAGAGTTGTGCAACGGGGTTTCCTGGAACTGGAAGAGTCCCACAAGATCTCTGCTCTGCTGTGAGCCATATAAAGAGTTGGAATTCCTTCCTGTAGATTGGCTAGAATTCTAATGGGATTTTGTATCCCCAATGTAAATTAGATTCCCATGGTTTTCTATTTTCTGGTCAATTTAGATTCTGCAAAGGATGCAAAGCATCATAAAGAAGAAATAAAGTATACTAAGCTGAACAAACAATCTCATCGGTCTTAACACAATATAATTAAAAGTAAGATCTCTGTATAATTGAGTAGTTCAGAAATTTTAACTATGTATGAATTATAATTCTACATACTTTTGGATTTGTTGAAAATAACGTATTTCAATGCATTATGCTTAATAATACTTTTATAATTTTGAATTCCAAAGTCTAGAATTGAGGCATAAGTCAGAGAGGGTGAATTGTTATGTACAGTCAGCATGGATGTGACCATCATAAGATTTCGATGCTTGTTTTCAGAGTGAATACGATACAACAACAATGAGGGATGCCCTAAAGGGGCTGAAAACAAGATAGTGTATACACAACGTATCATAGAAAGTAGATTTTGCTGTTGTAGATTTTAATATTTAGAGGGACCTTAATAACCTATTGCTCTGTATGTAGATGATCTTTCTCTCACTCCTAGCCTCCAGCATTTCTCACTGTCGCAACCTTTCTCGTCTCTCTGCTTTGACAGTATCTACTACACTATTCTTCCTTGTTCTTCCATGCACCATAGTCACAGTCTTGCATGTTTTTTACCATTTCCATTGCTTCTTTGTCGTTGAAATTAAAATTCATTGCACTATTTTCTGCTGACACGCATTCTTTCTCAGGATCTTAATATTATGGAAGCTTTATTCATCCCTTTATCTTGTAATTAGGCTTTTTAAGCCTAAACCTGGTGTTGCTTAAGCATTACTGCTTGATTTATCCCTTCATCTTTCCTACTGTTTTCAACCTTGATGGTGTCCTCCACTAGGCCTTGGCTCTTTACCTAAGTTTCTCAATAAAGGTAAACTGAATGCTATTATATAACTACAAATGGGACAAAATGGAAATTTTGCTCTTGTCATTAATTCGGTGTGGAGCATAGGTATCTTTACGTTTAAATTCATTACGGATGATAGAAAATCCATTCTTTTCCATAAGAGGGACCTTAATAACCTATTGCTCTGTATGTAGATGATCTTTCTCTCACTCCTAGCCTCATTCCCATATATTTGTTAAAGTCTTTTCAATACTTATTGAACAATTGAATGACTTAAATACTGAACTTGTGTATGTCTTGAAGCTAGATCCAATATGTATTACTATTTTTCAAACTCTAGATGTCAATCAAGTGTTCTTCAAATGCTGTGAAGTTTCATGTTAACATTTCCAAAGCATTTCTGTTTCCAAAGCGTTTCTCTCCTCCCTTTTTTAGATTCCCACCCTACCTGCCAATTCTCCCATCTCACACATTCCTCTGCCGACTGACCCCTCCGCATCAGCCTACAAAATGTCTGCTCCCTTTCTAAGAAGGCTCTCGCCATCAACGACATCAGTGTGGATTGAAACATCAATATCCCTGGCCTCACTGAAACCTGGACCACCCTAGACAACACCTTCCTCCTGATTGAGGCCACACCACCTGCCTACACCTTCCACCTTACCTCATGTCCTAACGCTGTGGTGGTGGTGTGGCTCTCATCTCCAGATCCTCATTCAGAGTCGCCCTGGAGTCATCTGATCTCTTCCCACTCTGGCCTACCTCCTGCACTGACTTATCCTCCTCGGTCACTCTCCTCCACAACTCCCTATCCACCATTCTCGATGCCCTTGCCCCCCTCACCTCTCAAACCACCTCACCAGCCACCTATGCTCACTCAAGGGTCAGGTGCGAACCACCAAATGCACCTGGCTCAAATCTGATTTAATGGTCCATCAGCAGATCTGGCTGGACCCCATAAAAACTTACCCCTGTGCCCTCGCCTCCACTGAATCATCCTTCTATTCTAAGATAATCTTGGAGGCCAAGGACAACCCTAGGCTTCTCTTCTCCACTACCAACCGGCTCCTCCGTCCACTCTCTCACGCCTCTCCCATCCTCTCCTCCAACTCCAACCCTGTCACCCCTCCTCTCTCACCACCACTATAACCCGCATGAAGCCCACCACCTACTCCCTCGATCCCATCCCTACCCCTCTTCTTACTCCCAGTTCCAACTCCTCGCCCCTTTATTCTCAGACTTCGTCAGCCTCTCCCTGTCAACTGGCACCGTTCCCACCCCCCTAAAAACAGCTGTTATTACTCCTATCCTATAAAAACCTTGGACCCATCCTTGATCACTAACTACTGCCCCATCTCCAACCTTGTTTTCCTTTCCAAGGTCCTTGAAAGAGTTGTTGCTACCCAGCTTCACTCCTTCCTCTCCCGCCACTACCTTTACGAACCCCTTTAATTGGGTTTCCGTGCTGCCCACAGCGCGACTGTGCCTTCGGCCACCCTCTCTGCCTTCCACCCTCCCTAATCCCAACCCCCCACCCCCAGAATGTTCAGTGCTTGGGTTGTCCTCCCAATGTGAAAGGCGCTTTACAAATGTAATTTTGTATTGTATTGTAAAACTCAGACTTAACAATTGATTTCTGTTCTATTCACTTATGTTTGCATTTCTAGGAGCTGACGACAACAACCTCAACTCCGTTTTTTATGAACATCTGACAAGATCGCTGCAACAGAGCTTATGTGGTGACCTGATTCTTGGCCGCTGGGGAAACTACAGCATAGGGGACTGCTTCATTCTAGCCTCTGATCACCTCAATGCCCTGGTGCAGCTGATAGAGGTTGGCAATGGTCTGGTAACTTTCCAGCTCAGAGGACTTGAGTTCAGAGGTGAGTTGCAAACACCTTCAAGAATGACCGTGAAATTAAAGCTACAGCTCTCTGCCCTAACAAGAAAAACAGAATTTTCCACAAACTCAATGTCCTTTGGTTGGCTAACAAGAATTTTAAACCAAATAGTTTGTTTTCAGAAAGGCTTAAGTAGGGGGTATCTCAGTGTGTGTTAGCGTGATGTCCTTTCACTGTTCCAACAGAAAATCCATCTCTGCTTTCTGTTCCCTGAAATGATCCCAAGTGAAGTTAGTTCATTGGAGTTACCAGCATTTGATAGGGAATTAGATAAACAGTTGAAGAGGAAAGATATAAAAGGATATGAGGAACCAGTATTAGAGTAGCTGGCTACAATGGGTGAGCTAACACCATCTTAATCCTGATGGTTAAATGACATGCTGTATTTGCAGTTGTTATGCTGTAATTTCTGTGATTCTATGAAATGTGTTTGTGGAGTATCTGCATGATTTTCACTGGATATGAGTGTACACAATATTATTACATTACACTGAATTTAAGGTCTCACTCAAAGAAGCCATCTGTTGTGAGGAATACGTCACTGACTGTCCAGCGCCTTGGGACGTCCCCGCGACATGAAAGGCGCTATTTAAATGTAATTTTGTTGTTGTTGTTAATGCAGGGTAGTGTCATTTTGAGTTTTGGGAACTGTTCTCTGCTCTTACTTCAACTGATATGAGAATGCTTAAAGATGATACTTGGAAATGCTTCCATTGTTCAGGTACATCTGTGTTGATAGGAGCAGAGAGACCTGGGGGTTCACAGGTCTTTGAGGATGGTAGGATAGGTTGATAGAGCTGATGAAATCCTTGGCCTTATAAATAGAACCATAGAGTACAAAAGCAAGGAAGTCCTGCCAAAGCTTTATAAGTCATTGGTTAGGCCTCAGCTGCCGTATTGTGTCCAATTCTGGGCACCACACTTTAGGAAGGATATCAAGACCTTGGTGAGGCTACAGAGAAGATTTACCAGAATGGTACCAGGGTTGAGGGACTTTAGATATGTGGTGAAGGCGGAATTGTTCTCCTTAGAGCAGAGAAGGTTAAGGGGAGATTTAATAGAGGTGTTCAAAATTATGAGGGGGTTTTGATAGAATAGATAGGGAGAAACTATTTCCAATGGCAGGTGGGTCGGTAACCAGGGGACATAGATTCAAGATAATTGGCAAAAGAATCAGAGGGGAGATGAGGAGACATTTGTTTAACCAGAGTGTTGGTACAGTCTGGAATGCACTGCATGAAAGGGTGGTGGAAACAGATTCAATAACAACTTTCAAAAGGGAAATCGATAGGTACTTGAAAAGGAAAAATTTGCAAAATTATGGGGAAACAGTGGGGGAGTCGGACTGATTTGGTAGCTTTTCCACAGAGCTGGCACAGGCACAATGGGCCGAATGACCTCCTTCTGTGCTAAAATATTCTTATGAATTCTATGATTCATGCAGGGAAGCATCTCGGAGTGCTGATCTCTGAAGATGTTTACATCTCCATGTCGGTCTTGAATTTGTATGGACATGCTGGGCTCTGCCAGGCTTTCCTCCTTCTGAGCCAGTTCAGCTCCAGGAAGTGTATCACCCTCTCAAAGAAGATTTGTTTTTGGATCTGATACTCATTATTAACCTTATAAGAGTTGAGAGCTGAGTGGATCCCACAGGGATTCAAACCCAGAGGCTCAAATCCGAATATGGTGCTCAGTGAACTTAAGCTAACTGTTGAAATGGTTACAAACATCACAGATATTAGAGAAGCCGCAGAATAACACACCTGCTTTACGTCTGCTCTGTGCATCTCATACAACCCCGAACTTCTGGCTTTCTCGTTTGTATCATGAGACGCTACCCTGCTATATAAATGCATGTTGTTGTATATTTGCACATTCATGAAAGAGGCAACTGTGTTACAGTGGCTGCTACGCCTCTGATATCAGCTATTAACTACTGTTTTTCCCATGCTTCACACTACTGCTGTCCCTCAACTTCAGCAGTATTTTTTTGTAATCCATTAGCTGGGCTCATCCTGCACAAATAGCGAGAAATTAATGAAGGTTTAGATTTATATTAGACTGCAAGGAACTGTGAGGGTCACAGCAGATGCGTGAGACTTGAGAATATGATATCTCTGACTTTGAAAAGCACACATCCTCAAATATCTCTCATGCATTATGATGAACATATTCAGAGCTGTCAAACTTGAAAGCAAATCACAAGGAAGCAAAATGGTCAAACAATCCCACTTCCAATTTCTCACAGCAGGTGTAGTACTTCAGTAGAACATTTATTAATTCGGCCCACACATGTATTCTTTGCACTTTTTAGGACCACTGCAAAGAATATTTCACAGGCTATTATAATAAATAGTTTAGGCGTCTGCTTCAGTGGGTGGGAATTGGTTCATGAAACATCAGCACTTTGGCTAACTTTGCTGGTCAGTCCACCATGTGAAGCAAGCTGTCCCCGTGTTTAGATGGAGAATGCATTTGGACAAGCCATCCATTTCCTAACTGGCTATTTTAAGGTCTCTTAAGAGCCTCAGGGAGTGCCAGAAGTGATGGATGGCTATAAGTCCTTACATGGTGAGTTTATAATCTCAATGCACTGTCATGGGAGGTGCTGAGTGAAGCCCAGTTCCCACGGGCACTTCTTGCACTTATGGACCTCCTTCCAGATGGGTTTGTGGTTTTATCATTGAATTGGCTTTGGCCTTGGAACCTGTCCCTTGACCAGGAAGGTGCGTGATATGAAGAGATGCTGTGATTTTAAGGGCAAAAAATTGAATGACAAAAAACCATGACAGCAGCATTTTATATCAGTACTAAAAATAGAATATAATTTTAGGTTTGGAAGAGTCAAAGATTCGGTTGTTCTTTAGGTTTCTCTGATTTCTCTTAAAATCGGCAGTGGATGCTTTTAAAGAAAATACTTTGTTCCCCCGCAGCTCTTGTGTGATGAAAAGGATGTGCATGTTTTGAGAGCTGACAATTTGTGTCAGCAGTGGAGGTTAAATCTCCCCACAGGAAAACACAGTGTGACCTCTCTTGACTATTTCCATGAACTAATTGCTCCACTTGTACATGCAAAGTCAAGCACTTCTTAATTATAATGTTGACAACAATTCAAATTAATGTGTTGATGCAACATAATTAGCATAAGCTTAGAGGCATTTCGAAGGTTCAAACTCCGATTCATATCAGTCTGGTACTTTTTAAGAAAAAAGGCTACTATACTCTTAACATAAAGAATGGAATATGAAAAAGACCTTTCATCCCCATCAAGCTCATGCTAGGTAATGGTCTCTAGTAATAGTTTGCAGAGGCTTCCCAAACAAATGTACAATTGTGTTTTAAGCAACAAATCAAAGAAAAAGCCAACTTTTATTGATGGTTCTATAGGTCAGTGCAACTACTCCACATCTCTTTGATGGGGGGGGTGGGGTGTGCTACATAGATCTCACAGAGGTCAACAACCTTTTTTGTGAGATTTACATTTACTTAGATTTACATAGAATGTAAACTAGTCGGTCTGGTGTTTATACTCCACATCAGTCTCCACCTACTTGCTTCCGTCCATACCCTTCGATTCTCTTCTCCCTCCCTCATCACAATTTTATCCCTTGATCCACCTCCAGCAAAGCTGGGACAGACAGGCAGATCTAAATACACTCCAGTGTCAACCATGATGGCAAACTGTACCAGTGTACCAACACTTGTCATTTTTTGTTATCAAATTTAAGTGATTAGGCCCCATCTGAGATTAAAACCCTGTGCCCTGATTGTGATTTCAGGTGGTTGAGTTCATAGAGACAGTGGATTTTCTGTTATGTTACAATGTAAATCAGAACAATTGGTTACCACAAATTCTCAGGCCAGCTTTTCACTGAGTTAAAATTGTTCCATAGGGAACAGTCTCTCTCGCTGGCTGGAGATTTTCTCCAAACTGCTTCGCTACACTATCAGAGGGCAGCTGATGCCTTGGACATTAGTGGCAATTGATTCCTCACGGAGTGGCCTCCTGACATTCCTAAAGGAATTGCACCACAAGCTTGTGGATATGCTCTTTAAGGGTGACAAGCTTTCTGATCCACACTGCGAGCCTCTGTTTGGAGTCTTGGGGACTATTTCCAATTGTTTTCTTAAGGTAAGCCATTCTTATCAATCTGACTGCTAGGGCTTGAGGCAGGAACAGAATGGCAATAATCCTTTCAGACACGTGACCTGGTCCAATAAATCCATGCCAGTGTTGAACGTTTAACCCCCCCTCCCCTGAGGTTCTGCAGGAGCTGGCATAAGCATCTCTCTGCTTCCAGCCCTCTAACTCATTCCCACTTGGGCAAATGTCACCCAGTGAATAGTGTGACCCAGTGGAGGCAGTTCACCTTGAACCTGTAAGTCCTAGAGCACTCCCATTTAAATGCCATCTTTTCAAGCTATTTTCCTGCCTTCTTTAACACACATTTCCTACCTGTCATAATAATGTATCGCTAATTGTACTAATGGTGTGTAGAAATGAATGATAAAGACCCATAATCTTTGGGATCACAGAACATCTATAAATCACCCTCGTTTCACATTTGTGTGATGAAACATCTGCATTTTTCACTGTATGATTGTCTGAACTGGCTTCTACTATATTTTATTGTACAGAACTTGCATTTCTGTGAGACCAAATGGTCTCCCATCAAGTGAATGAAGAATAGCATTCAATTCTGCATAAGCACCACTATTTTATACCTACATTATAATAGTTTTCAAGTTGTCAACTGCACAAATGGTACTGCTATTTGTCATAGCCAGAAATAGCTAACTTAAGCTGACACAAAGATATTGTATCTTTGGGGATAATTATTGTGTAGTATTTTAATGATAAATTGCATGACTTTAGTACTGCTGAGTTGACAGATAAACTGGCAAATGTTTAACCTAAATGTTTCAATGCTATATTTTACTTTTGGTCCCTAAATCCTTTTTGTTTTGTTAGAATTCAAATATTTTGTTATTTTTATGTGTCGAGACAGATCAGTACTTTTGCGAAGGCAGAGAGCAATTAAGTGTTCGTACAGTAATTTGGTATCTTCACTGAAAGGTCTTTATCTACCATTAAAATAGAATGTAGCTTCGTGAGCATTTGATATCTCGCCTTGCTTCTTGGAGAGGCTAATGGACTTACACAGTATGAAGAATAAAAAATTAATGAAAAGTATAAATAGACTTTTAAGTGACTTAAATTATACCGCTGTGATACCATAGACACTTCAGTGTTTAATTCTTTAACAATTTTAGACGTATCAATTTAACTTATAATCCTTGCATTTTACATTTGTTATAGCACGTTATCACTTCTCAAGAGACGTCTCAAAGTGCTTCACAGAATATACTGTAAAGTGAATTGACTGTATAATTTGTATGTGAAACTTGCCTGAGTATCCAATGAAAACAGTGTAAGATGTAGGAAATGGCAGTATTAGGGTCTAAATTTCTTACTAGAATGCTTTAATAATGAGTTGGAGTCACGCGAGAGGAATAAGTGCTCCGGTACACTAACCCGTGTGAAGGGCGCTGTATAAATGCAAGTTGTTGTTGATGAATTATTGAAATTTGCCTAACTTTTCCCTGCCTAAGAATCAAACCCAAGTCTTCTCACTTTTGAGGCGAGCGCTCTAACCAATACTCCACATGAGTATGTGCACATTCCTGGAAATCTTTGCACCCATGAAACCGAACACTGCAATATATCCTTTAATTTGTTTTTTAATGCATCAAAATATTTTTGACTGACCTTCATCGAAGAAAGCAGCAATCAGTATTAAACATTAATGTTCCATACAAATGTTCCAGTAGGTTGCATTGTACTTACTCGGATAAACTTGCTGAGCGATAACCTCAAGACTGCTGTCATGGGAGAACTTCTGCTCAGGATGTTACAGCTCCATCTGGTCTGATCCCGACTGGCACATACAACATCATGTTCCAAATCCCAACTAAGGGCTCTGTCCCACTTAAACATTGGAGTAAACCACCATGGTATACCACAGCATGAAACTAAGTCAATGAAGTTGGACATGTGACAAAGAATGTCTAAAAATTTAATTCAGCACTGTAGACACAAGGTTTCAGTTTCATAAAACTGAACCCGATGTTATAATGGGTGCATGAAAAAAATGGCCACAGTTCTTGTTTACAGGTTGTCTGATCACCACTGGCTTCTGGAACAGAGTATTTTTATGGCCGACAAGAGTGGTCACAGCTTACTAGGTGGCTCCCTGTGCCTTATGTGCAACAACAACAACTTGCATTTAAAAAGCACACCTCACGCAGGCTAGCGCCCCAGAGCACAACGCCGAGCAAGAGGAAGGTGACCGTGGCACGGTCGAATAGGAAGGTCTTCAGGCATCACCTGAAGATGGGGAAGGAAGGCAAGGCAGAGGGATAGAGGAAGAGTGTTCCAGAGTGCAAGCACAGGAAGAGGAAGTGTGCGCCATTTTCAGCAACCATGAGTTCACAGAAGACCCGCTTTATAAACAAACTCAAGAATTAAAGGTACTTTATAACAGGCGTGCTCTGTAAATTAGAGAAATTCCTGCAGATCTGTGTGACACACTTCTGATTATCAGAACAAATCATCAACTGTGATAACGGTTCTGTATATTGCACTGAAGAGCACTATTAGAGCAGGATATTAGCAAGAATATTTAATGTTAATGTTATTGAAGAGATAATTGTTCAACTGATTCTTTAATAACAAAAACTTAACCAACACTGTTAGTGGAGTGGCAGAATTCTGTGTATGTACTTAGTTGTGTCTTAGTTGTGCTTAGAGATTCCTGCAGCCATTGACTATTGCCATTGGGGATTGGGAACTATATGTACGAATGTGTTATTTTCCTGCTCCTAATTCAATCTAAAATCACTTCCAGCTTCGTAGATGGGCCTTCAAGTATCCAAGCAGAGGTACCAGTATTGAGGAAATGTTAAGAGTAGCACTACAAGTGATCAGCATTACAGCTTCCTGCTTTAAGGTGCATTTCACCTGTATCATTCTCCCTTTCTCCTCACTTAGTATTAAAGCACTTGGAGACATTTTCCTATGTGAAGGGAACCATGTTAGTGAAGTTGTTGTTAGCATTGAATTAAAGATGAATGGTTGCATAAATCTGGGAAGCGTTTGTTTCTTAGTTACAGTGAAGGTGTTTTTTCTTTGAATTCGCTCTTGTGAATATTTTTCAAAAGAAATCTTACAATATTTATTACATATTCCTGTTTTGCCTCTCTTCCCTGGAGGTTACATCTCCATTCTGCTGTTCTATCTTGATGTTCTTTCTCCTGTACTTGTTAAGTTTCTCTGCTTTTCTCTATCATCTACTCCATTCCTTACTCTCCTCTCAGTCAAGTCCTCAGAGCAATAGACCCCTTGATATTTGCACTTGATTTAATTCCTGGTTGATTCCCTCTTGCTCAATCTCTGTCTGCCCAATGCCAAGTCCCATTCCAGTCCATGCAGTCTGTTTCTGAGCTCACCTCCTGCCTGACTAATGTGTCTCTGTATTCCCTCTGAAGTTCAGAGAATACAACTAGGATGCAGAGATACCTCTGTAATATGAAACTGATGTATTCTCACAATAGGGAACAGACATGTTCTACATCACAAGGGATATTAAGATAGTCCTAATTCCCAGTGGTGATTTCTGACTCTTAATTTAGTACAAGAGTAAGCAAACATATTTATGGAAGCATATTTAGTTAGGATAAAAATGAAGAGGAAGAGGAGAGGGGGGGAGGTTAACATGAAGCTTCTTATGTTAATTTGCTATAAGTTAAAAGCAATTTCATCCCAGTTTTTTTTAAACTTACAAGAGAAATGCTGTGACAGCTTTTAATAAAGAAACCCATAGACAGCTCCTGAGGATAAACAGTCCAAAATCACAAGTAAATAGTAAATGCGAAATCAATATGCAACATGATATTGAATGTAGGGCAAGGCAATCAATGGCACTTTAGCCTGTAAACTGGAGACAGACTTTGCTTTTATTAATCTTGGATTTCAATTTTAAACCAGGACGTTTTTTCACCCATTTTGTGCAGTGTCTGTGTTTTGTGAAGTCAATCGGCAACTTCTTATGTTCAGTCACCTGCGCTCATTGGAAATATTCATCCACTGCCGTTAATTAACGGCTAATGGGGTCTATTATGTAGCTATCCTCCCTGGGGGAGAAGGTAAACACGGTCTCTTTGGGGATGAACTGGCTCCAAGATGATGTGCCTGGAAATGAAATATCGAAATCAAGTGGCTTCTCTGTTGCTGACTTGGTGGATTGGTTCTTGAGCCGCTTCTCAGTAAATCCTCAGGACTCTGGCACTGTTCATAGCCAGCCAGCATGGCATGTCAGCAGGACATAGAGGAGCATAGGATGTAGTTCATTCGGGGAAACATGTCAGAACTTTGAATGTCATTTCCCTATCATTTTTGCACATGGGCAAATTCAATCAATTTATCATTTAGAAATTGTCCATTTACAAAATATCTGAAGACTCAACTGATTAATGTTATTCATTTTTTAAAAAATATCAGCTATATAAAATGTGACACCATTTTATTTCGAATGATTGAATTCTATGCTTGATATTAAGGCAGTAAAATCCCAATGAGAAGGGGTACAATCTGTGACATAATATGGGTTTAACAAATGATAATCCAAGATTAATTGCGAGAAAATAGCTTAGTGTATGTTACATTTTACAGAGTAATCCACAATTGAAAAGCATTATCAAGAAAGTTGGTTGAGGCCAGTTCACTAGACTCACTTAGGAAATTGCTGATGCTGTATTAAATAATCCTTGCATTTGATATAGTGTCTAAAACATTGAGGACATATCAAAGAGCTTCAAAAAGTCTCTGTATTTCTAGGCAAAGGTAATGGGAGAATGGGTGAGTATTCTAGAAGGATGAGATCCAAGTTAGGACTGGAGAGATTCCACAAGCCTTCAGATCTCACCAGAAAATGACGGAATGTCATCCATCTCTCTCTCGTGGTCTCAGATTGAACGTGCGTTTTGAAGTGCCTTTGTTTTGTATTTTCCTTTCAGGTACCTATTGCCAGCAAAGGGAAGTTGAGGCCATAACCGAAGGAGTTGAGGATGATGAAGGCTGCTGCTGCTGTGAAGCGGGACATTTTCCCCACATGCTATCGTTCAACGCTGCTTTTATCCAGCACTGGCTGGCCTGGCAAGTAACCGCTTCAAAATACGTGTTGGAAGGTTACAGCATCAGTGACAACAATGCAGCCTGTATGCTGCAGGTATTTGACCTGAGAAAGATGCTCATCACCTATTATGTAAAGGTAGTAGTATACCAGTAAGTTTCTAATACGTTATTCTGTTTCACAAATAGAGGTTTTTGTTCTTTCCCTCCCCCAACTTGGACTCTTCCAGCTTCAGCCTGTCACAACTGCTAGCTGAGGAAGAGGAATAAAATCTATTTCTTCCCAGCTCCAACAAAAATCTTGCCTGAGCAGCTAACGAATAATAAAAGAAAGTAATAATAATAATAATATCCTTGCATTTGATATAGTGCCTTATCACATCTTCGAGATGTCTCAAAGCACTTCACAGAATATACTGTAAAGTGTGTATTTTATGGTTGAAATGCGGCAGCCAATTGTGCACAGCAGTGATCCACAAACAGTCGTGGATTGAGTGACCAAATTATTATTAGTAATTTTTTTTACAATAAAGACGTACTTGCGCAATTTATACTGACACAGAGAATATCCCATTATTTAGCCTGGCCAATTCCACATGAAAACACAGCAGAGCTGTGGCAGTCGCGTTGGACAGTCACTCTGGTGAGATCTGAAGGAACGTGGAGCATTCCCAGTCCTGACTTGATTCTTTAAAGTTTGGAAATGGGTTTTAACTCACAATTCTGCAGTAAGGATAGAGCATCAGTTCTGATTTGAAAGCAAATAATGCCTTTATATCAGAAAGTAATGTAGTTAGCAGATGTATTTAGTATTGATGAAGACTAAGCTGATCATTGCTGTTATGTTGAAAAATACAGATAGCTATAAAAATAGTAACTTAAGCTTCGTAACTTCACATCATGCTTTTCCATACAAAGAGAACTGCTCTATGTTGTGTTTCAATCATTCCCTATTTCCCAAGAAGGAATAAACTTGGTTTGGGTTTTATTCAGGAGGACTGAGGTAGGGTTCATGGGGGAGGTAACGAAAACACCTGTTTTCAAGCAATGTATGTGTTTTGGGGTTGTATTTATTTTTATCCTTGCGTATTATAGCACATTGAGTTGTCCTTACTTAATAGGGAGGCACATTTAGTGCATTGCAGATCAAATAAGCTTAATACTAATTGGATATCTGATGCAGTGAATTAATATTTAACCTGATCAATATTACATGCCAAGATCTCTTTGTCTAGCATTGCATTGTGGATTTGTTATGGAACTGTTAATGTATTCCTTCTATCAAAAAAGCCACTGAATCATATTAATACAATAGCAGGTGAAACATAAGGACTTCACTCTGATCCTAGCTGGCAGATCTAGAAGTAAAGCCAAAGATCAAAGGAATACACCCAGCTGAATATTCAATGGTATTAAACAGCCAATTAGAATTTTATTTTTGGGAAGGTGTCTGAATTTACAGGATTATACAGAAACCCAATGCCTTGCTTGAGTATCCACACTAAACTATTGAGAGTTCCACATACACGTGGAAACGTGCATTTTTTCTGGTATGGAATATAAACTCTCTCTTCCCCGAAGGCAAATTTCTACCAGCAAGAGCCCACAAACAGTCATGAGGTACAGGACTTTATGTCTCATCTGAGAATGGCACATCCAATAAAGCAAAGGACTAGAGTTTAAGTCCTGACCTGGTGGTGGAAGTCACAACCTTTTAACCCAAAAGATAGCGTGAGAAGTTCACCTATACTTTCTGGGAGAAAGTGGAACACAAAACATGGGAATCTAAAAAGAGGAGGGATAGAAATAATAAAAACATGGAAGAGGATAAATTAAACCATTCTATTCCTGTTACCTTAAGTTCTTAGTGTGATTGAAATGACAAGATGACATTGTTGTGAAAAGATAAAGTACCCTTGAAAGCATGTCTTTGAAAGACAAATCTATGAGAATACATTATCGTGTATCCCCAAAAATCATTAACAAATACTCCTGTCCTGCTTCAAAATAATCAATTGTGCGAAGAGTGAAATTGACTAAAAAGCCAGAGTAGAAAATCAGTGATCCGGAGTATCCACTGTTTATAATACACTGTATCTATTGAATGAAATTCAGACAACTTCATCATTTTAAAGACACTTTTGCTGTGGTTTATACATGGTTTTTCAGGTTTATGACACTGTCAGGAAATCCTAAGACCCGAGCATGCATTACAGGACCATTTCATAGAATCATGGAAATGTAAAACAGTGAAGGAGGCTATTTGGTCCATCATTATCCATACTGGTGGTACCTTCCCCTGCTGGAGCTATCTGGTCTAATCCCATTCCCCACTCTTTGGAACAAATAAAGTTGAAGGGTGACCTGATTGACATCTTTAAAATTCCGAGTGGTTTTGATAGTCATTGGGGAGAATTTATTTCTACCGGTTGGTAAGCAAATAACTAGAGAGCATCAATTTAAGCTAGCTAGCAAACCGGCAAATGGGGAGATTAGGAGAAATGCACAGTGAAGATAGGTCACGGTGTGCCCTATATTTTAACCAGATCAATTATAACGAGACTGACATGGTTCATGTGAACATGAGTTTTATTATCAACAAAAGAGGAGAAATTGTATTAAAGAATTTCTCTTGACAGAGCATAATATACTATCTGGTTCGCTCTTCTAAACTGGAACACTGGTTGAGTACAGAGTCAATTCAGGAAGCACTGCATCCGTATACTGCATGGAATTATGTGGACAGAGATCCAGCCGTATTTAACGTAAACATCGATGAAGACTACGATCATTGCCTCAAGGGAGTATCAAGAGCAAGTTTCTGCAATATTTATCTGGATTGGATACAGCACTGCAACAATAAAAGGAATAAGGTACAGAATTAAGTATAATACTTCTCCATTTCACTGTCCTATGTAGGGTTGTGTTAGAATGATCTTTTCAGTGCTATGCTTATTCTAATGCTCCCATGATTTTGGGAAACACATTTTATACTATTGTACATATTACCTCTATACATAAAATAAGTGTGTATTTCAATTCACTCTTCCTCCAAAAGAGAGATATACCATGATCACTAGCCACCCCCAATGCAAATCATCAGAAAAGGTTGGACAAGGGCTGTGCTTTCCTGTGGGCAGTACAGTACACTTGTCACCCAATTTTATCGTCTGTCTGTTAGTGAAGACATCTTACTGATGATTTACTGCCGGTGTGATGAGAATAACAATAATTAAGGAATGGAGTAGCAGAAATACTCATTCATCCCTGATTTTTTTAAAAATAGCGGTGATAAAATCAAGGTCCCCTCTTCTCCCTTACAATCAGTCATGTTCTGATTGAGACAGGACTCCAGCCATGTGTTTACTTGACATTATGGGACTATCATTTTGAAGCCTATTTCACAGCCTAACAAGAACTCCCTTTCTGCCATAAATATTGGAAAATTTAAATATTTAGCCCTGGAGATATTGTACTGTGCGTGCGTTGGTAAATGTTAAGTTTTCTCAAGTGGTAAGCCCTTGAGAAAAATCCTTAATACATTGTCCATGGCTAGATCCCAACAATGGATATCTTGAATGTTTTTAATCGCTAAAATATTACTTATGTCCTCTTCCACTTATGAATCTATATTTGTACCTCTTTGTTATTGATACCAAATATCTTGAAGGCAGTTAAAAGTGGAGTTTTCTGAACTGCATTTGATTCTTTGACATTCTGTGAACAGCCGGTGAGGAGTGATGGAGATTCCCCTTTAGTCACCCTTTGCTATGGACTTTGCATTCTTGGCAGAAGAGCTTTAGGAACAGCATCACACAACATGTCAATCAGGTACATAGCTGATTCCTTAACTAATAAAGTAACTATTGCCTTGACTAAGTATACAAATCTCCAGGACAAGCAGTGATGTTTTGTTTGTTGAGGATATGAAGTCCAGGACTTTGATGAAATCAATGGGAAAAGCTAACTGAATTGAAAATTGATTTTATGGAAAGCAGAAGGTAATGAAAAAATATACAATTGACTTTAAGAGGAGATGTAACTGGTGGAGTCCATCTTGTTTATGCTTCTTTTCACACAGTAGGGTCTAAAATGCAATATTTGCAAACCAGGTTTGAATCGTTAATTGCAATTTCCAGTTTGGGCAATATTAGAAATAGAGGATGTTGCTTCTAGTCATAGTGTAATTCTTGGTGGTACCAAGGCAGTGTCAGATGCTTAGGAATCAAAAAGACTTAGACCAGTTAAGTGGATGGACTTCCCAATAGCTTATTGTAAATGTTTGATATAGTCAGTTTGATATAGTCCAATTTTGGAGTCCTGTAGCTCAGTGGTTAGAGCACTCGCTTTGCAAGTGAGAGACCTGAGTTCAATTCCAGGCAGGGCGAAACCTTGGGCAAGTTTCCTTACTCCACACGCCTAATAATAATCCCTCCAAAAAAACAAAACAATAATAAAAATTGGTCATTTTCAATCTACGACTGTTTGTGGGACATTGCTGTGCGCAATTGGCTGCCGCGTTCGCCCACAAAATATACAGTCAATTCACTTTACAGTGTGTTCTGTGAAGCGCTTTGGGACGTCCTCCTGACGTGAAAAGCGCTATATCAAATGCAAGGATTATTATTATTATTATTATTATTAATTTACAAGGACCATAACATTAAGAGGATCTGCAAAACTGGGATAAACTGCACATGAGGCACAAAAGCTAAGCAGAACATTCCCTGTGTTAAAGAATGAACTGAGAGCCATGGCATACAGGGAAAACCTTGAACCATGACATGCCAGTGTTTAAGCTACTTAGGTTGTTGCTGTGTTTACGATATAATGAACTGAGGGAGCCATGTAATATGAATTGCGAGGGGAGCCCTAAAGCTTTTGGACATGGTTACTACAGGGCGACCTGTCATAAAGCACCTCACTAGAGCGCTCCTCTTTCTGTGTTGCTGACATTGCTATTGGCTTCCACTTTGCAGTACAGACAGGTGGAAAATTGCTACCAAACCTGGAGGGTACTTCAGAACCATTTTTGTTCGACTGTCTGTATCCTGCGGTGCAAGTTCATCAAAAGATTATTAGTTTAAATGTTAGAGAGGCAGAATTAATATAGAATGTTTCAGCCTGCTTTTGACCTTTCATCATCTGTAAAATCCTTCATTTCTGGTGCTTTTACATTCTTCTTATAGAACTACTGGATTCCCCAAGGTGTAAGTAAAACCATTGACTGACAAATATAGGTGTTAATTGTCTTGCCTATTCCTAGTCTTTGTTATCAGGGGGTATGATTCATCTTCACACCCTGGCTATAATCTTCTCACTGAGTTTTACTTTGAAGGCTCCTTTTCTTCTCTTAAAGTATTTTTATTTAAGTTCCAAGTTTGCTAAAATCCAGCATTTATTTTCTTTTCTGCTTTGTTGGGGTTAAGGTCTCAATGTTTTTCATGGCTGATTCTGCTTTTGAACATTTCCCTGCATTTTGTGCAATCCAATTTCTATTTAATTGTAAACAAAAGGCAAAATTTCTATTTTTATTTCTATTTTTATTTCTATTTAGCTGTTGTGTGACTTGTTTTGTTTCACATGTTCATTGTGACCCAGGTGCTGTCTAATTCTGTATTTCCCTGAATAGATTTTGTTTCCTAAATTTCCCTTGTGCCCATATTTAAGCAGTGGATTCTCATGTGAACTTTGTTAACTGGTACATTGTTGCAGCTTTTTCAAATGCCCACGTACTCTATTATCAGACTGAACAGTCCAATTGAAATATTTTAGTTAATATAGAGCGTTAGTTGCTCAAGCTGGATGAAATTTGATGGTCCTGCTTCCACCAGTGCGCAAGAACAGATGTGGGGCATCATGTGCCTATACACGTGTGATGCTATTCTCAAGAGAGCACAAGTTCAGAATGGTGAAGGGAAAGTTTAGGACAAACAACAGGAAATATTTCTTTACATACTGCATAATTAATAATAATCCTTCCTTGCAATTACTGCAGTGAACGCTGGGACAGCTTACCAGGAAGGGTGGTAAACACCAAGAGGCTGTACTCATTTGAGAAACAGCTTGATGTTGTACTGGGAAGACAGTTGGATTTGGTCTTATGGAAGGATGGAGTCAAATGAACTGAAAAGTCTTCTTCATTCAGGCCAATTTTGTGGATCTTTCATGAGATTTGGAGGAAGCCTACGTATTCAGTATATGCCACATTGAAAATATATGAGGATAGAGTTCAGTTTTAAATGATGCAATGCTCTCTCTATTTCATTGCGAAAATAACCTTGAAGTTTCTGTTGAATTTTTTAAAATTTTACTTGTCTTTGCAGCTTGGAATCCTTTCTATACGGGCTCCACGCCTTGTTTAAAGGAGACTTCAGAATAACAGCAAAGGAAGAATGGATCTTCGCAGACATAGATTTGCTTTACAAGATTGTTGCACCTGGAATCCGAATGTCTTTAAAACTTCATCAGGTACGTTTTCTTTTCAGGTTTACCTTTGTCAAGGTCTAAAACATTTACATTCCAATAAATGGTCCAATGACTGTCTCTCCAAGTCAATTACCATCCTGAATTGGACATTCCTTCATCACCGCTGAGTCATAAACTCTGGAACTCCGTATCCAAACCCCAAAATCTGGGTGTGCCAGATGAATAGCTAGAGAACTAGCTATTATGTTCTTGGGATGTCCTCCGGACATGAAAGACACTACATAAATGTAAATTTGTCTGGTGTGTTCTTGGAGTTTCTTAACAGCTGACGATAAAAGGGCGACCTTTCTGGTTTATTAATAATAATTATAATGATCCTTGCATTTGATATAGTGCTTTATCACATTGTTGAGACATCTCAAAGGGCTCCACCGAGGATTGACATGGCAGACAATTGTATTTTTTTTTACTGGCTTGTTACTAACATGTAGTGTTTGTGTTTTTGTGCGTATCCAGGATCATTTCACTTCACCTGATGAATATGATGATCCTGCAGTTCTGTATGAGGCAATTAGCTCCCACCAAAAAAAGCTGATCATTTGTCATGAAGGCGATCCTATGTGGCGTGATTCTATACTGTCCAATGCTGAGTCACTGCTTGCCCTCAGGCATGTGGTAGATGATGGGGCAGACGAATACAAGATAATTATGCTTCATAAGCGCTACCTCAGCTTTAAGGTGATTAAGGTACGTCATTGTGCTGACTTATTTGTATATATTTCCAAAGCTTTACCAGAGTGAATAAGTACAGCCAGCAGAAAAGCAGCAGCCGAAGCACAGCGGCTCACTTGGAGAGAATTCAAGAAGTTTTTGTATAAATTGTTCCAGGTTTTCTTTCCTTTCGCCTCACTGTGTTGAATCTAGCTATGAAAATAGTGAAGAAACTTGTGTTTTTTTTTAAAAAAGTTACATTCCCAGCCTTCTAATTCCCTGTCCAGGAGCAGTTCTTTAACCTGTCAAGGCAGGTGTGTAAGAGTGGTGAGAGGCGAGGCACAGTCTTATTTCCTCACTGATCTTATTTCCTTTCCTTGTACCTTTCGCTAATGGGATCAGGCATGAGTTGATTCCACAAAAATATGACACTAGCCCCCGGGAACTGAAAAGTAACGGCATTGGCATTCTTTATAGCTATATAAGATATTGAATAGGAAACTCAGAAGTAAACTCAGAAAAATGTTTCCAGAATCCCAAGTTAGAATCACAAGAGGCACATTCAGGGTGGTAAAGAGTGAGTTTAGGTCAGAAACAGAGTAGCCCATTTCTAAGGCTGTATTTGAGGGGAGGGGTCCATAAAACCCCAACCAGCGCTATAACAGGGCCTGACCACCACACTGACAACACGACTGGAAACATCCTATAAGTAACCCTATAACAGGTTACAAGGGCACCTTATAACAGGGTTCTATTATATTTCTGTACAAGAGGGTATTCAACAAATGGAACAGGTTACCAGAAAGAGTGGTAGTGACCAGAACATGATTCGTTTAAGAAACAGCTTAATGCTACAATGGGAAAATGACAGGGTGGATACTCCAGAAGGATCAGGCCTTTGTCATCTGCACCTTGCTAATGATTTAATCTGTTGCATCACCCATATATTCAGCTACATAAATAGGCGTTTCTTTTTTCTTTGAACAGATCAATAAGGAGTGTGTCAAAGGATTGTGGGCAGGGCAGCAGCAGGAGCTGGTGTTCCTCCGCAACCGCAACCCAGAGAGAGGCAGCATACAAAATGCTAAGCAGGTCCTGAGAAACATGATCAATTCATCATGTGACCAACCAATTGGCTATCCAATCTATGTCTCCCCTTTGACCACGTCATACGCTGGAACACACCAACAGCTAAAGAACATCTGGGGTGGCCCGATCAGTTTAGAAAACCTGCAGCTCTGGTTCACTTCCAGGTGGCAGAGGTAGGTATTGCCTTCCACGCCTTTTGTTGCTGCGCTCTCTTACACACCACCTGATACCTTCCAACAATGGTATGAAAACACCTGTAAGACAGTATTACTTATTCATGGGCTCTAGGTGATAATTCACCAGTACTAACCAAAGTTCATGTCAATGACTTAAATAATGTGGACAATAAGGCAGGGCAGCAACCCATAAAGTAGTTCAGCATATCTCCTGTAATTCAGGAAGTGTGGTATCCTCTGCCAGAGTTATATGGGTGCACCACTCACAAAGTCAGTATTTGTAAGGCAGACATTTTAGATATTGGGATTGAAGGAGGGTATCAATTTAAGATCATTACCAAAAAAGACAAGAAAGAGATTAGGAGAATTTTTTTTACAGAGTGTTACATTATTTGGACATGGAATACCCCACCAAAATAAGCTGTTGATGCAGAATCAGTAATGTTTTTTAAAAGGGAATTAGACTTATATTTGAAGAGGAAAAATATAAAAGGCTATAGGAAATGAATAGAGGAGTGGGACTGAACAGATTATACTTCCAGAGATCCAGCACAGGCACGATGGGCTGAATGATCTCCGTCTGTGCTGTCTGATCTGTCTATCGTTCAATGCGACAGAAAGGTTTTCCCAGATCTCTTTATTAACAAGCACATCAACAATGTCTTTCTGGTAAATCAAAAGATAGGGTTACAAAATGTACTACAAAGGCGTGAAGAAGTAAGCTGTTATGATCAGTAACTGGAAAATGAACATGTTGATATCTCAGCAGAGAGCTGCGCTACACTCCCAGGCTTCACATGCACAATCTAATCACATTTATGATAGAGTAACAAGCAATGTTATGGAATGGTGTTTGTTTCAATTGGAGAAATAGTATTTCTAGTGAAATGAGCTCCTCCAGTTAGTAGAAATATTCCTGTTAATTAGAGCCCTGGGGAAAGAACTTCAACTGGGTCTAGACTTTGACATTTTCCTTAGTTTTTAGAGCGTGCCAATTTTAAATACATTTTAGACAATTCTTCAATTTAGTCTTAATTTTTAAGACTTTAAAAGAATTTAAAAGAATTGGTCATGGGTTGCATGCACTGAAATACTAGGAAAAGAGTTTTAATTCTAGACCCAGGTGGAATTTCAACACTTTGAGCTCTGACAGTTAAGGCGGACAACTGCAGTCCTGGAGTCCTGTAGCTCAGTGGTTAGAGCACTCGCCTTGCAACCGAGAGACCTGGGTTCAATTCTAGGCAGGGCAAAACCTTGGGCAAGTTTCCTTACTTCACACGCCTAATAATAATTGCTCCAAAACAAAAAATAATAATAAATTGGTCATTTTCAATCCACGACTGTTTGTGGGACATTGCTGTGCGCAATTGGCTGCCATGTTCGCCCACAGTATATTCTGTGAAGCGCTTTGGGACGTCTAGAAGACGTGAAAAGCGCTATATCAAATGCAAAGATTATTATTATTATTTTACAGAATGTGTCATGGGAGAGAATGCTTTTAATGCGAATATCCCATGTGAACATTGTCTTTGGATATCCTGTTTAGTAGCAGCAATCATTCATTCTCAGCATCATTGCAAAATCAGATATGTCATGTTGGAGTTGTCAGGGTACAGTCCTGCTGATATGAGTCGTGAGGAGGTATCTTTGGGAAGTTACTTAATTGATTCAATGTTTATCTGCATCTCTTCCTTTAGTTGATGTCAATCTAAAACTGTATTCAGTTCCTGTCAAGTACACGTCATATACTGCATGTGACAGTAGAGCCTAATATGTGGTGATTTTTAAAAGGATAAAGAAACTGGAAGGATATCACGCAGGAACTCCACTTCAACACAACCTACTTTCTATTGTCGGATGGAGTTCTGGTCGGGTTACTGGAAGCGTCCCTGCTCAGATTCCTAAGCAACCCCATTAGAAATCACCATGTATTAGATCCTGTTACTCATAGTTCAAGAACTCCTAACCCCATCTCCATGGTAATTCTTTGGAGTGCAATTATTTGTGACCAGTAATTACTAAATGGAGGCTTCTCGAGTGTAACTGTGTGTTAGCTGAGTTTGTGTATGTGAATAAGAACTGAATCTTCTCTATCAAGGATAATAATAATACTTTCATGTTAGGAGGATGTTCCAAAGCGGTACACAAAATTTACGGTGAAGTGGAGTCACTATGTATTTGTAGGCAAACCAGAGGCAAAGAATACATTTAATATCTGAGAGTTTCGCCGGATAACCTTAGGAAAAAATTTTATTTTCTTGAACATGTTGCTTGTGATTAATTAATTCCCTCGGGAGAATAAATAATTTGGGTAGAAACTACGATGTAGCAATTGTTTAGCTCTTTGGAAGGAATGGGCTGAAAGGCCTGAATTATGTTAGCTCTTCATGTTTGTGGCAAGCTATGTATTAGGAACTTCATGGGAAATTAATACCTCCCTGGTGAGTTTGGTGCCATGTTTATACTGTACATCTGGCAGTGAATTGCCAATTTTACTGGAATTCAGCTCTTTATCCTAATCTGGAAGAGGTGGTGGTTTTTGGAGCATTGCAACTTGCATCTTAATGTAATGGGTAGAAACGACACTCTGCTCATTCCCCCAGGGTCCATTTTAGAGCCCCCAGACTGGCCAAGGCAACTTTGAATAGTGTTATTAGTTGAGATGCCCTACTTTGTTTTTCTTCTGCCTTAACTCAGAGAAATGTGGAACAGGCAGTGTAAACATGACATCCAATGACTGCCAGAAGCAAAGCGCTTTGTTCACAGCCATGTAAACATAGCATGAAACCTAGCATCATGGGTCTCCCTCAAGCTTCGTGGTTGGGAGTTAGAAAATTAGGATTTCTCTCACAAAGTTAGAAATTAAGAAAGTAAGGCTATTGTTTGGGGACAAGAGAATTATTTGATATTGAGTGTAGTTATCTCATGCTTGCCATCACTTTAAATAGAAGGGGGAAAGGAGATTTTGGTTCAGCTACTTACTCTAACTCAGTGTGCTAGAAGGGAAAAGCTGACCTGGTTTATATGCACTCCTACAGTCAGCTGATAACAGTGGGATACTGATAGCAGTGAAAGAAGTCTCTGTCCCACGTCATACCATGCTCACAGCCAGAGAAGGCTGTGTGGTCACAGGCTGCAAAATGAAACAGAGAAAGATTTAAAATAAAATTAGAGTATGCACTGCGTTCATTCCCATTGCAGTTGAGTGACGGAGCAGGATAGACTTTTAGGGAAGAAAAAATGCCTGTAACTGAGCCTGACTTGACAACTACGGGGTCTGACAATTAAGACAGTGAATGGCGGCTGCGAATGGGAAACAGTCAATGTCTGTACCAAAGATAGGGTCAGTCTATTGCTACAGAATACATTGTAAATGGGCTTTTCTACAGCCTTCTGTATACATTTGCCACGGTGCTTAGGACAGTTGAACTGATTACAGTTTGTCTGTGGGTGGTTTAAACTAACTGGAAATGGAAAAGTGCTGTCATTTATGGAATCTTATTTTGATGGCAGACGTAGGAACAGTCAAAGAATGTCCCTTTCATCCCCACTGTCAGGTTCATTAGCACCATATTTTGATGCCAATTTTCCTCGGATTGTGTGTATAAGTCATTAATGGCAGTAGCTAAGGGTGCACATCAATATCCAACCTAAGCACACAGATCGATTTGGTCTGATTTATATGGTTGAATAAACTTTTAAATGTTTAGTTTATTCACAGAGGAATCCCAATGTAATGGATAAATAATAATGGGTATTATACTTGCCTTTGAATGTGTCCTAGTCATCAGTTCAATACCTTTCTACTCGTACAGTGTGGAAAGGCTCCTCCTTAAGAGTTTTCCAGTCATTTAGTTTTACTGTAAAATTCATCATGGTCATGGACATGTTCTGACATTCCTTAATAAATCTTGATTCATTCCAACAAATTCAATCATTGCAAAGCTGAGATTTTTGATGGGATCCATAGAGATCCCATGGCAGCAGGATGGATTTGCATTGAAAGTGTTTAGATAAGAGTGAATGACTGGCCTCCACAGAGAAACCCGTCAACATGGATATATGCTAAACATTTGATTTCAAACCCAAACCTTGTGGGCACACCCAGGAGAGCAAGTTCTTTACAAGTAAGCACTTATCCCTAACACTGATATTTTCCTTCAAGTGTTGCATTTGTCACAGTAAAACACATATATTTTGAATGTTTAACACATTTCTGTAGCTCAGTGGTTAGAGCACTCGCTTTACAAGCGAGAGACCTGAGTTCAATTCCAGGCAGGGCAAAACCTTGGGCAAGTTTCCTTACTCCACACAGAGCCTAATAATAATCCCTCCAAAACCAAAAACATTAATAAAATTGGTCATTTTTCAATCTACGACTGTTTGTGGGACATTGCTGTGCGCAATTGGCTGCCGCGTTCACCCACAAATATACAGTCAATTCACTTTACAGTGTGTTCTGTGAAGCGCTTTGGGTTGTCCTCCCGACGTGAAAAGTGCTATATCAAATGCAAGGATTATTATTATTATTATTATTTCTTCACTTCAGCTCATTTTATGGACCCAGACACGATCTATTTAGACATTACCTATTTTCAGTTGCAACTGAAGATGAAAGTTGTGTGTAGACATTCAGCTTATTCTCGCTACTTCAAACAGTCTTTTGGGTGTTCACGTCCTCTATATTATTTTTATTATTATCATTTTGAGATCTGAAATTCCTCATGATCTTTTTGTCTGTTGATTGTGCCTGTAAAATTTTGAAAGATTCTTAAATTCAGATTGAACTTTGCCCTCCGCAGTTCTTAATAAGAACTTTTATCCCAAACTAAACTGAATTTACGAATTTTCCAAAATTGCACACAATCTATAACAAATATAACATTTGTTATGACATTTTATAACAAAGTGCATGAGAAATTTCAGTGAACCTAATAGCTGATTGCCTGAGAAATTTAACGTACAATTTTAAAATGAAGGCTGCGTTATATGTAATCTTGTGTGAACATTTGAGAGGTTGTAGAAAAGTTCAGAGTTATGATAATATTATTGCCCAAGCTGCCAAAAAGCTACAAAATGACAAAAACTGCAGTTTTACCACAAATATCTTGATCTGTTTAGTTTGCGGAAAGGATGCAGTGGAGGGAACATTGATGACTCAGAATGTGGAGGAGGTTCTTCGTCGAGCAGCAATAACCACACTGGTAATACCACACGAAGCATCAGCTCTAAGCAAACCAGGATGTGGACACCACATCCCCTAGCTCCACTGACTAGTCACCGTGCTACAGGTAGGTCCCAAAACTCATTCTCTGCATGCTCTATTCCAGTTTGCCAAAGAGAAGAATTATGCCTAGTTGATGTCAGCAGCTCTGCCACAAGATGACAGGAGCTCATCTATTATCCACATTATATTTAAAAGGCACACACATGCTAAGGGACAGAAAATCATTATTGTACCAAAACTGCCCCAGCCCAAACCCAAAATTCCATCTCGTCTCAAACTATAAGACCATTTTGTCTTAAAATTTTAATTTGCGCATAATTCTGTAAAAGAAAATTAATTAGATCATACATTGGAAACATTTCTGCAGTCCCTAAAACAAACTTCCAAATTAAGAGTGAATTTTACAATTGTAGGCAATCTTAAATTTTAAGTGTTATAATAGACACATAGGCAAAGACCTAGATTAAATTCCAGGTCTCTTGATGCCTTGCTGCAGCATTAATCTTCTCTAACTTGAAAGTTAGACAGGGAGAAATATAACTTGACATTGGTTTTGGAAAATAGTTCAGGGACATGGTGGTTGAAAACTCGGCTACTGATAGTGGAATGGGAACAATAACTTGGGATTCAGTACCTGTAAGAAAATAATTACGCAGAACATTACAGCATGGAAACAAGCCATTTAGCCCAACTGGTCCATGCTAGTGTTTATACTTCAGACAAGCCTGCATCCCTCCTAAGCCCCTCTCCCATACCCCTCTATTCCCTTCTCCCTCATGTATGCATCAAGTTTCCAAGAAAAGGATTTAACAACAAGGTTACAACAAGATTACATTTGTATAGCGCCCTTCACGTCGGGAGGATTTCCTAAGGCGTTGGACAGTGTACAGCATTTCAGACCCAAGTGGGGTCAGGGGGGAGAAGGGAGGGGAGGGGAAAGGGGGTGACCAATGGCATGGTCGAAGAGAAGGGTTTTGAGGCGGGACTTGAAGAAGGCTAAGGAAGGGGCGAGGCGGAGTGACTCGGGGATGGAGTTCCAGAGGTTGGGGGCAGAGTGACTGAAGGCTCTCCCGCCTATGGTGGGGCAGGTGGGTCGGGGGACGTGGAGCAGGCCAGAGCCGGCTGAGCGGAGGGAGCGGGCGGGTTGGTAGGGGATAGGAGGTCACAGAGATTGGGTGGGGCGAGACCATTGAGGGCTTTGTAGGTGAGGACCAGGATTTTGAACTGGATCCTCTGAAGGATAGGGAGCCAGTGGAGTCGGGCGAGAATGGAGAATGGAATGGAGAATGAGAATGAAGTTAATTAAATGCACAACAAGGGGAGGAATTGCCAATGTGAGCTCAAAATGTGTTTCTACTAATGTAAGGTGCACCAGGAACACAGAGAATAAAATATTGGCTGTGTGACTTGTAGATTCGGTGGCATAATGACTTAACTTCAGAAATTGCATTGATACTAAACTTGACTGGATCCATTCCTTAATAATTAGCTTTCTTGATGTTTCAATCTACTGGCAGGAAGAGTTTATCTCAGTATTTGACCCTCATTGCATATATGGCACGGTATTAATACTGCCTAAAGTTAGTGTCAAGACTCCCATTTCCAATTGGCACCAATTTAGCATAAAAAGTACTATCTCTAGTAGAACAGGGCTCGCTCATCCTCTTTGGGAATCTTCTCCCGCAGTTTATTGTCTGACCAGCAGTGTCACTGTAGAGCGGGTTGGATTGTATGCGGGTTGAAATTAGGGAGAAAAGTTAGGTAAAAAATAGAGAATTAAAGAGGAGCAAAACAAGAAAAAACAGATTTTTTTAAATTTGTGTTTCTGTCGGTCGCTGGTAAACATGTAAATAAATTTGAAGTGGCCGTAAGCTGTTTTGTAATATACCTAAAATAGTGAGCAGCCCAACATAACATAACACCTACCTTTAGGCCACTCCAAACTCAAAGGAGCTTTACAGCTTCTGACAGAATGACAATTTTTTTAACCTCTTTCTTTGTTTCCTTTTTAATACTCTTCCGCCAGTCAATATCAATCATCCAGCATCAATGCAGCCTGTCTGACGAGAAGCTAGTTGCACTGGAGGGGGTTGGGAGGTGGGGGAGGGAGTGGGTTGTGATGAGATATCCACCACAACAGGCTGGAAATTCAACTTGTAATGTAACATTTGAGATTCCAGGCTTCAATTGCAAGCACAATGCCGAGGTTCCTGCCTCTTTTTGTGCTTTTCATCTGGCATTTAAGGGAGCATTTAGGGCTTTAGTCTTGAGGGTGCAGTGGTTCTGAATATTTAAATATGAAGTTTAACTTTAAAAGCCAGGTCTAATGGACTTCACTAGTCTTTAATAAGATGATGTCTGAATCTTACAGTGTATCACCAGGGATTGGCAATGCCCATTTCTAGCTAGTCTGCCTCAAGCTCTGGGACACACCCTGCACTTCACCGCCTTGAATTGGGCACAGACCCACACACTTCTGCCACGTGCTCTGATGCATCCTCAGCCTCCAGGACATGGATCTAACCCACTGAACAACATATAGATTTTAATTAAAGGAAACAAAGCTCCTTCTTTCACAGTCCGATGCTCAGCTGCCAACAGTCACCATGGAAACTTCTGTCATGACAGAAACGTGTCCATCGCATATCTGCACATTATACTCAGACCACGTGGTCCTAATTGTGCAGGATTCAGGACTTTTGAAGAAATTTGAATGAAATGAATTGAGATAAAATGTATCTTCTCTCATGAGGTTAATTAAAAAGGATCTGAATATAGCCGATCACAAAGCAGTGCTGACATCAGAGGCTGTGGACACAGTTTGTGGTCCATAGATCAGCTGGTCTCCCATTTGAAGTAAATAGTGGAGAATACATATTCAAGGGAGCATTTAAACAATGACAGAAAATGGTATCTGGGAAAAAAAAATTGCCAGAAAGAAAGAACTATTTTAGCAACAGAATGCTTGTGGACAAGCCGTGTAGATCCCGACAGTCTTCTGGGAGCTGCCGTCTGTGCATATTAGTCTCCTTCCGTGTGGCAGATGCTGAACTGGGAGGTTACAGTATTGCATATTTTATGAGAATTTGAGAAGGGTTATTGACTGCTACACATGGCTCTGCTGCTGATTGACTGAGACAGATAAAGCAGCTACACTTCATAATACGAAATACAAAACCTTCCGGACATGATTGTTTCATGTTCCACTTTTGACATAAGCTGTCATTTTGGAAAGGGAACGAGAAAGCTGTTAATATTTGCATGAAACTTGCTTGCTTTTTCTCCCTGTTGGGACGAGAAACCTTTGATGTCAACTTGAAAGCATGACATTATAGATGTAAAGACCTGCCTCTTGCAAATGTAATAAATTGATTTTGCAAAATAATTAGCATCCTGGATGCCATTAAATGTCACTTTAAATGCCCGTGTATTGGTAATGTAGCACATAAACCTGTGCTTCGAATTTGTAAGCAATATTTAACCTTTTAAATCTAGGCACACATTTGGTTTTCAATGTAAAAGTCACAGATTGTGTTGTAAAATCAGATCACTGAGTGGATTGAACTTTTGGGTTTTTTGATAGTGTATGAAATAAAGAACTCGGTCATGAAAGAAAACACCCTTTGCAGCCTCTTCTGAAATTATGTTCATTTAGGCCTTGTACTCATTTGCACTTGCATTACATCAAATGCAAGGATTATTCTCATTATTAGAGAGAAATTCAAAACCGGGATAGAAGGTAATCTCATTAATTTCACTAAGCATTGAGGAGCTTGACTCACTGCCACACACTAATCAGATAAGTAGCGATACCAAGTAAAATATATTTCTGAATGAGTCTTCAACAGTATAGACGTGTGTAGTGTTGAAAAGGGGCTGTCTTTCTCGATGATTTACTTGAAGTACAGTATAACTTGTTCCAGAAATATTTTTTAAAATGTTCTTCTTGAAAGTGGTATTTTCAGATGGCCTATTCGTGTATGAATATCATTGCTATTTTATATATTCACACTTTCATCAAATGTGAAATGCGACTTTTTCTTATCAGTCCTGGGTATCTTTTTTAACACAAGCACATCAATGGGGCCTGATTTTGAGATTTCTAAATTGATTTAGAAACAGCAAATCCATCAGGTTCCCGAACCTGTCTTGGGTCAGTCTTCCAGAACTCCATTCAGACACTCCTCTTCTGCCAGGCTGTTTTCTTGGCTATAATCCAGCTTTGTGAATGTGGAAACCGAAATTATTATCAGTCCCAAAGGGTTGGCCTGAGACATGTCTGACTATTTCCAAAATTCACTATTTACGACTATAAAATATGCAGTCACTACACTTTACAGTAGATCCTGTGAAGCGCTTTGACGATGTGATTAGGCAGTTTAATCAAATATAAGATTACTATGTACAAATCTTTTTGTGAATGCTGTATTTACAATTTACGTCTGGGAACGTTTACATCCATCTTGTCTTTGGCATGTAAATCAATAGATAGTATTTTCAAAATTGAGATTTAGAAATATCCTTATTAAAAATATTTTTTTTAAAAACTATTCCACTGAGCACTCAACTGCAACTGGTAAGCTTCATCTCCCCTTGGGAGGTTTACTGTGATTGTCACCATACACATGTAAAGGTTTCCTACTGTGCTGTGTAATTGGACTCACAGTGCTGCCTAAAAGCTCAAAGATGAACCGATCAATGAATTTCAGTGCGTTAAAGGGCCATCATCATCTTGGCTGCAATAACGCTGTCAACTGTTTTTGACGAAGCTTTCTAAATGCAATGTAATTGTCATCGCGCTGATGAAATTTGTATCATAAAACACTATTGTGAAAATTAGTCATGCTTCAAGCTTCTTTCCAAAACTGTGACAATCTTACTCTAATGTTTGAAGCTTGTCAAGAGTAAAATGTCAGAGGCTACCTTCCCAATGTATCATGTGCACTGACCAGTATGATCTATAATTTTCCAAGGACTAAATTGGGTTGATCTGATTATTTATGCATGCTTGCTGGTGGCTATTTCAGAGAGCATTTTAATAATAATAATATTGAATGTTAACGGTTTGTGTAGTGGGTATTCATTTACAGTGTAAAGACTGTGGAAATGATGAGCGCTATGGGCAGCCCAAATCCACCAGTCACCTGTCACTGAAAGCAGGGATACTTCCTACTCAGCTACTGGTAACTCTAGAGGCCAAACCCCTAACAGGTAGGGTGGTCCCTTGTGGACAAGCACGAGGGAAGCTTGCCAGACAGTGCTTTCAATGGCAAACTGTGGTTTTAGCTGTACTCCAACACATACTCTGGGATCTCCAAGCTTTGGCTCTTTTCAACCTGTGCCTAATGCTCTCCAGAATTGGGTTAGCAGGATGTGTCTATCCAGGGAGAGAGTTTGCACTCCATTCCAAACACAGCAAAATTTACATGTGTTGGTGGCATACACTTGTGGAAATTTGAGTCTGCTTTGAATACTTTTAAGCATGTGTCAGGCATCTGGCTGACCAAAACAAAACCCTGCAGAAACAAAAATATAAGAAATAACAAAATCAAAACGTGGGATGGGCAAGAGACAGAAGTAAAAGAAAATTGCATCCATTGCCTGCATGGATAATTATTCATAATTACAAAGATACAGGTGCTCTCGAAATGATAATTTGGAACTGCACACAGCAGGCGATATTGCATTCTACCTTCTGGTCTTGATTTATTCTTAATTTTAAAAACATTTGTGCAGAATCTGAAGACGCTCCTATAATTTAAAACAAAAATGCATGTCACCTGACTAGATTTCTCAACAGCGTTTACAATGAAAATTATATTTAGTTTCATAAAAAAATTCTCTCCGTCAAACTTAAGGGAGTTGATAACCTGCACTACAGTATTTTTTTTAAACTCGTCTGCTTAAACTTTAAACTTGCTGAATCATTGGAAATGTTGTGGAATGATAATGGTAATAATAATAAGAATCCTCACATTTTGTACAAAGCCTTTCATGTCAGGAGGATGTCCCAAAGCACTTTACAGGATGAATGGTAAAGTGCAGTGACTGTTTTGTGGGCAAACGTAGCAGCCAATTTGTCCACGGCAATTCCTTACAAACAGCCATGAACTGAACAACCAATTTTATTTTGATCTATTGAATTGAAATCACGCTAGTGGATCATTCACGTACTCCAGCTCAGAATTGGGAGTTGCTGCATTATTGGGGGTGCCGTACTTCAGACGAGACGTTAAACTGAGATCCCGTCTCACTGTTCAGGTGGCGTTAAAAAAAACTCATGACATTATTCAAAAATGAAAGGGATTTTCTTCTGCTATATTGGCCGGCAGAAATTTTTTTTTTATTAGGTCCTTCAATCCATAGCTGTTTGTGCATCATTGCTCTATGCAAATTGGCTGCCAAATGTGTCTAGAAATACACAGTCACTCTATTTTACAGAAAAACCCAGAACTTTGAGACATTTTGATGTGATAAGACACTATATCAAATGCAAGGATTATCATTTGTGCTGAGTTTTTCTGATTTGCATGGATTGCATCCAGCCAAAGCGGGAAACTTGAATATCTATTGTATAGAAACTGGGTTGTGTGATCTGTTCTAGTCAGTGTGAATTGTTAGTTTAATCTGTCAGTGGTGCTAGGATGTTTAATTGCGAGTAAGAGCACTTATGATGTCTGTATTGTCTTTGCATTGCAGTACAAAGAGAACAAAGGAGTCGCTCTGTGCAGCCACGTTCATCCAGATCAGTGACCCAGCGACCACCTGCTGAAAGTCAGTCAGGGTCTGTACTTGAAACGCAGCACCCACTGTCACGGGCTTCCACATCTGTCCACGGCATAGTTCAAAGGTTATCCAACAGCCAGCTGTCCTTCAATAACTCAATAGCTTCTATTTTATCCCAAGTACCTCGACTGTCCTCAGCAAGCCAGCCTAGTAGCCAAGGTCAATCTGCTACACAGAATAGATGCAGCATTGCCTCTTCCACTAGCTCCACACTAAGCCTTTTGTTTGGGAAGAGAAGTTTATCCAGTGGGCTCGTGATATCCGGACTTTCAGCAGCAGATGGAGGAAGCACCACTGACACCCAGTCAACCAGCAGTGTCAACGTTGCCCTTGGACCATCAATCAGAAGTGGAAGTCAGGCAACACGGGTAACACTACCATTCTTCATCTTCATTTTAGGGTGACCCAGTAACCTTAAGTGGTTGAGTGCTTGACTTCCAAGCAGAAGGGGTCTGAGTTTGAATCCCAGGCCTGCCCATCACTTCAACCGACTTGCTTAGGTTCAGTGAGTTTTGCTGGTTCCCAGGCAGACGGCTAGATGGAGTTCAAACAGCATTGAGATATTCCATATGGGAACGGGTGGGTTAACAGGAACGAAAACCTGACAGTGTCTGCCGCTGCTCATGTGAACAGCAGCTCCTGCTACACAGCATCCATTAGCAATACTGGAGGGGGAACAGCATCCCATCCTCCTAGTTGGAGAAGAAAGCAAACAGCACCTAACAAAAGAAAGATAAAGGAATACCAAAAGCATAACAACAAAAATATAAGAATGAAAGAAATTATGGAGGCCCTCTCTAATGGAATACCATCCAAATATAAAACACAGTGGTATGATGCACAAGTTTATCTTTAGAAGGATATGCAGCAGCAACAGTCGATAAAGTGGAAAATAATGCAGTGAAGAATTAGGTTAACTTCCAAAGCATTAGTAGGGGGTTACATTTCTTCAAAAGGTTCTCTTTAATCTGAATTTAATCCTAATCTAGTTGAGAATGGAAGTGTATTTATATACAAACAACATCCCCTCTGTCGATGATCAGGGCTCCCTGTGTCTCCTAATCTGTCTCGCATAAGTTGCAAATTGTTATAGTTATTTTAAACTTTATTCTAACCCTGCCCAAGTCTGCTGCAGTTAAAAACAAATTAGTTAACAGAATATGTACCAGCATAAGTAGAGCTATATTGAGCAATGGGTTGTCAGTGCACATATTGGCACAATGGCTTCTGTGAACTATTTCCAATCACGATTGGGATGCCAACGGACAAGTTGAGGAACTTCCCTATAAACAGGGACAGTACTTTAGGTGATGGGTTACCTTCCTAGTAGCTAATTGCAGAGCACAATTGATCAGGTTGCTGACCCAGACTCTCCCTCACAAGATCACGAAATGAACAGGCCCATTTGGTCCAGATTAGGTGTGTTGTGTGAGACCCGCCTATCAGTTTTGCCTCGCTGTCTGCCAGAGCTCTCCCCTGTGCACCTTCCCCAACAGCACAGTCAAAACGCAGAGTTCACCACATGGGCATTACAGGTTCATGACCAATGCATAGATCCACCACTCAAAAATTACCTTGATTAAAAATGAGAAATCATTACTAACATTACATAAATAAGGCATCCAATTTCAAGGGATTGTAAATATTTTATATGAAACTGAAAAGAATTCTTAGAGTTTAAATATCAGTCTGCACACTTTCAGCAACTAAACATACCCTAAAAAAGATAAACATTGCAGTTGTGATGTTGCTTTGCTAAACCATGAATGGTGCCCTTTTCATGGCTATTTATTATTCACAATTAACAAAAAAGCTACCCTTCACGACCGCGTGCAACTCACTGCTCCCACCATGGAGTGCTCCTTTTCTGACATGCTGGGCAGGGAGTTGCAGAACAGATTTAATTCTATATACATTGGTGTCCTGTAGCTCAGTGGCTAGAGCACTTGCTTCACAAGCGAGAGACCTGGGTTCTATTCCCGGCAGGGCAAAATGTTGGGTAAGTTTCCTTACTCCACACGCCCCTGTTTATCTAGCGGTAAGTAGGAACCTGGTTGTTAGTCAACTGGCGGATCGCTTTTCGGGGATAATAATCCCTAAAAAAATATACAGTCAATTCACTTTACAATATATTCTGTGAAGCGCTTTGAGATAACTAAGGTGACGTGAAAAGTACTATATCAAAAGCAAGGATTATTATCATTATTAATTCCCGTTATCTGGGACTGTGTCTGCATGTTGTGCAAAGCTACTGAAATGCAGTATGGTGACTTTTAAAAGACATTTTAACAACATAAGGTAACATTTTTAAATCCTGGAAAATAAAAGACTTTATTTCTGAAACTCTGAAACCTTGAAAACTTGAAAACTGAAACTCTGAAAACTTGAGGGTTCAAGAACTATGGTGTTTCTAAAGACATCCTGTTCCTTAGTTATTTACAGGGATAATTAAGGAACAGTACAGAAACTGGTTAGAAAACATGTCCTTAAAATTGTTCCGTCGGTGAATGGAGAATAAAGATGGCAGTTGCAAAGACAGAGGGAGATATTGCTCTCCCAGACTCAGAAATCTGTTGAGTCCCAAATCTATTATTCAATAAAAGGATTCCTTAATTAACCTGCAATAATTGAGGAATGCAATGGGTTTAGTAAAGGGAGGTTAAAACAGAATATGGTGTTCAGATACAGTCATTGCAAGATTTGTTTAATGCATGGATATGAAAGATTTTAGCTACACAAATGTTTAAATTAATATTTAAGATTTCTGGTGACTTTTATTCGGTCAGACGGGTGTCTGACACATGCGGAAATCCATCACCATGCTTGAATATCCAAACCAAACTGAGAATTCCATGCATTCCACCTACACATGGAAATTCAAGAGAAAGATTGTTGGAATGAAATACCTGCCTGACGGGCTTTCCTGTGCTTTTCCAACTAGGACCACCCTACCCGTTAGAGCGTTAGCTATTGGGTTAATGGGGGCTGAATGGGAAAACTGACTGATCTGCTCTTCCAAGACCTGCCAATGAGGCAAACTGACTGTGCTATTATCAGCGTAAATTTTAAATGCTATCAAAGCAGGAAATGTCAGCGCAGGAAACAAACTCTTTCTTGACTAGATAAAGCTCTTTCCACTCTGCCCAACAATATCTCTTCACTCCAGCCTCAGAGGAGCATTGCTCCACTTCACCTATGACATTTCTAAGCTCCACGCCTGCCAGGCTTGTGACCCAGGAAGTTTAATGCCAAGCATTAATTTAATCTTCTGTTGTACATGGTATGTCCACAGCCATTATTTTGATGTGTGTGCAAGATGAACGATATCCCAGCAGGTACAGACCCATTCTCCAGGTATAATCTTTTTTATATATATTGTTTCCTCACATTTTCCATTGGGATCACAGCTGGGCTTCTGTTGAGACATAGCTCCTGTTGAGATGTCCATAGGAGCAAATTTCTTCCAACAAGTCTTGGATCTGCAGAGCTGATGACCACAATTTAAGCAGTTTTGTAATGGATTCCTCTGGAGTTTTCCTTTCTGCAATTCCTACGATTGATGGGGAGTACCGCAGACTCGAGGATAAATCTATTCCAGGTAGTTTCTAGATTGAAGTTGCCTTAAGTTCTGAATGCACCCTGGGACTGAAACTCATTCATAGATTGTGCTGGTGTAAATAGCCTAGCCTCAAATGTGCTTGAGTGGAGGCTGTTTCTCATTCAGTTTAATCATTCATAAAACTCAAATAGCTTGTGCATCAGATTAAATCTCCTTGTTGCTAGAGATTAAGAAGAGCATTACTGCTGGGAGGCAAAGTGGTTTGAAAGACTCTGAAAGGTGCAGCGAGATTCAGCAACAATAGGAGACAGTGCTCGAATTGGAGCAATTCACTCACAGGCAAAAACAGAATTAGCTGATAAAGCAAATCAGCAGCCCAAGGAGCAAGAGCAACAAAAAAGAAAAATCTTTAAAATGAATAAGAGATCAGTCTAAAAAAGAACAGAAACAAGAGCCAGAGTCAATACTATGAGGAAACAACTGGAGGAATAAGGCAGCTAGTTCTTTGTGGTTGGATGACTGATGCCTTGGACATCAGGTGATCATTAGTCAGTGACCTTTAACTCAGCAGAAATTAATCGGTTCATTTCCGACCATCACGAAAATTCACAGTGTATGAAGGATTTTAGCTCACCAGAATTGCTGCAATCGGGGGGAAAATTATGCTCATGCATTCTATCCAAATGTGCATTGAACTGGACTGAAACCCTACCAGCTTTCCAGCACAGTGTTGTGCAGGAACACATCCAGTTCATTGACTGTTCTGTATCACTTTCACGGGCAGATATGAGCGCAATTTATCTTCCATTTCAGCAACTTCTCTTTTGTGTCATTATTTTAAAAATTGAACAATGTTTCAACTGAGGTTTATATTCGTACAATTACTTAAATTCAAGTATAAACCTCTACCACTAACAAAAACAATGAATACACATAAAATAGATCAGAATAAAGCTTGTTGATTTGAAGCCTGGCTTTAATAAAGTGACTGTAGTTCATTTGCTTAAAGAATTTTTGTGAACACTTTGGTTAACTCAACCCATTAACAAATGAAGTACTACTCCCTTTTTCACATGTGAAAACCCATGCTATCAGTTTCTAGCTAAAACGTATGAAGTGGATGGGGAATGTACACTCTTAGTATTACTTTTGTCTACTTTTCTAAATTCAATTTAACCATGGGTGAAAATACAGATGCACATTACCACAGTTTCACCTGGGCGATTGTTGACCAATACACTGGGAGAAACTCCCTTCTCTTTTCAAAATGCTGCATTACCCATATCAACCTGTCCGCTTCCTCCGCTCAGCAGGATCCGGCCTGCTCCACGTCCTCCGCCCGGCCCGCCCCACCATCGGCGGTCGGGCCTTCAGCCTCTCTGCCCCCACCCTTCGGAACTCCATCCCACATTCCCTTCACCTTGCTCCTTCCCTTGCCTCCTTCAAGGCACGTCTCAAGACTTCTTCTTCGACTGGGCCTCTGGCCACCCTCCCTACCGTGCCCTCCACCCTCGCTCATCCCACCCCTGCCCTCTTCCCCCGCTCGGGTCCACATCCCTGACTGTCCAGCTCCTTAGGACATCCTCTTGACGTGAAAGGCGCTATACAAATGTAATTTTGTATTGTATTCACCTTAATATCCAAATTTAAATTTTCAACAGCCCAAAGTAAGGCTTAATGTCATTCATATATTTATCTCCAATTACTATTTGCTGATAATATTTTAGAAGAGTTTGGGTGTTATCTGTAGGTAGTACACTGTACAGTGCTATGCGGATGCCAGACTATATGGGCATGTGACTTGCATTGAAATTTAAAAAATCACTGCACTTGGCATTACACTGTGCCAGCCTGGCTCAGTTGGTAGTGCTTTCACCTCTTGAGTCAGCGCTGGTAGCTTCAAGCCTCACAACCTATAGTATAGGCTGACACTCTCATGCAGTGATAGGGTCTGCTGTGTTGTTGGAGGTGCCGGCTTTTGGTCGAGAAATTAAGCTGAGATCCTGTCGCCTAATCGGGTGGCATGGCGCACTTTGAAAAGAGAAGGGAGTTTCTCCCAGTGTTTTGGTCAACAATTGCCCAAATAGAATTGGATATTCACTTCATGGCTCTTTGTGGGACATTCCTGTGCATAAATTGGCTGTCGTGTTTGCCGAGAAAATAGTCACTTGACATTGTATCTTGTGAAGCACTTTGAAACGTTGTCCTGATGTGAAAGGTCTATTATCAAATGTCAGGATTATTATTATTATATTATTCTACACCAGTAATTATTTTTGAATCACTTTGATATGTTTTGACATTTAAGGGTGCTATAAAATTGAAAGTTGTTTCTTTGTTACTTATTGGAAAAGAGGTCGGATAGTTAATAGTCCTGTAGCTTACTGGTTAGAGCACTCGCAAGCAAGAGGACCTACGTCCAATTCCCTGTCAGGGTAAAACAAAATGTTTCCTTATTCCACACACCTCTGTTTACCTAGCAGTAAGTAGGAACCCAGTTGTTTGTCAATTGGTGGATTGCTTTTCTGGGGGTGATAATCCCTTAAAAAAAATAATTTGGTCACTCAATCCACGACTGTTTGTGGGACACTGTTGTGCGCAATTGGTTGCCATGCTTCGCCCATAAAATATACAGTCAATTCACTTTACAATATATTCTGTGAAGCGCTTTGAGACATCTCGAAGACTTAATAAAGCGCTATATCAAATGCAAGGTTTATTATTATGAATAGCTGAGCTAAGGCTTTGCAGATGGATTTAATGTAGAAAATTACAAAGTAATGTATATTAAGAGCATGTGCACACAATTAAGAGGTATTCAGTAGCAGAGATAGAGAAAAAAAACAATTTGAATGTGACTATTGATCATTTATTGATCATGTATTAATACTTCCAGTCAGTGTAATACTGATATCAAATACTAGGTTACATCTTTCAAAAAAATGTTCAAATCTTGTATAAATCAATTGAATGCTGTGTGCAATTTTTGGAGATGAAGGGGGAAAATTACAGCAATTTGTACTGCTTTCGGCATTCCATTCTTTAATTAAGGCTAGAGATAAATAGATGCTTTTTCAACAGGATAGAAATTGTGGTTAAGACATGCCTGTCTTAAAACCAGTCATAAATGACAAGTTTGGGATTGGGCAATCTTCCTCTCTGATTTCTGGAGAATGGTTTCTCCTGCAAGCTTTTCAGCGACCATGTTTCGTAAAGCTAGTGAAATGCTTAAAGAATCAATTTTTGGAGGTTTGAGTGTAATTTTAACTTTAAAAGTTTTGTTTAAAACGTGTAAGTGGTGAGAAGCACGAAATCAGCACCGAAATGTTAAGAGGCTTGAGACCTACTGAAAAATAATGCATTGTTGATCACCATGAATTCCTACAGACTACAGTATAGAGAATAGTGAGAGCACTGGGAGTAATTACAAACCAGGCATCATATTGAGAGAATCAAATCATGTCACAAATCTCTAGGGTACAACTCAAGTGGCTCAGACACATCAGTCAAACCCTGAAAGAAAATTGCAGCCTTTACAATGATCCCATGTATCTGCTGCTTTCATGATGCGTTATTGTGGAGCAAGTATCTGTATTTTCGGGGGGGCTGGGGGCATTTTGTAGCCAGCGGGTATGGTGTATACCACTGAGGAACTTTGTGTAATTCATGTGAAATTACATCCATAATGAAGAATTAATGACTGTGATGAAATCACCGCAAGTTTATTAAGTGATATGTCATGATTAATTACCAGGAAATAACAGTTGACATTTAATGTTAATTGTATTGCATTTCACAAATGATAAAATACTACAATTTAGAATGTATTTTGATGTACAATTGTTCTAGCCGTCAGGTTTGACCCACAGATGTCCTTCCTTCCCCACATCTGGTCCCTGATCAGGACAATCCTTCCTCCACCTCCGCCACATTGCCCGCCTCCGACCATACCTTACTCTAGACGCAGCCGAAATGCTCGTCGATGCACTTGTCACCTCCCGACTTGACTATTCAAATGCCCTTCTCCCCGGTCCCCCCAGCTCCACCATGCACAAAATCCAGCTGATTGAAAACTCCGCCGCCCGCATACTTGCCCATACTGAACGCCGTACCCCATCACACCAGTTCTAGCCAGGATCCACCCGATCGCCGAATGGATTGATTTCAAGATCCGCGCACTTGTTTTCAAATCCCTTCATGCCTTGGCACATCCCTATCTCTCCGACCTCTTTACTCCCCAACCCACTACCCGCTGCCTCCACTCAACTGGCTCTAGCCTCCTGTATGTCCTCGTGCCCTCTGTTCCACCATCATTTTTCAGCCACTATACGTAGAAACTCCTGAACATTATTTCTCTATCCCTCCAGCTTGCCCCTTCCTTTCCCATCTTCAGGTCACGCCTGAAGATCTTCCTCTTTGACTGTGCCTACGGACTCCCCCCATCCCCCCCCCCCCCCCCCAACCACTGCTCGGCGTTGTGTTCCACCACTGTTAAGCGCTCTGGGACGCTACCCTGTGTGAGGTGCGCTATATAAATGCACGTTGCTCTCCTTGTACACCATATACTGATGGTTGCAGGTATATAAGTTTTATATCAGTATCACAGAACATTATGACCATTCTGAAAAATAACTAATTGTACCGTTAAGCTTCCTATATTCTATAACTTGCCAGGATCTAATAGTGAATGACTTTTGCTTCCAAATTGATTTCAACCTGCCTCTGTAACCGGTTAAGTAGAGACAGTTGAATTAGAGATTGTGACAGTCGAAAATCAGACTTGAACTGGAAAACGTATGATAAATTGCCAACAACAGTGAGGTACAATCACTGTTGTGGGAATTCTTGGTTGATGAAGACTTGTGGATTGTATAGAAAATACAGCACTCAAAAATTTGTTTAGTAATATTCTCTCTGGATTTTTTTTGAAGGATGCTTCTGATACTTGCCTGAGCCCTGATGCTACCGTCTCCAGCCAGATGAGAGATGCTGCTCAAACAGACGATGCTTCACACTCTCAGGATGGAGACCCACTCTGTGACTGTACCAAACAAGATGGGCCAGAGAACAGGGTTTCTCATCTGATGGTGGAGAAGAATCGGCAGTGATTACTCAAGTTTTAAGTTGAGTTACAGGTCAGCGAATCAGTAATGAGAAGGCATGCATTTTCAATAATACAAAAATAATAAAGGGGAGCTTAGAAAATACTTATACTGAGGGTGGTTGGAACGTTGAATTCTCTGCAACAACTTAGTTGAAGCAGAGTCTATAGAATATTTTGAAAGGGAATTAGATAGATGCTAGAAAAAAGAACTATTAAAGGGTTTAGGGAGAGTAAAGATGGGTGGGATTACATTAGGTGACTCATGGAGAAAACACCAGCCAGATTTGATGGGTCAAAATAGCCAGTTTAGGTGTTGTAATACTCTTCGATTTAGCCCAAATCAAAGAATGAAAGAAAGCAGATTTTTTTCACATAATAATAATAACATGAAACATTAAACAGCAAGGGGCACTTGTGATAGGATTCCTTGTCATTTGGAAAAGAAACCTGGAGTATGATCTGGTCGAATTATTTTGTATCAGATCCTATAAATTGCTTTGTGTAATGGAGTGAAAATATATTTTCATTTTAAAATTCAATCACCATCCCATCAAAAAAAAATTCTCTGAGAATGCCTGGGAATAAGAACATAATTTGATGTGGTTTAAAAGACCACATATTCCTGTTTATTCAACCACAGATGAGTTAGATTTCAGTCTCATCAGACCAACACAAAATTCATTTCTGCATAACTGCCATAATGTTCCAAAATATTTATAAGGTTATAGCTGCATTGTGTACCATTTTAGTTAAGGATACATGATACAGTTACTCTTTAGCTTTCTGTGTGTAATATGTTACAGAGAGATAAACCCTTTTCCAAGGAGGGTATATTTCAGAAAGGGTAACTTTTGTTGAGCCATAACCTTAAGCAGGTTAGGAGAAAAAGGGGTGTGGAACAGCACAACTTATGTGTGTCCTGCATCTCAATGTGTTCACTGGTTTGAATGCAGTTTGACTGTGTTTGCCGGTGATAAAATTAACCTTTAAGAGGTGTAAATATTTCATCCACACTGGATGTATTGCAATGTTGTGCTGCTGCTGCTCTTTCATAGGGATGAAATTACAGTATATACAATCTACATGTTAGGCACATTTGCTATTGATTTGGTTTGGAGATTCTTGCATCGGTTTCAATGCTATCTTCATTTTCCTTGTATTGTTTAATAGCTGAGTTGTTGTGAATTGATAGTTGGAGTTCATAATTATTCTTCCCCAATATTTACTAAAATGAAAATATAGATACCACTCATTATTTTCTCCCATGCCAAGTACTTTTCCCTGAGAGGAGAAACAGGCAGAGATGTCAAATCCTTTGCCTAAGCCACACTTACATGAGTGAATGTCTCCGATGTCAATTCCTTTCTTCTCGCTAACTGGCATAAATTCTTAACCTGGATTTGTTCATACTTTTTTTAAAAAAAAGTGATATTAAACATTACAATCTTCCGTTATTACAAAAAGTACACTTAGATGTTTTCCTCTAGCATAAGCACTTTGACCTGCAGCTAGATCACTAATGTGACATTTATACTGCTTTCATGATGAATTGTTGCTGAAAGCACAATGAAAATTTGGGTTTAAAGGCATCGATTTGATTCCAAGCTCGGCTCACTTCAGGAAGTGATTCGACCCATCGCTGCAGCACATTGCAGCCAACTCCAAACAGATTTTAAACTTAAGCAAAAAAAAAATTATTTGTGTGATCCACTGAATGAATCATGCAGCAGTATAAATCCAGCAGAAATGTCTGTATACAGCAGGTGCTTTATTCTGGCCTTATTCTGTATACATCAGTGGTGCTAGTGATGTACCCCGTATGCTTTCGAATAATTCAAGATTATTATTCTTGTTTAGTGAGTTTAGTTAAGCATTTACACAAAGTGTATTTTTGGTTCTTAAAGACATGTTATTTTGTGCTTCTTCACTAAACAATTGATAGAAAGAAATCTTAAAATTGAAATAGAATAATGGATTTCATTTTACTTTCTACAAATACTTAATGGCATCCATTATGCCTCTGTAATACCAAATTTCTTTCCATTATGCTGCTGAGTGCACATAGAGATAACAGAATTAACCACAGAGTCCTACACAAAATATAACTGTGCATGAGATTGCCTGTTGAAATCTGCTTAATAACTTATAAACGTATAGCCATTTTAGTTTTATGATCACTGAAGGTTCGAAAATGTTATCGGATCAAGATACAGAAGAAAATGGAATGCAATTTATTCTTAAAACATTATTTCTAGCAAACATGTAGGTTTTATTTATTAAGTTTTATTTATTAAGTCAACACACGGAGAATGTATTCTTGAATCAGATGCACATATTTCTGGTTTCCTTAGTGTCCGTGTGCAATACCAGTAGCCTGCAAAGTGCCCATGTACTGGTAACTACAAATCCTTTTTTNCCTATTGATTTAAAATTCTGTATTCATTTATTGTGTTTCAGTTGCCTTGAATTTTATCAATGTTTTAAATTGCAACGCATGATGCAGTGTGCAGTTTTTAGTACTGTATGTAATTCAGAAAATTAAAAGTTGCAATTTTTATCTGGTTTCTTGAACTGTTTATTGATTCACTCTCGTCCCGTGTGAGTAATTTGAGTGGTGTATGTATGTGTTGGGAGGGTACGGGGGCTGAGTGGTAACGGATCCTGGAGAAAGCAACAATGCAAAGAGGCGTTTTATCACATGTACGGATTATTATTATCATATTCCGGGCGATGTTTAAATTGTTTCATTTTTGTACAGGCAGGCAAAGACCTTTTGTTGCGCTATATTGAATAAACAGTACTTTTATCTGATTATTGAATGTAACATATTTTGGAGCACTTGATATCTGACTGATGAATATGGTTAGGAGGTGAACTTACCCCAGGTTTGTAGAAATAGTTTTATATTTACTGGAACTACTCTAGCCCTTGATCTGAGTATTCAGGTCCCCAAATCTATCTTATCACGCAATGAGACAAAAAGCTAAGAAGTAAGTCTCTAAATGAGTTTGCATTTAAATTGTACAGAGAGTCACAAGAAATTACAGCTTAGAGGGAAGCAATCGGCTCATTGAGCTCATTGAACCTGAGCTGGTGCTGCCATACACTGCAGAAATTCCTAATTCCCTGATCTTTTCCCATATCCTCTTGTATTCTTTCTCTTCAAGTACCTATCCTTGTTAAATGTTATTCTGTTAGCTTCAATGACACTTGTGGCAAAGCATTCTTAGTTCTAATAATATTCCATGATTAACCCTTGGCTTGGTTCCATCCAGCATTCCCTCTTCGAATCAGCACAGAAATCATTTTACAGAGGATTTGTTCAAGTCATTCTGCAGCTATCCTGAATCTTCCAAGCAGATACTTATCCACTTCTGTTTTGAAGGATTTAAATGATACTGCATGAACTAATTTTATTGAGAACCTGTTCTACTAATAATAATCCTTGGTTTGATGAAGAGCTTATAACATCAAAGCATCGCAAAGTGCTTCACAGGGACTTGCTGTCGAATACAGTGATTATGTTTATAGCTAAATGGGGCAGCCTATTTTCACACAGCAATCTCCCACAGATAACCAGGAAATGAAAGACAAATGTATTGGGAGATTGTGAGCCAAGCCAGCAGGAGAAACTCCCATCTCTAGATTTACAGGCCAATGAAACTTTCAGAATTTAAAGTCTGATCCGAAGGACAGTACCTCTGAGATTGCATTCCTATCTTGACCTAGACTGTGAGCTCAAGTACTAATGTGGGGCTTGAACTTAGAATCTTTTGACTCATGCCTTTGCTGGCTCTTTATAAGAGCTATCCATTTAGTCCCACCTTTCCGCCCTCTCCCCATAAATGTTTATATCTGAAGTGCTTTGAGGCATCCTCCTAACGTGAAAGGCACTATATACCTGTAAATTGCTGCATATAAATTTTCTTTTTAAAATATTTATCCAATTTCCTTTTAAAAGCTATTATGGATTCTGCTTTAACTACCTTTTTGAATTCCCAGTGCGTTTGGAAAGGTAGATTATAAATCCTGTGTGTGGCAATGCACGACTCACTTATTGATCTTGAGCCTTATTCCGTTATGCAGAATTGAGCAATATACTCCAGGAGTATTACAAAAACCATATAGAAGGGGCAGTATGCTTTATTTCCCCCCAAATAACTTTTATTTCTTCATTCCTCCACAGTAGGAGAATCCAGCCACCCTCGGCTTCCTGCGGTCATGTTTGTGCTCTAAAACATGACTCATTTAGTGTTCGACAGCAGGTCCGATCACTAAAGCTTACATGATTCAATAAATATTGAATCTCCTATCAGCAGGCAGTCCGTTTAGACCATACCGTTCTCTGTACGTTGGATGTACTGTAACCTTACAGTGTCATTGAATCAAATGAGCCCAAATAACTGGTTCCTTTTCATGCTGAGCTATGGGTCAAATTCCTGTCAGAGTATATTAAAGTGTCTTTGAATAAGGGCTTTCTGTTACAATACAGCTTTCCTGGCAGGGCTATGGCTGAGCTTATTGGACAGATAATAGATGCCTTCATAGCTTAATGATTCTGATACTTGGAAAGTCTTCCATCAAAGAGAAAGCCAGCAGTAAGTTAAGAATGTCTAGAAGGATCATCTGTAGGAATGGATCATTATGACTGATCATTTCTCTCCCTTTGTAGCACACCTCATGGCGATTGTGATCCTGTCCGGAGGGAAGTGCAGTCTCTCTAAATGTATCTCTTGCTATCCAGTGGCCATGTCAGTGGCTGATCTGATGGTGGTTATTTTCCCCGGGATCCCCCACTAACACTTGCCTCTGGGGAACAATCACATAATATCCACATCAAACGCATTTTAGATCTGTAATTAAAATTACAGTTTGCATCAATTTAATGCAGTTTCTGCATCAAATTAAGGTAAACTGTGCTTTACAGATCCAGTGACAGACATTTCTCAGATGTAGTCTCCCATTTGTGCTAAGCAGTGTAACTTCAGACTGACTGGAGCCGATGCAAAACCAACTTTTAAACGGAATGGAATGTGCACTCTCTCCTTGGAGGGACTCGTCTTTACCTATTTTTCCAGAGAATAGTAGGCGCAGGTTGGCAAGATCCAAGGCTTGGGGACAACAACAAAAATTACATTTATAGAGCTCCTTTCACGTTGGGAGGATGTCCCAGAGCGCTGAACAGTCAGGTGTTGGGGCCCGAGCATGGGGGAGGGGTGGTATAGGGGTGAGGGAAGGCAGAGAGGTGGGAGGGCGACCAAAGCCACAGTCGAAGAGAAGGATCTTGAGACCTGTCTTGAAGGAGGCGAGGGAGGAAGCAAGGCCAAGGGACCGTGGGATGGAGTTCCAGAGTGTGGGGGTAGAGAGGCTGAAAGCCCGGCCACGAATGGTAGGGCAGGTCGTGCGGGAGACATGGAGCAGACCAGAGTCCGCTGAAACGGAGGGAGCGGGCAGGTTGGTAGGGAGTCAGCAGGTCAGAGAGGTAAGAGAGTCAAGGCCATGGATGGCCTTGAAAGTGAGGACGAGGTCTTAAACTTGATCCTCTGGGTGATGGGGAGCCTGGGGAGGGTGAGTGGGAGTCGGGCGAGGGTGGGAGTGATGGGGTCACGGAGCCTGGTGCGTGAGAGTACACGAGCTGCAGAGTTGTGAATGAGCTGCAGCTTGTGAAGGGAAGAGTTGGGAAGACCGATGAGGGGAGAGTTCCTGCAATCAAGGCTTGAGGTGACGAATGCGTGGGTGAGGGTTTGGGCAGCCTGAGGGGTGAGCCAGTGGCAGAGTTCTGGCAATGTTGCGGAGGTGGTGGTAGGCAGTGCCGGTCATGGCCCAGATGTGGGGGAGAAAGGACAGTTCAGGGTCAAACTTAGTGAGGTTGAGTGTGCAGCCGTGGAGGCTGATGCTGCCAGCGCCCTGAGGTGCAGAGGCGCTGGCGTGGGCCAATCAGGAGGGCCTCGGTCTTGCTGACCATGCTTTTGGTCATTATTTCCTCCCCCATTCAGCTCTCACCCTCCCACCCCGGCCCAGCCAGCTGCGTAAGAACATGAGACATCTTCCGGGCTTTAAAGGCACTATGTATATTGAATTGAGTCAGAAGGTTGTGTTTTCAAACACCATATTGTGACTTTGAACTCATATAGTCTAGGCTGACACTCCAATGCAGTGCTGGGGGAGGGAGCACTGCATTCTTTGAATGGGATATTTAAGCGCTCTGGGACTCTACGCATGAAGAGCGCTATATAAATGCAAATTGTTGTTGATGTTAAACTGAGGTCCTATGAATGCGCTAAGTGCTAATTGGAAAATCAGGTTGGTAAATACCATGACTGAATATCTTTTATTGCCTTGTTTCAACATGGCATAGACTGAGACATAAGAAGAGCTTTCCAGTCTATCCCCTTGTCTCATTGCATTGTTTTCACAGATTTTCCGATGGGCGCTCATAGAGCAACATAACCAGAAGACTGATTTTAAAATGGTTACTTCTCACATGTGGCTGCTCAGGGGACAAATAATTCCGTTGATTGGGATAGTAGCTGAAGATGATTATGTAAGGAATGCTTTGGTGGATGCAGAATGGGAAGACTAGGTGATTCTTGCTGAAGAAACAATTTAACAGATTGACCACTCTTTAACCTTCCTAAGGTCCAAAGTTCCACCTAGTCTTAGCCTGCAAGACTATTGTGTCTTAATCTTTCAGTATTATGGAACATTCTTAAACTGAGACCTGATGTGGAGCCAGGTCTTTTCAAGAACTGTAGAAAAACAGTTTTAACTTTGCCATGTTACAATATCTTACATTTATATATTGCCTTTAAGTAGGAACTCGGTTGTTAGTCGATTGGCGGATGGTTTTTTGGGGGCTTAATAATTCCTTAACAAAATAACAAACTGGTCACTTCAATTTACAACTATTTGTGGGACACTGCTGTGTGCAATTGGCTGCCGTGTTTTGTCCACAAAATATAGTCACTACACTTTACAGTATATTCTGTGAAGTGCTTTGAGATGTCTCGGAAGACGTGATAAGGCACTATATCAAATGTAAGGACTATTATTATATAGGTTAGGTCTGAGGCTTGGTGTCAAGCCACGCCGTTCTTAAGCGCCCCAAAACATTACCTGCGTGAAGGGCGCTGTATAATTGCTTGTTGTCCATAAATTGAAATGTTATGTTGAAATTAGCCTATGCTGTGCTTGGTTTGATCATTATATTACAGAGGATGTGTCCTGTCCCCAACCCCCCACCCCCATACTGTGGCTCGCATTACTGAGCATAACACTTTAAGATCACCACCATTAAAAATCAAATACCTGTAGTTTCAAAGTTATGCTCACTTTCAACATTGTGTTGATTTCTGCCCCACTTGTGTCAAGCTTGTTTTCAAATATTTTGGTTTAAACAGTGAATGCCATTTGGGAAATGGCAGGGAGGATTTACTGATCCAACTGTGTGAGAGCATCACCAGTGAACCAATTCTAAACCCAGGGGGCTTCATTAACGGTGCTATTCAAACTAAGTTAATTCAGCCTCTCACACTGCCAGCCTCAATAATCTCTCCAAGCTTCTACCCCTCACAAGGTCATTAGCACCCGGTGTTTAAACATTTTCTTTTCAAAAACAGAGAGACAAGTTTAATAAATAAGTTCGATGAAAACTGTTTGCAATATATGATTTTTGTAAAAGGTGATAACTATCTCTTTTGATTTTGGCATATGACCGCCAGTAAAGAAAGCATGAAGTAGACAAGGCATTAAATAGAGTGCAGTTTAAGAATAGCACAGTACGATAGCACAGGATAAAGCTAAATATAAACTCACAAGCGCAGTTTATAGCATTCTGTCACCTAATTTTCAATGAGCAGATATAGAGAAACGACTCTTTGGAGTATTGAAAGAGCCAAATCCATAGCATGTGGAAAAAACATCTTTATCTGAAATTCATGAGTTTAAGATAGCTGCATTACACAAAGTAATCGTTTTATGGTTAGTGTTTATCAACAAAGCGAGAACCAGACCAATACAAATCAGTGGCAAATTCTCAAGGAAAAGATAAGAAAAATTGTGAATGATGTTGATTTGAAATAAAACAGAAAATGCTGGCAGGCTACAGTAGGTCAAACAATATGTTGAGGAGAATAATAGATTAATCTTTCTGGTAAGACTTAACTCAAGGCATTTCATTTTCTATTAAATACAGTACAGATAATGCTGCACCGATTTGGAGCTTTAATAAGTATCCACAGTTTTAGAAGATATTCAAAAGACTTGCTTCCTTGGTGTTTGATTTTGAAGACTACTGTATCGCTACTTTATATCCCGTTCAAGGTGTATGTAGTTTTTTTAAAAGTTTTTTTCGCCGCTGCTCTTAAACCTTTTATTTTGGTCGTGAGCTTGTTGTATTTTTATGGTTGTCAGACTCACCTTCTTGAACACTGGGCCAGTCACTGTAACATGGTGATGGTCCCCCAAATGTGGTACAGTATTATGCCTTTGCACAGCTCAGGAGAATAATAATAATCCTTGCATTTGATGTAGCGCTTTTCACGTCGGGAGGACGTCCCAAATTGCTTCACAGCACACTGTAAAGTGAATTGACTGTATATTTGTGGGCGAACGCGGCAGCCAATTGCGCACAGCAATGTCCCACAAACAGTCGGAGATTGAAAATGACCAATTTATTATTGTTTTTTTTTTGGAGGGAGAAGACCTCAAAGGTATCAATTGGAAGAGAAAAGAGCCTTGTTGGGACTGAGTTGGCTTCGATAAACCTCCATCCCTCCTATCCCTTCTTCTCTACCACTCTATTCCCTTCTCCCCGTTGTATGCATCGATTTCCTCTTAAAATACATTGATGCTTTTTTTTCTGGTTTCAGCCTGCCTCAATTGGTAGCATTCTCGCCTCTAAGTGAGACGGTTGTGGGTTCAAGCACCTAGGTAGGGACAAAAGAGCTATTGGCTCCCCCATACTGCTTGTAAATCCCCTCTATGGTTTGAGAATACCGTTTAAAGTACATTGGGTATGGTAATCTTTTTAAATTGATATTAAAGAGTTTCTGTACATTGGCAAACATTTATTTCAAATTAAATCTCAATAATTAAATAATAATAATTTGGTCACTCAACCCACAACTGTTTGTGGGACACCGCTGCGTGCAATTGGCTGCTGCGTTTCACCCACAAAATATCCAGTCAATTCACTTTACAGTATATTTCTGTGAAGTGCTTCGAGATGTTTTGAAGACATGATAATGCGCTATGTCAAATGCAAGGATTATTATTTATTTTTATGCTCTTTGTTTGAATGACAGCTTTCAGGAGCGAATTCCATATTCTTACCACTCTCTACATAAAGAAATTTCTCCTAAATTCCCTTTTATAACTGCTGGTAGCTAGTTATCTCATATTTATGTGGAACTCATATTATGTAGTTTGGTTTGGAGACTCTTAAGCAGGGTGATGGGTATCAGACACCCAGCTTACCAAAAAATACACTTGGTTGTACATCCTTTCCAGCCCCCACCCCTCCAACCCCACCAGGCAAGAACGATATGGAGCAACCAGATATAAATCATGTTTCCCACTCTGAATCGCTCTACTGCTGGAAGCAATGTCATCACTCCAAAAGCATAAAAGGAACATGGATTTTAATTGACAGACAGATCCAAACATCAAGGCAGCACTGACAGAGCTTGCAGTACAGTTGTTACTGTGGTGGAGATGAACTTTTAACTTTTAGAAATTTATTTTCACTTTTTATTTGCGCAGACAACCCAGAGGGTTTTTTTGATTGATCATATCAGCCATTTCATGGAACTTATTGATGTGGGTAGCAATGAGAGCATTTGCAACAGCTGCAACTGTTTTAAAAGTGGATACAGAATTCAGGCAGCAAAACTTATGGGGGGTAATTTAATAATGTGGATTTTGTCCAATTACAAAAATAAGCTAAAAACTACTTTCTCTTATCAAAGCAGTTTTGCTTTTATTATCAACCCATGTGATAATACTTTTGGAGCTGTTTACAATTTCAGTTTGAGTTCAGTAAAAGGCTCTACCGTTGTTCCTAAACTGGGTTAAGGTTTCACAGCCCATCTTTTCGTTGTCCACTTGCTGCTTGGGTTCTGTCTGCTTTTATTGATTAAATGCCACAATATAGAAAGTGCAATTTTCTGTAAGATTTCAAACACCTTAACAGAATATGCACAAACTGGGGTATGAAATACAAATTACATTTGTACAAGAACACAGTGCTGTCAGCTTGGCTTGACTCCATTACTCCATTGAAATAATGCAATCCAGTATAGGGGGAGGGTGAAAGTAAATTGAAGTATGTTTATGTGTTACATAATACAGTACAGTTGTACTGAAGCAAAGAAAAATAATCCACAAATGTAAACCACAAAAAAATGCAAAGATAAAACCCAGAGTTGCAGTTTATAGAAGCATATCTTTCCTGTAATTATCAACAATGAAAGCCAAATGCCAGATCCTTCACGATGATCCAGTTAGTTTCCATTTACTTTCTGCACTCTTGCACTGCAGAGATAATTTCTTGTACAATACTGTTTCTATTCTCCTTTGTAATCTGTAAAATAAACAATGTTACTGTTTAATTAATATTCAGTGTTATTGTCAAGGTCACATCAAAAGCTGGGGGGGGGGGGGGGGGGGAGTGGAAAGATAAAAAAAAATTGGTCATTCACATTGTGTGTGTGACATTGCTTTGAAGAAATAGTCACCACACTTTTTTTACAGAAAAATTCTGTGAAGCACTTTGAAATGTTTCAAATACCAAGGTTATTATTATAAGGAAAACAATGAATGAGAAAAGGCCATCAAATGTGTTTCATCCACAAGTCATGCATTGAATGATTAGCCTATCATTTCCAGCCCACCTCCATTGATCCCTAATTTAAAATTACAAGCCCAAACCCTAACAGGTTGGGTGGTCCAAGCTGGACAAGTCGTGGGAAGCCAGACAGTGCTCTCAATGACAAGCTGTACATTTTAGCTGGTTAAACTTCAACAGTAAATGCACACAGTGGGGTTCCCAGGCCTTTGCTCTTGACAATCTGCACCAAAATGTGATCTGGAATTAGGTAAGCACACGTATTCCCACAGGAAGAGTGCATTCCACTCCAGACACGGGGAAATTGTCATGTATAAATGGAATACATTACATGGAAAATCAGTCTAATTTGGATACTTACAATGGTCAAGTGTCAGACACCCAGCCGACCAACAAGATGGTCTTAATAACAATGTATCCTGAGACTTCGAGTCAACCTTGTTTACTCTTTCCTGAACTATTTTTAAAGCTTTCATGTCCCTTTTTCAGGGACTTGAACCACATAGGATATTCCAGAATTGACCTCGTCAGTGATCTATACAACATTAATGTAACTTGTTCTGACTTGTAATCTAATACTTTTCAAATGACGCCAAGCAATTGATTTCTTCATTCACAAACTTTCCACTGAATAGATACTTTTGGTGCCTGGTCAGTAAATCACATCCCCATGTCTCTAGTAGTAAATATTTGTTCATAGTAAGCAAGTTTACATTTCCTTTTCCTAAATGATTTACTGAACATTTATCCACATTAAAATTATTTGCCACTTCTCATCTTATTATCTTCCTGTTCTTGCTATTTCCCTGGTCACATAATGTTAGTTCGGCTAAGTTGGCTCTGTGGGCTGACACTCCAGTAGTGTTGGGGAAGTGTTGCAAGGTTAGAGGCAATACTCTTTGGATGGCATCTAGACATTAAACAATCTATGACACTTCGAAAAAGAAAGGCGTTTCTCCTGGTGTCCTAGCCAGCAATCCTCCAGGTAAAATTGGTTACTGAACTCCCGTCATTTGTGGGACACGACTGTGCATCTGGCTGCCATGCTTATCTATAAATATATTTAACAGTAATTACTGTAAATTGCTTTGAGAAGTTATAGGCACTATATCAACTGCAAGGATTATTACTATAGCTTGAGAAAAAATAATTTGATAACACTACTAACACTATTTTATTCACAAAATGTGTGAAAAGAAGAGGATTCAAAATAGATCATTGTGGAACTGCAAAGGTTACCAATTCCCAGACATAGTATTGGGTATTCATTACCACCTCTTATTGTGAGACCAATTTTCAAGAAAAGAAGAGCTAACATACTTTTTATTAAGTAAAACTCCTCATAATAATAATAGTCATAGGATTTGAAATAGAGCTTTATCACATTGGTGAGATGTCTCAAAAAGCACTTCACAGAATATATTGTAAAGTAAATTGCCTGTGATTTTTGTGGGCGGAATACAATATTCACAATTAGGAAAATGTTTATAAAAAAAGTATAGAATGATTTGTGTATTTAATGTCCACTCAAGTTTTAAATTGTCATAATCATGCTCTTACATTAAACATTCTTACATCACTTCTGGTTCTGATTTCTTCTACAAGTCCTAGGGGTTTTCCTCTAGGCACAGGAATGGTCCCGAGTATTGTTGAACCTGCTCCATCGAGGATTTGACGTATTGCCTGGATGAAGGGTTGGCTAAAGAGCTCCATTTTCCCAATCTCATCGATCACATATACCTTATTCCCAGTACTATCTCCAGCATCAATCTACAAGAGTTAAGAGGAGAAAGGGGGGGAAAAAAAGTATTACACTATTAACCTATTGATTTTTCTAATGGCATCAGTGGGTTCATATTTCTGGATAGCATTTTCTCAACTACCCAGATCATTAATTCTTTCTACTTAATATTGAATCTCCATAAATGGAGGAAGTCACACTTGTTAAATGGCATACGGTCTAGGGATACAGTTACAACAGATGGAAAGCACAAAGGATGAATGTATCTTTTGAGGTCATGAGATGGTACCTACATTTCTGAGAAGTGGCAAAGCCAGGAGTTCAAACGATGGAAGATCCACTACATACTGACCGACTCTGTATTCACGTCGAGCTCTGTTCACACCACCTGAATCATTACTAAAAACAGGAAAACATTTTGAAAAAAATAAATTTCAGACCTTACAAAAAGAATTTAATAGACTGGAGGAAAGAAAACCAATCGATACCTAGTTCTGGACAAAGTTCCTCGCTTACCAGACAAAGTAACAACATCGAATCCCACTCTTCGTCCACTTTGTCTGACTTCCTCTGTGTAAAATCCATCAATAGAAATCCCAGAAGATTTCAGCACATCCATAGCCTTGTGGATCAAAGTGGTTTTTCCAACACCTAGAAAAATACATAAAAAGCAAATTTCTTTCAGAGATGCGTGTAGATTTGTTGCATTAATTCGTTGTTAAACCAGTTTGATTGCACAAATGAATCATTTGCCATAGAAATGTAATCTCATTACCAGAAATCCTGTTAAGATAATACAATAAAATTTGCATACAACAACGACAACCGTCTCAGAGCACTTTACAGTAACGGATCCCGGGGCTGAGCCAGCGGGAGGGGGGAGAAGGTGACCAAAAGTGCGGTCGAAAAGGAAGGTCTTCAGCTGAGATCTGAAAATAGGAAGAGAGGGGTGCGAGGCAAAGGGAGTGAGGAACAACAACAACAACAACAGGATTCCATTTATAGAGCGCCTTTCACGTCGGGAGGACGTCCCAAGGCGCTGCACAGTTGGGTCAGGGGGGAAATGGTCAGGGTGAGGGAAGGGAGGGAGCGAGGAGGGGGTAGAGAGTCGAGAGGGGAGCTGAAGGCTCGGTCAAAGAGAAAGGTCTTGAGACCGGCCTTGAAGGAGGAAAGGGAGGAAGCGGCGAAGGCACTGGGGGATGGAGTTCCAGAGCCTCGGGGCTGAGAGGCTGAAGGCCCGGCCACCGATGGTAGGGCGGTTGGGGCGGGGGACGTGGAGCAGACCGGAGCCAGAGGAACGGAGGGTACGGGCAGGTAGGTAGGGGGATAGTAGGTCAGAGAGGTAGGAGGGAGCAAGGCCGTGAATGGCCTTGTAGGTGAGGATGAGGATCTTGAATTCGATCCTCTGGGGGATGGGGAGCCAGTGGAGGTGAGTGAGGGTGGGAGTGATGTGGTCGCGAAGCCTGGTGCGGGACAGTACACGAGCTGCAGTTTTGAATGACCTGCAGTGTGGAGGGAGGTGCCAGGAAGGCGGCGAGGAGAGAGTTCCCATAGTCCAGCCTTGAGGTGATAAAGGCGTGGACCAGGGTTTCAGCAGCGTGAGGGGTGAGGTAGTGCCGTAGTCTGGCGATGTTTCGGAGGTGATGGAAGGCGGTGCCAGTTGTGGCGCGGATATGAGGAAGAAAGGACAGCTCAGGGTCGAACAGAACCCCGAGGTTCCTGATGGCTTTGAGAGGTGGAGAGTGCAGCCTTGGATGCTGATGCTGTCAGTGCCTGAGGTGCGGAGGCGCTGACGTGAGTCAATCAGGAGGGCCTCAGTTTTTCGCACGTTGAGCTGAAGAAAGTTGTCTCTCGTCCAGGACTCAATGTCGGACAGGCAGACTGTCAGGACATCGGTGGTCGTGGAGTTGAGGGTAGAGGAGGAAAGGTAGAGTTGGGTGTCATCCGCATACATGTGGAAGTTAACCCCATGTCTGCGGATGATGTCACCGAGGGGGAGCATGTAGAGGGTGAAGAGGAGGGGACCAAGGACAGAGTCTTGAGGGACACCGCACGAGACAGTGCGGGGGGTGGAGGAAAAACCATTTGTGGAGACAAAGTGAAGACGGTGGGAGAGGTACGACCTAAACCACTCAAGGACAGTGCCTTGAAGGTTGAGGTGGGAGGACAAGCGGTGGAGGAGGATAGCGTGGTCGACCGTATCGAATGCTGCCGATAGGTCGAGGAGGACGAGGAGGCAGAGGGAGCCCTGGTCACAGATGGTCAGGATATCATTGGTGACCTTGACCAGGGCGGTTTCTGTGCTATGGGCAGCACGGAAACCCGACTGAAGGGGTTTGAATCGTGAAGGTTGGAGAGGAAAGAGCGCAGCTGGGAGGCGACAACTCGTTCCAGGACCTTGGACAGGAAGGGGAGGTTGGAGATGGGCCGGTAGCTTGATAGCTGCGACGCATCAAGGGAGGGTTTTTTTAAGGTGGGAGTGATGGTGGCAGTTTTTAAGGGAATGGGAACAGAGCCAGAGGAGAGGGACAGGTTGACGATGTCTGTGATATGTGGGGCAAGGAGGTGGAGCTGGGAGATAAGGAGTGGAGTGGGGATGGGGTCAAGGGAGCAGGTGGTGGGTTTCAGGGATAGGATGAGTTTGGTGACAGAGGGTGGGGAAACGGGTACGAAAGTGTGTAGGGGAGGATGGGTAGGAGTCGGAGTGTGGGAGGGAGGGGGTGGGAGGTGGGTGGATGTTGGAGGGGAAGTGACAGCGGAGCGAATTCCCTTGATCTTGGATTCAAGGAAATCCAGCATCTCCTCGCAGTGAAGGTTGGAGGAGATGACCTGCGCGGGGTGGCGGGGGGGACGGAGGAGTTGGGATGTGGTAGAGAACAGTAGCCTGGGGTTGTCCTTCGCCTCCAGGATTATCCTGGAGTAGAAGGACGACTTGGCCGAGGCTAGAGTGGAGCAGTAGGTTTTGAGGAGGTCCAGCCAGATTTGCTGGTGGACCGTTAGGCCAGATTTGACCCAGGTGCGTTCAGCGGCCCGCACCTGGCTCTTTAGTGAGCGGAGGTGGGTGGTGAACCAGGGGGAGGAGCGAGAGTAGGAGACAGTACGGGAGGTGATAGGGGCAAGAGTGTCAAGTGTGGAGGAGAGGGTGTTGTGGAGGAGGGTGAGAGCAGAAGAGGGGTCAGTGAGGGATGAAGGCCAGAGGGAGAGGAGTTCAGAGGACTCCAAGGCAGCGGTTAGGGATTGTGGGAGTAACTTCTTCCAGGGGCGGTAGAAGATGGTGGTGGGTCTGGTGGAGGTGGGGAGGGGGGTGGAGGTGGTGAAGGAGATGAAGTGGTGGTCGGAGAGGGCCTTGTCGGTGATAGTGATATCCGAGACACTGAGGCCCCGGGTGATCACCAAGTCGAGTGGGTGGCCGTGACTGTGAGTGGGGGAGTTGATGTGGAGGGAGAGGTTGAGCGAGGAGAGCAGGGAAGAGAAATCTGAGGAGATTGAGCAGGAGGGGGTGAAGTGCAGGTTAAAGTCGCCCAGGATGATGAGGCGATCAGAGCAGAGGCAGAGAGATGTGAGAAGTGTTGAGATATCAGAGATAAAGGTGGGAGAGGTTTTAGGGGGCCGGTAGAGGAGGAGGATTTTAAGTGAGAGGAAGGAGGGGTGGGAGAGGGTGAGGTGCTCAAAAGAGGGGAAAGAGCCAGAGGAGTAGGGGGATAGGGCAAGTGGTGTCCTTGAGATAAGGACAACACCACCGCCACGGCGGTTGGGGGCGAGGGGATGTGGTGGGAGGTGTAGCCGGGTGGTGTGGCCTCCGTGAGGGGGAAGGTGTTGCCTGGGGTGAGCCAGGTTTCCAAGGAAGGGAGTTCCAGAGCCTCGGGGCGTAGTGGCTGAAGGCACGGCCGCTGAGGGTGGAGCGGAGGACTCAGGGGACGAGGAGGAGGCCAGACCCGGTGGAACGAAGGCAATGGGCATTGTTGTGAGGAGAGAGGAGGTCAGAGAGGTAGGGGGTTGCAGAGAAGTGGAGGGATTTGAAGACATACGTTAGAAATCGTTTAATCACCTAAATCGCACATCCATCCAAGTCCCATTCAGTTTCCTATCAAAACCATTTATGTGGATATATATGTATAATAGATTTCTTTGCACAAGCTGTATTTATCATCTCCTAATTCATAACGTTCTCTCCTCTACCCTCTATTATTCTCGTACTTATCGTCTGCATTGAACCATGGGATATGACATCCTGACTCGTTGATTGCATGCGGAAACTTCATTTCCCACGACTCAGTGTGATTCCAATGCTTGCCCGGTAAGTGTGCAGGCGGCAACAGGTCAAGACACACCGAATAACGGGAAACGTAGTTTTGACCCATCGGCGCGTGCACACTTACCAGCTGCAGTGATGAAGTGCCACGTGCGCACTTACCGGCTGCATGAATTACAACACTGAGTATTGATGAAATCCGATTTTATACGGTTTACACAAGTTTGCCTGCAACTCGGACTTTGCGTAAGTCATATTAAATGTTATAGTCCTGACTGATATAACTTGTGAGTTTTACCGTGCTATCTATGACTGTGGACTGTATGACCATCGTATACTGTATTTTAGGCACTGAACAGTGCTGAGTGCTATTCTGAACTCGGAATGTTCCAAAGGAGCGGCATGAAATGTGGTGAGAAGTTGAAGTATAGTGCATGATTTTTTTATGCATGAACCATAAAATGTTGATTCCCACGTATCTGCTACCAGCTTTACTTTAGACCAGGATACACAAAGCTAGCAAGTACAGTGAGCTGGACAAATAGTTACAATGAAGAATGTAATACTGTCAGAATGTGTACGTTACACTGAGAAAAATCATGGTGCTTTTGTGCTTTGAAAATCATTACTGCTACTGTACTACCGAACCATTTTTTAAATGCAGAAATGTATGCATTATGTATAAAATATATGCTATTAACCATTGGTTAATATTCCCAGCTCAACCAACTGGTAAATGTTGTTTCCCCTCCATCTGCCCCTTTGCACGCAAACATACACACACACACACACTCTATTCTTCTGAGCAGAGCCCAACTGCAGTCAGTATCAGTGAGTCTTAAGTATTCATCATTCTTACAATAAATGGTACATTCCCCATATGGGGAAAGCAAGTATACCCTGCAAAACTGGATATTTTTATATATAAAATAGAATTGATATTACTATTTTCACTTGGAAAATAGCAATCGCACCCCTAGAAACAAGTACATTAATCCTATTTTCTTCATTAATACTCCACAAACTCGGGGCAGCTCTCCCACTGGATAACACAAAGGCAGTGCTGCTAAACTTCAAGTTCAATTTTAGAAACAGAAGGTACAAAATCAAGGGCACTAAGCAATATAGCCTGTATTTGGTAACACTGGAATCGTTAGTTCACATACCACATGATAATAATGGCCTTCCAGCACTTCATAAATAAAATGCACTTTGCCTTACCCCAACCATAGAGGGACCTTATTGAAAATAATTTATAAAAGGTTTACACAAGTTTTCTACATTGCACCCAAGTGCAGAGAGTTTTCATTAACTATGGAGAAAATTTCACTCCATTTATAAATGTAACATAAAATATCTGTATGCTATCAGATTGAGCAGTGGAGACACCAGGTCTGAC